TCAGTCACTACCCGATGGCATAGAATCGACGACGTTGAACTTCCCCCTAGTGTATTGTTCGGTCTCGCTGGCTTTCATTGGTATCTGGTATAATTGAATTCGTGTACATGTACACGAGGTGTAGTGGTATACACACACAAAAACAGCTTGGTTTGCAGCTACATGCTTAAACAACAGAGACATTATATTGCACATGACGGCTGATTTGGAATCTGATAAATTTTTCAGCATTACCATACGGAGTGCTTTTGGTGTGCACATCAGATTCAGGTTCGGTGTGGAGAACATGCCCGCCGGATCCAATTAATCTTAGAGCAGCGCAATTGAATTTGTGAGTACTATCTGACGACCATTCGGATCGTGGACTTGACCTCGAGCTAGAGACGGTTTACCCCCAAAGTTGGGCCAAGCTGGTAAGTGATGACAGACAAAGCAATGGGACGAGTATTCTGGGGCTCGGGTAAATTTGGGCTCTGGGTTTGTTTTTCTCTTTTACAATGATGCAGAGTTGGTGGAAAACAGTCCTATTTCATTTACAGCGAGTGACCAAGTTTAAGATAGATATGTTTATCGCCTGTTGCTGTGTGTAGTACGTGCACTTTGAATTTGTTGGTGTAGTGAAACTTGTTCCGTATAATGACGATGATCGTACGTATACATGTACTTGATGAACGAGTCACCAAATTCTAAAGTCAACCAAATCGTGTCAAAACATGCGTACGGCGCGGATAGAAAACAGGTAAGTCTAATTATTATACAGTGATTGAAGTTTTATTTAGTACAATCGCCGACATTAACTGAACCTGAAATTTGCTGGTATGAAACTCCATGGCAACAACTCTGTTTCCAAACATTTCTTAGTGACAGTAGCGGTCGACCATTAATATATAAGAATATATATAAGTCATGCATATCAAACCGATTGGCACACTGCATTATCATAATGTTTTCCGGAAATACAGGATACCATTAGTTTGTTTTATACACAGTACATTTTTTTTGCATGTGGACTATAAGTACTATAATTATAATATTCGGATCCGCATGGTTGGGTTTGTGTGAGTAGAATGCTGGTATATTGCGTTGTGTACGCGGTGTTCCCACCAATGCCTTAGGGCCATAACATTATGCATTCCATCTTCCTGTATTTGTCGTTTCCATGTTTGCAAAGTTGTACTGAGCATTCCGGCAGTGTAATTACACTAATGGGTTACTTTATTGAACGGCTCTGGTATAATTTCCTTCTTTGTATTTGCCAACATGAAAAGCATACGTCGAAGAGTCTATATTGGTTGATGATACGCCATTAATTCTAAATGGTAATTCTTGCCACGGTAAAGGTTGATAGTCTCACCTGGATTATTTCGTGTGTGCCGTGTATACATAAATAGTCAGTATAATAATTGCACTTGTTTCTTTGCACAGACGCATACTGCACGCGATTAACCAACGCCAGCTGATGAACAATACTGATTTGCTAATGGTGTTTTTATCTGATATTTGGGCCAAGACAAACATGTGGCTTGCAAGATAGCCCACTTCAGCCGCTGTGGGCTCTGCAGTTGGCACAGCCATGGCACAGCTAACAACAGAGGGCTAGATGCACAAATATGAATAAAAGATTGTGTTGACGATGGTAGTTGCTATTTTTTCACTTCAGAAACGCCGTCTGACTTCCAGGTACAATTCCTTATAAGTTTGTATGAGAGGATCATGATGGTTGGTTCTTCGTCGTCAAGGTGGGACTCTGTCTCTTGGTTACACGTGACGTCACTGGTTACACTGCTAACAAGTTTTATAATCCAGTGTACAACGCCACCAACGCCAACGGCAGTTTCTTGCCACTGAATTGAACATTAATAGGGAAGCATTGAGGCTGATATGATTTACCATTGTGTATTTGATAACTTAACACGCAAATGTAAGATCAGTTTTGTTTTGTCTTCCTATTTGTGTGTTAGAACCTAGAAGTTAGAACCGACAAACTAATTACTACACTCCCACCTCAAAATACGTGCCTTGGATCACGATAAAAGTCAGGATACTATCCTGTAAACATCCAAACGGTTTGGAAAATGCAAAGTTACACCCGTGTCCTTGAACAAACGAAATCGTTTCTACATTATCAGCAGCAAAACCACCTGATTGCGCCATTTTGATGCAGCGATAGGCACATTTATTATGAACCGACACCACGCAGGCAGAGCGCTCTGTTGACAGGCTTATAAATTCCTTTGTTACACCATACTAATCCCTCCCATGTTGTGCAAAATTGTTCCCGGGCTCAAAAAGGAAGAATATGAAAGCAGTAATACAAGGTATAGAATTTTTTCCATCGGGGAGGTCTATTGTTGGTAGAGGTCTGGTGTTTTGAACGAAGGGAGAGTATGGGGGAGTGAGAGGCACAGCTTTTTTGGGAGTTTGTGGAGCGCAACGGGGTACTCGACCGGGATTGCATTCAGAGGGGTGCATGACTGGTGCCTCGAGGGGGAACAAGCTTGAGTGCCTCAGCCTAGTTCAGGGTTGCAGATTGTATTGAGGCGAGTCGTCAGTGTTGGTGTGCTCGGTGTGTGGCACAGGTGAGACTTGTTTGTTTGTTTGTTTGTTGGGTGTGCATATTGTGCACTTCACACTCTATTAGAAAAACAGCGTAATGAGTTGTCAAGCTCCACTTGATATTGCTACCTCCGATGTCACTATGCATATTTATACTGTACATGTAGTTTAAACTATGAACTTTAGTCACTTGACACTGTCTTTTGAGATACACACGTCTGTATGGTATGACTGGCTCGATTAACTTTCACGAGTTATTGTCTGGTAGCATCGTATGCAACGCATTATGTGAAAACTCAATTAGTGCGTGATGTGTTCTGACAAATTTGGATGAACTTCACTATACTCGCGAGGATATAGCGAGCAGCAACGCCAACAGGTGAGTGTTGGATATATCCCCTAACAGCACATTCTGTGGTTCGGGATCCGAGCTGTCGATATCAATGAGAGTTCGCCCGGGGTACTTCGTGGTATATTTTGGTGTGAGAAGTGCTGCAGCGGTTGTTGCTATGAACCAGTTGATGAGTGAGTCAATACAGGACCTGTTGGGTTGGGATCGCACAACCTTCGATTTGGAGGGCATTACCAAGGCTGTCACATGCTCACTGTTACACTACATGTTTAGTCGCACTTGTATTTTCTGAGTTCAGCCGTGGAGCAAGGAAGATGTATAATGAATGATCGCAGCATACAGTAGGATCTGTGCTCTCATATCGTGCGGATAGGTAAGTTTTTAATTTGATTTGTGAGAGAGTAACAACTTTTGGGAAGGGAGAACACACGATATTTTTTTTAAGCATGGAAGGGTTGTTTACATTTTGATGTGTTATGTTTGCGTGCACATTTTGTAAAGTAACACCTGCAACTACAATAGTTGCGTGAGAGAAAGGGCACATATTATTATATTCACCATGCGACGGTGAAGTTTTGATCGATGGGAGAGATTTGTGAGAATGTATGTTCACCAAGGATGGGGGAACAGAAAATATGTTTGTTATGGAAAGACTGTTTACATTTTGATGTGTTACATCCGCGTTGCACATTTTTGTGAGGTAGCACCTGCACACCTATGTTTACGAAGGACATACATCTCAGCAAGTATACAATAGAGAGATACAATGGACTATGTATCTGTAGCTGATATTCATCCATTGTGTATTATACCCGTCATTATGGCAGTCGTGGGAAGACTGAGCGAATGTCTCCAGCTCCCAACGCGTAATACCTGTGCATTATCTCATTGTTGGACTTGATCCCACCGCTTTGCCGGCAGCCAGTCATCCGTGCACCCGGTATACTGTTCGGGGGAGATCCGGCTCCTCATACGGCTCAACCAACCTTGAGATTTCATTATTGATACCCTCAGCAGGGAGTCCTAGACCTTCTCTCTATTGTCACTGTGCGATTTGCCAGAAAACTCAATCGATTGAAACAAACATCAGTTGGTATTTCTTTTCACTACTTCTCGGTGGGTGTTTCTGGAAGAACCGTTACACGCGAAGACTTGATGAATCAGGAAGTATAAACGCCAGTGCGCACTATTTGAGTACAGCAATACTCCCCTGGACAATCATTACCTTTAGTATTACAAAATACAGGCATAAAATATGCACGGTATTTGCACAATGAGTGACCGTTGATTTGAAATAATATACGGTGGAATGCTGGACCAACAGTGCTTAATTCATCTGCCACATGACTGGACTTGATATATTCTTTGTCACTACAAAATCAACTCCAGTTTCTCTACTCGTGGTGACTCTGCGTGCAAGGTAGGCCTAATTAACCTTTCGTATAAATAGCAGGAGACTTTAATTCATGAAATAATTACATGACAAATAATAACATATACATGTACTGTGTAAATGCACGAGTCTGATATGGAGCAATAGTTCCATGGTCCCTTGTCCTTGTTACTCGTAGTTACAAGCGCTGATTGAATCAACTGATGATGCAATAATTTTGTAACACGAAGGTCTCAGACACCTTTTTACACTGTTTGCACTTATCCCTAATCTTCTGGCCAAACACAATGTCTCCAAGAGAACAACTTCTTCGAATCTTTCTAGATCTTTACACTTCTTATTGGTGTGCTTAACCTTATAATTGCCCGATTATGGCAGCCTTTTTTCAGTTTTCTAAAAGGGAAAGTTTATCGCTATGGAATGGTAAAGTTTGTCCAAGTGCTTGGTTGCTAGCCGGGTCGCACTTTGATGGTGTCTGGCAAGTGGTTCCTGGGTGGTTGAGAGCATCCACTTCGCATATTAGTGCTCCTGCTTTATGTTTGTCTTCATGTTTGTCCGTTAAGGCGGGGCAAATAGTCTAGTGTTTGGCTTCGGTCCAGACAACAAAAAATGTGAATGCATTATCACCGAGTGAGTAAGATTTTGTAGGCTTCTTCCGTTTGTGAATAAATTAATTGATGGATGGGGAGTCAGAGAACCACTTTAGAGGTTAAGGTTCTGTATACGGGAGCTGTAAGCCTTAATGATCGCGACATCACTCGGGGAGAAGTTTAGGTCGTGTACTTTATTTTAGAGACAGAGCCTATAGGGTTGAGTTGAGATGCGTTTATTTTGGACAGGTTTTATATAATCTGAGCATCCATGAATCAACTGAAGTTGTGATCAGGTATAAGATGAATTCGTTTTCCGCAACAGTGTGTGGTGGACACTCTGATGTGTAAACATGACACGGTCTTAGCTCCGTACTGTAAACGGACTGCGACGCATGACATCCTCTGAAAAGTTACAGATGAGCAGAGCTGGGAATATTTCACGCCCCGTCCGGTGAACTTCGGACATCGGCAAACAAACAGACAACTGGTGGCCTGGGGACGTTTTGGACGTGTGATGGGTGTCTCCGATGATAGCATTGTGGAAGTTGAACTTGGGATCTTTGGACTCCAGTCGACCATCTATTATTCATCCGTTAGAGGGTGATAAGCCCCATCAGCGGTCGACCCTGCGGTGTTCCTGATTGGGCTCTGAGTGATAAATGGCAGGTCGGGTTAGGTCAACAACAGGACATGGTCATTGTACTTATCATTAAGGAAGACAAAAACACACTTGAATCTCACACGATATTTTCCTCACCAGCCTTTAAGATCTGGCGTACATCTCGATACCGTAACATGGTGATGAATGCTGTGGTATGCGGGAAATCAATACTAAGTCCAGCCATGGGTCAATATCTACTGCTGATGTTAACGTGTACTGCCCACGCCTCCTGGTCGTAGATCAAGTCTTGATGGGGTCGTGTGGGTCAGAAGGTGATATTTCGCTGCCCAAGTAATCTTCCAACGAACCGTACCCTTACTCGGACAATTCAGTGTTGTCAGCATGTTGCAGGTAGCCTTCAGTGAGGGTTGTAGGTATTTCGTTTGAGTGAGAGCTAAGAGCACCTCTCAGAGGCACGGACACTTTACAGGCAGAGGGCCCTTAAATCTCGCGAGGTTTATGAATTTCGTCGATTCGGCAAGTGCAAGGGCTCTCAGGTAACTAAAACATGTAACTCAGGCTACGACTTTCTTAGCCATCTTTTCTGAAGAAATATCATTTGAATGTTTGGAAAAGAAGCAGTAAGACGTTTGCTTTGTCTTGGAGCTACTCTAGCTGCAGGGCACGACCGTTTTTCTTTCGTGTTGACAATAACCCAAGTATTGATCGGTTGACTTTTTTTCTTCATATCAGGGACAGGAGTTGTGAAGCCTCGCATCCACCATGCACGAGGACTAACTGGATGTGACTGGATGTAGCAGGAGTTGGCTGTACCGAGTGCAGGAGGCATCATGCCCGCGGGGCTCCCGCCCTGGAAGGCGGTCTGGCTGCTAGTCCTTCTACTCCTAGGTAATGTCAGATACTTTTACTGAAAACTTTACCAGCATTTTTATACCAACATCGGCGCTTAGGTCATTATGTTATATTACACACGTTACGAAAATCTGATCGATAATCACGTTGTGCAAATACATGTGTGGTTTGGCATTTAGGGACATAAACTACATGATCTAAGTAAGGAAATGGTGTTTAAGTATAAAAAATAATTATATTCCCACAATCATGAAATTTCACATGCGAGATGAAAGGCTAATACTAGCACTTTACTGAATGGCCCGATAGGTCATTTGCCTGTAGTCACAGAATGAAAAACCTTCATCTCTACCTGATGTAATAATATGTAAGTTTAGGCTCCTGTTTGTCAGTAAATTTAGTTTTGCACATTCAAACTATAATCCTGAGATGTTAACCTCCCGTAAGATAATATTCTGGGGTTTATATCAAAGCCTATAGCGAAGCGCTATAAATTATACCCTGTATCGCACAATGGCAACGTACATAAAAACGTAGCAGAGTTCGCCCAGCACACAAAAAAATCCCCAAATCCGGCATTCAGCATCGGAGAATGCGCCATTGAAATCGGCAGTCGGGCCTTTCTGTTCAACCGTCTGACCTTTCCAACCCGTGTTTTTTAACGGGCCGGGTTCCACCCCGTATAGCCCCGTCCCCTCGAGCCTCCCCTCTCATTGTTACCAGTTCTGGACCCAGTTTGGCACCGAACTCTCCACAGCACAAGAAAAAAAATATATGCCGCGAGAAGTTAAGTCTTACAAACTGTTTACTGTGACTTGTTCGGCCCGCCAGTCACTAGTGCATGCTAATTTGATGTGATGGTATAGTTTTCTATTCAACATGTAATACACCGAGCTTGAAACACTTTCGTTCGAAAAGAAGGCTAGTAGCCTCTAGGCATCGGGGAGAAACAGCGATACGAATATTACTCTGTTTTGGTGCACTTTCTGATGCCTACCATTTGGACTTGGCTGCATTGTTTGGATTGTTCTGTGGTATTAACCCTTGGTCCTGTTGTTGTTGGTATAAAGCCAGGCGTGTTGTAAATCTCACTTTGTATTCGATTTAGGGTAATTTTTTTCACTGCATCGCCGAGGATACCAACCTGCATTTATGATTGGTCCACTTTTATGCAGTTGCTGAAAATATACGTGAATGTATACGAATTAACTGATGCAAACTGCTTACTGACTGGATTGACCTGAAATAGGCCTATACCAATCAAACATTATGATAGAAAGTTTGGGGTCTATTTTAAGACCTGTTTTCAATTGACAAATCATCAAAAATACTATATTTAGAGTTCAAATTAGGGTTTCAAACTTTTATAGTGTATTTTAGACATGTTCAAGATTACAAATATGCAAAAATTAGAAAATCGAAAAATATCACCCCCACAGCATTTTTTGGCCCTATCTCAATTTCAACCTCTGCTCAGAAGCGTCTGCTTTTGACAGAACAGGTCACAGATGGCCTAACGTTTGGGTACTATATACTAGCAAAATGCTGAAATAGACAGAAAGTTAAGGGCTAATGTTTTTAGACGGTGGACCGCCTGCAATCAGTCTCCAGATGACGGTCAGAGTGTACTGATCGAAACGTTGAGTTAACATCTACTCAGAACCACCTCTCCTTATTTGAACAGTCGCTTCAAATTATGAATCTGCAAGTTCCATGCAACATGCATGAAAGACCTTACTCATCAACTCAGTTTAAGTATAATTTCCAATCGCATCCTGCATGGGGCTTCTCTGCAATTGCCTCTCTCCGCCCAGGAGTATAAACGGGTACCCGTGAATGTAGAGACCAAATTGTGCTGATCTCAAGCTGCTGCAGAAAAATTGTCTCATTCCTGATGAACAGGGATAATAATTGTAAAGCGCTTTGAAACGTCTAGGTATAAAAGGCTATAATATTATTATCTATATAAGTATTTTCCTTTTTTCTGATTATCAACCCTTACACACTGTCACAAACATTCCTTCGAAGTTATAGCACCAAAAAGCTAACCAAACATAGCGATGAATCACAAAATTGAGGGCCGGTTTTCGAATTCACCCGTGGCGCCCGCACCAACTCACCGTGGTGGAGTTGAGCGCTGCGCTGCTGACGGAGCACGTGTTCTTTCGAACCGCTTCCATCTTGGCGCGACCCATTTAGCGTTGACACAGCACCACTCAGCCAGAGCGATTATGGTAGAGACTGCATATGCTGGGGGAATTGAGTGGTTGATAATTCTGGCCCTCTCGCTCGTTGTCTGGAGATAGGTATTCGATACAAGAAGGGTTTATTGGTGTGTTTTAGCTGGAGGATGTTGTTTGCCTGGGAATTAACCGGTTGGTTTTTCCGTTGGCGCTCATCCATCAGCATGTGATGGTTTGTCGCTCGATTTCTGATGTCTGTATGAAGAGGTCGTCCGAAATGAATCACTGGTATAGTTTCTTTAAATTTGCATCTTTTAACGAAAGACAAAAACTAGTAGTGTAGTTCCGAGTTGGCACTGAAATGAATAATAAGAAAAGAGTAATAATTGTGTTTGATGAATGCATACCCTGAACACCCATTCGGCACCTCTTGGTGTACAAAATTCTATTAATTGACAACAACCAGATAAAGTTGCCCCTATAGGCCCTTTTGCATAAGCATATGAGAGTGGTATAGGATTACTTGGGGGTGTTTTGGTGCGAAACTGCAGGGCTTCTAAGGTCCACTTTTAGGTTTCACTTGTAACGGAACTTTTTGCAAATGGACCTCTATTTTCTTTCACGTTGTTTTGTGAATCAAATATATTGATAGTTTCTTGTAAGATTCATTCTTATGAATATTGAAAGTTTCTTGTTTCTTTACAGTCATCAGATTAGGAAGTTGTGCTAGACGCCATCGGCTGTGGGTACCATTAGATCACTTAGCCCTGAGCGGTGACGTCACGGTGGAGTTCCAACAGCCGCGAGAAGACCTCTCATCGTACGGGGTGTTGGAACTCCGAGACCTGTCCGGGCAGGACGCCCACCGGACCGAGAAGGCCCTGCCCAGCTGGCCCAACGGCAACGTCAGCTTCGAGTGCAGCTACTTCGACCACGCCGGAGAGTTCGAGGTCCGGATGTTACGAGAGAGCGGCGGGGAGGTCCTGGTCACCAGCTCGGTCATCAATGTCGCCTGGCCCCTGGTGACACTGATGGCACCCAGGACACACGTGGCACTGGTCGGTGGCATCGCGGTGACCGTCACAACCACGGCCAATCTATGCATGGATATGCAATACAACCGGTACGAGAATTCAGTGGTGCTGCTCTACCATGACGTCAACAGGACGTTGTCTGACACGGAGATGGTCACCTTCGGCCACGGTACCGTGGTGGAAGAGAGAGTGGTGGGATACCTGACTGCCTTACACTTGGAACAGTTCGAGTGCCATTCTCTAGACAGAGCCGGGATTTACTCCTTCATTTTCTGCTCCAGTTACCGGCGGAGTATTCTGGGTGCTAGTCAGCAGATTGAGGTGACCTGGAGCGGCAGCTACCGGGTGAGTTTCCCCCGGGAGACCGTCTTCCCTTGCCCGGACAGGTCCACCGTGGAGGTGGGCTTCGACGCCCCGAGCTGCCGCGGGGACAGGGATAAAATCAGGGTCTACGCCGAGACCGGCCGGTTCGAGCTCCGGCCCACCGGCGCGCTGGAATATATCACTGAGGTCACGGTCACGGGCGCCTTGGTGACCTTTGACTGCTACCACTTCTCGCGAGAACACGTGGGATATTGCTTCGTCTACGTCAGCACGGCCAGGAGCGGAGCTGTGGACGCACATAGGGATAAGATACTCTGCGTGCCTGTTGATGCCATTGGTAAGCCTTGACTTTTCATATTAATGCTGAAAGGCCACTGCTATTGTCAATTTTGTAATGTGCTAGAAAGGTATGGCTATTTCAATCTGTTGCCCCACGGGGTCTAAAAAATCAAAGTATCTAATGTCGAGTTGGATCCCTTTTAATTTTGTGTTTGTTACTCGTCCATTATTATGTGAGTAGTCAAGAAAGTGTGTAAAATTAATACGCACTTGACTTTAGAACCACCTGCTGACAAGAATGGGTTGACAGAATATAGATATTCAGACCCATTGACGTAAATCTTACATATTTTCCCCCGCATGCTTAATTCACAAGCGAAGCATGATTTAGTGCTCCTGTCGATTCAGTGCTCCTGCATCTTCAATAACATAGTGTATCTCGAATCCCTGGGGATGTGGCTTCTCCGCACTGTGATTACTATCAAGTCATACAGCCTTACTAATGGTGTGGTTTGAAGTAGGTTCTCGGCTTTGAAACACTATTTATTATCAGTGAATTGGACATAATGAGTTACAAGGAAGAGGACAAAAACCCTGAGAACATGAATGATCAATTTGCCCCCCTGCCAAACACACGAACTTGTATAGACATCCAGCATTCATGAACTTCGAGTTTTCCGGTAGAGGCAGCGTGCTTTATCATTTCTCGTAACTATGTTGTTCATTCTCTTATCAGTTGTCACCGGAAAACGGTCATTCGTCAAAATGCCGTCAGGAAAAATTAATCTTGAACAGCTCTTCTATACATTGTCTGCCCTCCTGCTTCGTGTACCCTGTTTAAGTTCAAAATGCGAGCAACATTTACAGCTTTGCCATTGTAGGGGCTGCAAAATTCTTTCGAAATAATCGTTTTTTCGTATATGAATCTTTTCATGGAATGGTCTCGTCTGGTTTGCGTTCCAGTGGTTACTCATTTTATTCTCTTAACTTGACCTGGGGCTATTTGGCAAGCAAGCCCTTCCTGGACCAACCGCTGATGAAACCATCTTTGAGTCAGTCACGTTCAGCTCCGAAAAAGCAGGTGCTATCTAAATACAAATTGTCCTGACAAAAATTTCGCCGGCCACGATAGAATCGTACCAAGCATTTTGTACCAACTCACTACTTACACTTTGTTCCTCCATCCATCGCGAGGCGCCTTCCGTTCTCTATAACCCGCGGTTTCGCTTTGAAGAATCTACTAAATCATCGCCGGTATAAGTCGGACACATCAAACGGAGCTTTAGGCCGCTATCTTTGCCCGCAGATTGCCCGGCTCGTGTGTACAAACACGCGCCGTCTGCAGGGAGTTCCATCAAAAAAAGGACAAAAAAGAGTAAAAACTTTGAAAACGCCGTCCAATTTATATGGCACGGATAAGATGGATCAGAAACAGAACCTTGCTGCAAAGAGGGCACGACAGAAATCGGGAAAGTGGTTTTCAAAAGATTTATTTCTGCAGTGCCCTGGTTCGAGTTATAAATACATTCTCTGTGATGAAAAGCTAAGAAAAGCATAATCTATTTTCAGCATAGCTAGTTTTACTAGTAGAAAGCACACTACATGTTCCTATACAGTTTTTGAATAGGTGTATTTTGGACTTGAAGATTTCTTTTTCAAATTTGACTAGTATTTGTCTTCTCTTTGGGAATTGGCTCCTGCTTCATTGATGTTAATCATGCATTGATTCTGAAATATAAATTTTAGCCTGTTTTCAAGACTACGCTCCGGGCCAATGTTGTTAGAGAGCATAGCTCTACTTACAACTTGTCAATTAACTACGATGTTCCGTGCAAAAAAAAACACCATGCATGCCAGTCGCCTGACTGCCGAAAAAAATATTATATTTCGTCAGTTTACTGCCCAAGGCACCGTGATTCTACAACAGAGTCGGGGCTATACGTCTTCATTAGCGTAGCCTGACAAGCCCATCGCTTTCCCATCAACGTTTCAATTGAATCTTCGGGTTTTGGGAGTTGCTAACCGACCGCCATCGCCTCGTTCCTCATATCCTACTAATGGCCCACACTCGCTTTGTCAATCGGACGCTAGATGCATTCTGACAGTGAAATTGTATCGCGATAGCTTATGGAGTAGCCCATATAACTGATGTATAACGTGTAATAAAGATACTCAAACTGTAGAATATCTCACTAGGTTTTCTGAAAATGTTAGTTTGCCTCAAGGCACGTCGAGAGAAAAAAAAACTCAACAGTGCATTTGTCACTCTGCGGAGATCAGTCCGATCAACTTGAGACGATGCGATCTCATCTTGAGTTTAATACGAACATCTCGATTTTGTATCATTAAGATTAAACTCTGAGTTTTGGACAATGGCGGGAATTTCTAATTGACATGTGACGCGCGTGGGGATTCGTTTTCATTCAACTGGGTTGCTCTGCATGAGCATAGAGAAAGTACACTGCTCGGAGGTAACCCTCAAACCGTTTCGCGGGCACCTTCTGTGAATGTGAATGAGGCGAGAGAATTTGCAAACCGGGATATACATATAGATGGAAAAGTTGACGCTTCCCAAATATAAACCAACCGGAGGATAGGTTTGGAGCAGATCATGAAAGCTCATTCATTAAGATATGAATAACATAAATATAGATCCGCTTTTATGTGATCCGGTTAACAAAAGGTGATGTCCTCGCTGACCCACGGAAATAAATAAAACACCTTTAAAGCAGGGAATGAGATTTAGTTTTTTACGTCTTCTATAAGCTATCATTTTCATAGGAGGGGTCATGTTTGTCACACAGCCACTGTTTTAACCAAACTCACACCTTCTAAAACACATCGTCCTCCTGAGAACCAAAATATTGGCTAAACAAGGACAGTGGTTAGGTAAACTGTGACCAGATTTGTTTCCGATATTGAACGCTGTGGCCATTTTTGAAGCACGTTTTGGACAGCACGTTTTGGAAGCACTGAACGGCGCGAAAAACGCCCAAAGCACGAATCAATCCACTTTTTTACACTAGAGTCAATGACCTTGTAAACATGACCGATATAATCCAGTTGATCCCTTGCTCCTCCTTTACTGCTTCTGTTTTGTTCAGATCGCCGGAATGGAGTCGGGACCCAAATACCTCTGAAAATGGAGTTCCTTGCTCGAGTTTTGACTTTTGCACGCCCCATCCCCCACGCTTCGGGTCATAACTTAAAAATCGAAAAAACGATTTGGTATGTCGTACCGCAGGGCTCCTCCACTTGTTAACTGTAAAAACCTCGACGGCGAGAGGTCGCCTGTGGAGGTAAAATATTGCCGGGGTCCTGCTACTGGGACCCGGTGGCTCTCAATAAGCAGAGATACTTGAGCTACAAACTCTTAAGTCACGATTTGAGGACAGTGGAGTGTGTACTTGACGAGTGCAAATGCAAATGCGTGCATTCCGTGCAAAATGCCGAAAGCAAACCTAAAGTGGCGTCGTCGTCATTATGTGAATAACAGGAAATGTGATTGTGCATAACATTTTTGCGACCAAAAAAAAAATGCTTTTTATCTTATAAAGATTCTGTTAAGATGTCGTGCCTATTCTTCGAAATGCTTGGGAGGTTCTTATCGTATAGCTTTTGAAATTTAGCAGGATTTAGCCGCCTGGATTAAATGGCTTTGACCGACTTTGATAATGAGCAAAATTTGGTTAATGTTCAGCGGCTGCGGTAACCGGTAAATTATTAGTAAATAATGCACTTAGTAAAAAGTAGTCCGTTGTGGCCCATCAGGCCGGCGTTTGTCTCCAGTTTCAGTGGCATGAAACGACTGAGAATATTTCTATTCCCCCTGGATGGGATGCTAGTCCATCGCAGGTTACTCCCCAGCTAATGCCGGTACCAATTTATACTCCTGAGTGGAGAGGCAAGTGGGGGTGAAGTGGCTTGCCCAAGGACACAACATATGGCCAGCAGTTGGATTCGAACCCCTGACCCTCTGGTCATGTGTCACGAACCCTAACCACTTGGCCACATCCCTCCCATGCGCTTCGGAAACAATTCAATTTGGTCGTGTAAAGACCATGTGTTTTGTGACGTCATACCAATTACCAACGGGCAACCAACAGGCAACCCGAACATTTAAGCATCGTTTGCATGTTATTTGTGTCGCCACTTTTATGCACCAACCCCAATTCAAGAGGTACACGTTCAGTGCAGAAGAAACAGTTTGCTGAAAGTTGGCATCACGTATACCCACAACATCCAATTTATACCATGGTCTAGTGTCTAGCAGCAGGATTTTGTTGACATATCTCAACACATGGGCCAGAATTTGAACGGCCTTATCTCTTTAACTTTGTCAATATTTTGCCATTTGCTTAAGGGAAGAGTTAACGATTTCATACGCGTTTCATGTCATTTGTCATACAAGGTTCCGGTGTCGACGCACTGTGCCCGTCCGTTCTTGCAGGTCATATTTATACAACCTTTAAATTTTTACCAACATTTATTCTGCATCATAATCCGGCATCTCTCATCGCGTCTGAGCATCTGAAACAACACCTGAACCACGTGGCTTCCAATTTATTACCCTGGCCCAACACATTTTCTTCTATATTCTTTTGTCCATGCTTCGTATCATCGTTTCAGGCGAACTCGATCGACCCCGGCCACGGGTTTAGTAAGAGTATCTGCCGAGGGAATGTTCAGCTTTTTCCTTGGACTATAGGTGATATTGGTGTGTATAACGTTGTCATGGAATAGTACACACTTTTTTGAGTTAAGACTCAGATTTTGGTTGATAGGCGAAGTCTTGTACATATTGAAATTAAGCATCCCGTATTGGGTGGTCTGTCGTTTAGATTATCAGAGATTGTATAATAATTGTATATCTATTTCAATGTTTTGACTAATTAAAGATTGTTGAGACTGGTTTAGTAGCCCAAGTGGTGCAAACGTGTTGTTATATCAATTGTGTGCTATCGCATGACGATAGCAAGTACTTTCGAGAAAAAGCCGAAGTAGGCGCGCCAGATAATTAAAAGGCCTATGTAGATCTTCGGCATTGCCCGAATCTAGGATTTGCCTTGTAGTATAACTCCATTTCAACCGCAACCAATAAACCTCAAATCGATTTCCGTTGCTGAATGGAATTACAAAATCCCGTTAAACCCGGGGTGTTTCTGACAATCTGGGATGTTATGTGCAAGGTGCAAGCACTGGCTATATTATTCCTCAATGTCAGCCCATAAATCTCATGGTGGTAAGCTCTATTTCAAGTGAGTTCACGCGTCAGCTGTAGGGTGTTTATTTTCCTAACCTTCCCGAAAAGTGACGTGCTTCTTTCGTTATTGTCGTTCCATCTGGGGCGTCACTAATTATACCAAAATTACCCGTAGCTACAAGACGCGGTTGTGGCTGTTGCTCCAACCAACACCGAAGTGCCGTTCCTGCCTTTCGGGGAAACTAATTTGCGATTTTGGCAACCCTCCTTTTTTTGGCTTCTGAAAACGTGATTGCGACAGGTTGCATGACAAATATTTATTTGGGGCCTTGGGACATGGTCGCGTTAAAGACGTCGACTGAATTTTGATGCTTGCTCCGAAAAAATGCAATTACCGAGTGAATCAATTATTTGAAAGGCCCTTTCAGTTCGTGCGTTTCAGTGTTCTGAAAATCCAAGGATGTCTTTATCACGGAGTTCTGAGACTACAGTTTGTTGCCGGTGGCTAATCGAACTTATTACACTTGCTGCTTTTGTTAATTGAAAATAAAACATATCCGTTACTGAATACCTCTGACATCAAATGCTTCTCCGGAACATTTAAGTTGGCTTGCAATTCCATTCCCCTGCACATGTACTTACCATTCGAAATTGCAATACAGACTATCCTATACTTAGTACAGAACAGACCTGTATTGACCAGATATTTGCCTTGTTGTATAGTAGCTTACTATTTTCGCAAGCACGCACAGTGAATACATATGTGCATGTTGGACTGATGTGGAATATAGCCTGGCTATTAACCGTTGATAGTTCTAAATAATTTAATACAGATTCTCCTATGAGTACTCAGTACAGAACAGACCTGTATTGACAAGATATTTGCCTGGTTATATAGTAATAGTAGCTTACTATTTTCACAAGCACGCACAATGAATACAGATTTGCATGTTGGACTGATATGATGTGGAATAGGCTATAGCCCGACTATTAACCGTTGATAGTTCAATATATTTCCAGCTTCAGTGTTGTGCATTCTTTTATTTTGGGCAAGGTAGTATTACGGGCAATTAGAGCATTGCCTTAGCACGACTACCGTCTCCTATCACCGTAAGGTTGTAACTCAATACAATTAGTGCTGTTTAATTGCTGGCCCTTGCCGATTTGGGGAAAACTGGTCTTACCGAGATTCATTTCACAAGTGTAGGAAGAAAAATCTATCGGCAAATCGCAGTGCCGACTTCTATATTACCTTTCTTCTTGCCTTTAGTGTTAACATTTCGAAATGAAATCATAACCCAGGGGATCTGTGTCATATCCCACAGTCCACCTGGTAATAACATAAAGTTGGAGGCTGTGGGGGAAGCGCAGAATGAGTCACCGTGGTACGGAGCGAGCGGACAGGAAAGGTGCACCGGGGCCCGACGGGGAAGGTTTAGGAAGTCGAAACAATATCCAGGGAGTTTACGGGCAAGACGAATTAGCCGTGTACGGTGTCGCTGCTCGCCCTCGGGGTGCTGCGGTATTTGTTGTGATTTCCTGCCCGGGTTTGTCAGCGCACGGGACGGTGGAGATGGATCTCTCTCTCCTTCTCTCTCGGACGATATGGCAGGTGTAGGGATAATTGGCTGGAAAGATATCACTGCCCTGCAGACAGTTAAGATATACCGCGATGATAAAATTCCGATCGGATGCAGGAGTAGCTGGGCCAATAATATCTACGCCTGTTGACAAAATTTATAGGCGAGTGGCTATGGGTAATTTTTTTTTCTTCTTTTACGCCGTCAAAGTTTCTAGACCCGCCTGCGGACTTCAAACAACTCGTCTCTCTCTTTTTTTTATGCGTATGTGAAATAACACTTCGAAAAGTGGTGCAATTCGTTGTTGAAATTTGAAGATTAATTGGTAATACATTGTTTTGGAAACCACCATACTCTTGCCACAGAGGGCGCTGTCTGTCACACTGCTAACTGCTCCCTATAGAACCATCGTCTCATAAGTTTGCATTTGCTGTCCTGAGGATTCTCCATTTGCCACTTGCGTCCTTACGCGTGTTGTCATGACAATTTCAAGGATTGTGCCGGATTGACTTTTCACCCAAACTTATCGTCGTCTTGAGGGCTGTGATTACCAATGGATTACACCTGAATCTCAAATTGTAAATTCCATCCCAGTAGATTGCGCCGATAATAGTTTGCTTTCCATAATGACGATGAGAACCGCAAGGCAGGTCGGTGAGATCTGTCTGCAATCATCAGCGACTCGCCGCGTCGTCAGGGGCTCGCGCTGATGCGGTTCGTGCCCGGCTGTGTTATTGCAGTGAACATTTCGCAGGAAATGGCCCGGAGTCAAATATTATCGACTCCGGTCGGAGCGGGACATGAATGATACACAGATGCACATGATCAGGAGCCCTGCTCTCGATCATTACTGGCAAAAGAGGAAATGAAATATAGACTCAGGTTTTTGCAACCAGTGCTTAAGACGGGTCGTTCGTTTCACCTATGCACGAGAGGAGCAAATCCTTGCGTGTTTGTATGTTTGTTCAAGTTTGTGTTGCATTAAACCACTGCACAGATTATTTGGATCAAAACAAAAAAGCTCGGTTTTGTCGACATTTCGGAAGATCTTGGTTGGTGTTTTTTGTTCAAGACCAGCGGGACGCCGCGCTACGCACGGCACCCGCTAGCCTGGTCAGTGCGCCCTCAATTGGCGTATTTTTGAGAAGGGGTTCATTATACAGTCAGGTTTCGAAATGCATATACGTTTTGGTGTGTTTTCAATAGAGATGATGTTGTAATATTTAACTATTCAAAGTCTCAAAGAAATACATTTGCCAATAAAAGTAAAACAAAACAAAACAAAACACATTTATCCTGTTCCAACTGTGACTTCAGAGGACAGTGAAATCTGTGCATAGACCAGTCAAGGACCTCTAAACACTGGATGACCGCACAATCAGAGTTTTTAGGCCTTTTACAAAAAAAGTGACACACATACATCAGAAAGACATCAGACAGACAGACAGCCTAGGTAGGATCTTATAATATAGGCTTTTATTGGCAAAACACTGAAAGGATACATGTTTTTGTATCTCTGCAGTTGCCCTGTATTATGTGTATGGACCTACACCTCTGTAATTCCCACGTTGCAGAGTGCTTGTTTCAATACTTGTAGCTTTCATTGGCATGTGGTAGATTTGTAAGTTGGGTAAAAATATTTCTTACTTGATGCCTTCATTAACAGCTTTCCTCTCCTCATCCACCCACATTCAGGCCCGCCCGTGGACGGCTCGTGGAGCGACTGGTCGGACTGGGGCGCGTGTACCGTGACCTGCGGCCAGGGTCAACGCAATCGCTACCGACTGTGCAATAACCCACCGGCCGCCAACGGGGGCGCCCTCTGCGTCGGCGAGACGATCATGTCTCAGCTGTGCAATTACGGAGTGTGTCCGGTACCAAAAGGTAAAATAAGACATGTTTTGTTACTTTTCCAACAACACATCTTTCGAGAAGTCGCTCCTAACTTAATTCAAGTCTTTGGGATAATTCGGTTCGACCCGACTCAGAGACGTAATAGGTGAAAGTGACCACAGAAATGCTATGGATCCAACTGGGACTAAACTCAGGTGTTCTGCATCTAGTCTGTCTTTAGAGATCTCTTCTTAATTTAAACTGCAAATGGATCCTCTTGAAAAGAAGCATTTCATTTTTGTGAGGGAGGAAGCTTCTGCAATATTTGTTTCTGCATAATGATTGTTATGTTATAACAAGGAGATTTGTCACACTTCACCAGATCCACCTGACACGGTCACGCAACCCAGCGTCCTGCCCGGCTGCACCTGCGGCTGCACCCTACGGTCCAACCCCACCGGGGTCATCGCCTCCTCCCCGTACGACTGCACCGTCCCGTCCACCGGTGACGCCACGGGCGGGGGCGCGGCCCCAGAGTCCCCCTCCGAGGGCCTGGTGCTGACCTGGCTGGTCCTCGTGCCGGGGGACGCCAAGCGAGTCCGGCTGGAGTTCAGCACCTTCAACCTGCACCTGCAGCAGGAGTGGATGCGGATCAGGGACGGCGGGGACGACAAGGCGAAGGTGCTGGCCTACCACACGGGCAGCAGGCTGCCGGCGGTGGTGGAGTCCACGGCCAATCGGCTGTACATCGAGTATAAGGTCTACCCCGGTGGGGAGCCGGACAGGGGCTTCAGGGCCCGCTACACCAGCCTGGGTAAGCATAGAAAGAGAGGGCCAAATAAAAAGCCAGCGCATTCGTGATGATAATATGATTTGTATCATGATGTTCAAGCTACTAACAGCTGACATGAAGGTACATTGGCCACTCAATAACTCACTCAAACAAAACTTTGCATGCCTATTCGAGCTCGAACCAAAGTCTCAGTATAGGACACTATAATATACTTAGTGCCTATGTCAGTCAGTCGGTCGGTGAGTTAGTGACTCAGTCAGTCAGGCCCATAGGCTTGCTCTTCTGTACAAGCAGAAATTGAAGAATCCTCTTCATAGAGATAAATTTTAGCCATGCCATCGAGACTTCCAGCGTTGTAAAGCAAAAATATTCAACGGTGAGGACTATGTTACATCTAGGCCCCTGACTCAGTCAGTCAGGCCCATAGGCTTGCCCTTCTTGACAAGCAAACATTGAAGACACCTCTTCATCATAGAGATAAATTTTAGCTATGTTATCGAGGCTTTCAGCGTTGTAAAGCAAGAAAATTCAGCAGTGAGGACTATGTTACAGCTAGGCCTCTGATTCAGTCAGTCAGGCTTATAGGCTTGCCCTTCTTGACAAGCAAACATTGAAGACACCTCTTCATCATAGAGATAAATTTTAGCTATGTTATCGAGACTTTCAGGGTTGTAAAGCAAGAATATTCAAAAGTGAGGACTATGTTACCAAAGAAAGTTCAGTCAATCTTATATGAGAACATTGTCCCGTGCGCGTATTTCTCCAAACCTCAAACTTCCTCCAAATCCAATCATCTTCTCCGCCACACAGTCAGTTTTCTCACTCCAGCCCCCAAAGGACCGCGTTTCGGCAGCCGACATATCCAATCAGTGAGGCCGCTGATCCATTTACCGGCCCTCCCCCGGGGACTTGAACGGCCGGTAACGACCGGCTAATTCGGTGTTCAAAGACAGAGAATTATTGGAAAGGAAGGGTGGAATATTGTATTTCCCGGTCCGTATAATGCTCGGAGTCTTCTCTTCTCTTCTTGCTGAAATTCACGCCGTAGAGTGCAGACAGATTCTAAATGTCAACAAGTTATAAACCGCACGCATTGAAGATTTCACGTGTATTTTTTAAATATCTTATCGAAACCCCCAGGCCCTTTTTGCTAGGAATCATCCTCAATCCTCCAAAATCCTCCAAAATTCTGCACCTACATTTTGTTCAAATGAAGGATACCCACTGCCTCAATCCTTCAAAATCCTCCAACAGCCCTGCCTAAAATGCATTCAGCCTCAATCCTCCTCTTCTTTAGACACCATTCATCCTCAATCCTCCAAAATCAACCAAGACTGAATGTCCATGTGCCCTTAATTCTCAAAAAAATCCTTCAAAATTGTATGTTGCATTCAGCCTAAATCATCCAAAATCCTCCAAAACCGCCCAACGGATTTTCGAGGGATTTTCGAGGATGGAGGAGGTTTAGGGTTGAGGTTGTTATTTTCTTCTTCTTTTTTTTCAAACTCAAATGCATAATTCTTTCTGTGAAGTCTAACATATGATCCACTGTTGATTTAGTGTTCCAATGTGTGTACAGGAATTCGTTTCAAGAAAATGAGGGGGGGGGGGAGGAACGAACATGAGAAAAATAAAATTGAACATTCTTGCGATTTCCCTGGTTGTCTCCCCCGCAGAGATTTTTTACGACTTCGCAGAGAAGGATTTTTTTTTGGGAAGATGACAGAATGCTTTATAAACAACTTCATACTCGAAGAAAAACAAAACAAAATGGCGGTTGATGGTGTTTGTGCCACTATTGGTTGCCACGGCAGCAGTGATGAAGTGGCAACCGGCGGTTAGGCTGACAGAGTTCAAGCGACTGACCGCGCGATGCACGTGAACGAATCCCGCCAAAAACATGAAATAAACCGTAACAAAAGTAGGTCTTGAGTTATGGGATCAGAACAGGTGAAATATATAATATTTCAGGCGTGAACCTCTATAGCTAGACTATAGTATCGGTTTTCCTTGTGTATCGGTATCGGCATTTCGTTCGGTGGGCATCTTGCAGCGCAGCACGGCGGATCGTTAGCTGACAATCATGGACGGTATGTAAATGTTTACCTCTTAAAACTTGGCAAATCGTGTTGAATTAACAATTATTCTGACTGAGGGGGTCCTATTTATTTATTTTGACGAAAGTGGTGGTCGATATTTTATCATAAAATACGGACAGGTGTACTTTAAGTGTACGATTATGGGGAATAGACGGTAAGCCTGAATTCGTTACTACCGTCTGTTATCGTGCAGAAGTACGTGCTTATTGAGGTCCTAGTGAATTGGTGCTCAGAACTGACAAGATTTGTTATAAGTTGGTTTATAAATCAGGGAGGAAGACATTTTCAATTACGTCTGCAGTCAGGATGGAATCACTGTTCATCACTACGAGGTGCGGCGGCGTCATGAAAAGACACATCGGTGTCTTGTGTGATCTGTCAGATCTGAAATGTGCTCATCAGAAACAACGTCTCTTGCGGCCATTGAAATAAAAGTCAAATCACTTCAATATTGCTTTGATGACATAAATACTTTCGAAAGTAATGCAAGTTATTTCCTTTTTACGAGTTTGTTTTATTGTTCTTGCATATTTGTTGGACGTAAGGATTCGCATTTTTGTGGTTTAGTTGTTTGTCTCGACGTTTTGCTCGCCAGGTCTGCGATTTCATGTTGCATGTAAGCGAAATGTTTGCCTATAAAAATTGATCAATATGTTTAATGGTGCTCGTGATCTAAACGGATTGAAATTGCTTGGATCTTAGTTTACAAGCCCACGAATCCTGTTTGAAGTTAGCCGCACTGTATCTCAAGCACACGATATGAATACTTTGTATAGGATCAGGAGTCTGGTTTTATTCCTTTTACTTACGATTAATGGTTCTGAGCTCGAGTCCAAGAATAATATTTACCCGTCCTTTGGCCTGAGCTTCACATTAATGACTTGTTGGGGCAAAGGTGGCCGTGATATACCTTAGCCAGGCATGCCGTCGAAAGGTGATTTGTCCTGTGGATCGTTTACAATGAACTGGAAAAACAGGCGTGCGTAATAAGGGTGCAACGAAGTAAATGGGCCGAAAATCCGTCCGCCGAACTCATGAATAATTGTTATACATGCAAATTAGTCTATATTAGAAAGTTCTGAGAGGCATAGAATTGGGGAAATGAAGACATGACACTGTGCCTCTGGCCTGGACTTGGGGCTTCCACTTCCGAGCACTTTGGATGCAATTAGGTTCGAAAGTGGCGCTATTTAGCCATGTTGTGGAGGGATCCTTCTTTTTTTTTCCTTCAAAATGGCTACTTTTCCAGTTTGGGAAATATCATTCGTTTTAGGGGTGGTCTTCTTTGGGTGTCTATTTCTCCAAAAAAGTCATTGGTCAACCTACCAGATATTGAAAGGAAAACGAAAGATGACATGCTGATCATCATTTCTACTGTGCAGCCTGAACACCTGTGAGAGGTCTGAGTATTTTTAATAGAATTTTGAAGTATGGGGATTGATCACTCGTGTCTATGGGAATGTAGGCGTTCGGAGCATGCGCAGTTCGAAGGACTCATGCGCGTACAGGCGTCCAGTGAGGATCGTATAAAACCGAGCGAAAAATTCGAGTGTATTAACTCAATGTCGTCCTTTTTGCTTGGTTCTTTGATTTGTATCAAAGTAAACTAGACGAGGCATTGCAAGAAATTGAAGTCTCCGAATTGAACTCATAAATTAGCTTCCACTCTGCATGGTATATTACTTCCAACAGGTGTATATTATAATATATACCCAACCACTTGACGCCAGCCTCTCGACATTAGGTAGACCGCACAATTATTGTTCTCACGTGCTCTAAAATCGCACAAAATAATGTCCGTGAAACGTAACGAGGCCATAAAAATTGACCCGAAAGTTGGCAATACTGTTTTTTGAAGGTTTAAACGCGATGACCTTTGACTCCAGCTGACGTCAACCGCCGGATGTAGAGTGATGGCTGCCGCTTTATGGGGTCGTGACCCCGCGGCCGTTAATCTTGAGCATACGGGGTTCGTCTGATTAGCTGCTTATTTAATGCCATGGAACTATTCAAAATATACACCATCGACCAGTGAAATAACAAACTCAAAAGACACAGCGTGTATGCATGCCACAACTCAGGATCTGGAAACCAAAATATAAAGTAAAATTCACAAGTCCACGCCCGAAACAAGAAAGGCCCCCCCCCCAAAAAAAGTTTCGACTATAGGTGGCAGAAATTTTGTGATGTTCTTTCTCACAAGAATTATAAAATTGTACAAATTCTTAAGCTACATATATTTTAGACTGGTTCCGAGGTAATCGATGATGGGAGGACTGGGAACCAGTCTCCATTTGATTGGAAATACCCCACGCATCTTACAGCGCATGCGCCGAAGCCATTAATCACATATTGTTTCCATTCGTAGTGACATAAGGTCAAATAGCTCATAACCCACAGGGAAACATAACGCTTTCCGTTCGTTTCTTTATGATCCATTCCAGCAATAAAAATACGAAGGGCTAGGGAAACATTACAAAACACGATTTCGTATGTTGAATATCCACTTCATTGAGACCCGATGGTCAATGCATTTGTTGTGGATAGGGAAAGATCATTTGCGCCGCCATACCGAAGAAATCGAACTTACAATGGAAAGTTTTGTTAGTTTCAAACTTTCATTGGTTGGAAATTCATCTCACCACCCTCCGTGGTTATTCGCGATCTCCTAAATCAAATCTGATTTCAGCCATTGATGAAATCATGGAATTATAGGCAGTCTGGATTCGGTAGTCTAGTTCAGATCCACCAAAGTTTGGATTGCCACCTTGAGTACGCGTTTGTGACTTGAACAACTACTGAAACATTATTTCTTTGATGTTTTTTTCAGATGGTGGTATTTCTCCAACCACGCCGTTGGCGGCGGGCTCTACAGGCGACGAGGCGGCCTCCGGCCTGAACCTCGGCTCCATCAACAACACGGTCATGTTGGTGGGCATCTTCCTGTGTGCTGCCATCATCATCATCTCCATCGTCATCACTGTCTTCACCGGCTGCAAGAAGACCAAGAGCCCCACGGAGATCGAGCTGCGTCCCAACCCGGGCCCGGGGTCCTCCGTTGCCTCGGCCAGTGGTCAGCGACCCTGGGGCCCGCCTGGCCACAGTTGCTCCTCCCAATCCGAGATGTCGCATCAGAGTGCCAAGAGAGGGCGCCCCGACGGTCACCTGGCCGACCGGAGCCAGTTGTACATGGTGCAGGACGAGGGATTAGCATACCTGCCGGAGTCCAACGTGAGCTTGTCATCGCCTTACCACACCCACAGCAGCGACACCATCGGCATGAGGAGACCTCCCAAGATACCGGAGGAGAAGCTCCCGAGTCCCTATCACCCGCACCGGAAAGATTTCATCCAGATGGAGCGGTTGCGCAAGGTGGGACTCCCGTACCACATCGGCACGGGCAGCTCCCAGAGTGAGCTGAGTCGCCACAGTGGTAAAACGGACAAGAATACCACCACGCTGGCAACCAAGACACCGGAACACCTGGCAATGCGTGGCTACAGTGCGGCGGGGAGCCAGGCTAGCTTTGAGCAGAAGTATGGTTCCCTGCCTCGTAGTGATACTCGTAGTGATCATAGGCAAAGTGACCATCGACACAGTGACCAGCGTCACAGTGATCATCGTCATAGTGACAATCGCCACAGTGATAATCGCCATAGTGACCACAGGAGTGACCACCATCACAGTGACCATCGCAGCGACCATCGTAGTGAGCAAGGCTTTGATAGCAACCTACCCTGTGTCAACAGAGAGGGCCAACTGACACCCTTAGGGATGGCCCTCTCTCGAAACCAAAACGTCAATCAGAACGAGTTTAGAACTCCGGAAGGTTTGCCTAACATACCGGAGGGGCAGCCCACGCCCCAGAACCATGTCAGCAACGTGTGGCCGCCGGCTCCCAACGAAGGGAGAACGGTGGCCGAGATCAACAGAATCACACATGGGAACAGGAAAAAATCCACACATGGTGAAAATAGCGTACACCCGGTCGGTGTGCAGAAACCATTAGTCAATGGGGAGTCACCAACCGGTCAAAGACCGAGGAAGCTACCTCTGACTCCAAGACAAGCCTTCTTTGACGACGCAGAAAGTCTTGGCGTTGTCACTCCCATGACTGACATTTCCTCAAAGGACAACATGCAGATACGAAGCCCTCGGTCGACTTTCAGCCCGAAAAAGAACGAGGTTGTAAGCATCAGTAACAGGGGAATGACGTCACCTCTCTCATCTCCTGGCGAAGGTGCCCCTGGATACACGGGCAGCTCCAAGCGAAATAACCCAGGAGCCAATGGCCGCTCCAAACGGAAGAAGATGCCTCATTCCAGCAGCGCGCGCAAGACGCGTAAGTCCGAGGGGAAGCGCACGTCTTCGGGAGACGAAGACGGACGGACGGCCGCTAAGCTTGCCCTGTACAGCACGGCAGAATCGGACGACGCCAGCGCCACGAATTTATTGAGCGAACCCTCGTCTCCCGTGCGCATACCCGAGCTGGACAAGAAGCAGAACACGGACAGGCTGAAGTCCGTGTTCATCAGCGACGAAAGCCTCGCCAAGACCTTCTCCGGCGGGGAGAGTTCCCGGTCGGGCATGACGCCGCGCACGCCTCGGCGCCTGCCAAACACCCCTCCTTCGGGCTTCTCCCCTACCTCCAGCAAACTGAAGAGCGTCCTGGTCTATTCCGACTTCTCGATCGACCAGGACGAGCCAGAATATGACGACTTCATTCCTAATTTACCGGGGACCTTCTTCGAGAATCAGACCCCCTTGCCGACGGGGCTCAGCCCGGCGCGAAAGAAAAATCTCCCGCTCAAAAAAACCGCGCATTCGGCCTCAGCAGTTTGATGACAGTCCACACACGTAGCTTTTTTATGTTCATAATATAATAGAGTCTAGAAAATATGCTGTATGATGTAGTATGACTTATAGCTGTATATAGTTGTAAACAAAATCTTGCAAAAATAGACGAGAAATTTAAGTTTAACACAGCAAATATGAAACATGAATGTTTAGTGTATGTAACTTGTACTTACGGCGCTGTAGCTTATTGAGGATCATACGGAACAACCCTGCTTCAATGGGCAGTAATTGAGTATTGTACATGTTTTCCGTCTGAGATGTAAACTACGGTCAGAATCGTGCTGCGTGGTTTTTTTTCCGCGAACGTCAATTCGTCTGTTCAAATTACGTACCTATTTACCACACTGTGTTTCCGTCAATGTGATACGTCATGTTTGCATAATTCAGGGCGTAAGGTATGTTTGTTACAAAGACACACAGGAGTTGGTATTTTGCGTCAAATTAAGAGAAGCGCCCTCAACTTGGGGGCGTTGTTAGGAACTGTCGGCTTGATTCAGTAAATGTGAAGGTGTTATGATTTCATTACGACATAACAAAAATAGTGTGAAATAATTTGAATTTCAATTGGGCGGTTCAGACGCACGTCATAATGCTGCAATACTTAAACAAAAATGGACGTCTTTGCTATTAAAGTGAAGACGATCTTTCCCTTATCCGTCAATTCCACCAGAAGTTCTCACAATGTAATATATACCACAGTGCAGCGCATACAGTACCGACTTTTCTGAAATACTTTTCAATTTCAAGAGTACAAAATGGTGTTCGGATAAAGCTGTTTAATATTTATTGAAGGAATTACCAGAAGAGGTTTTTTCTAAGAAATAGAGTAGAGTATTTATATTGTGTAGAAAAATGCAGCAGCTTCGAGGTTTTAACGTGTCGTCCGATTGTAATGTCATATTGACAGGTTACGTTGTATGTCGGGTGGCAGGACTTTAATACCTGAAGAAGTACAGACTTTTTGGTCTCTAAAAAAATTGATCAATATTTATTGTATTGAATTAATGGATTTGTACCATTTTTTAGATGACTTACCGTGTTTCACTTTTTTTTTCGAAGTCTTCGCTTTGAAGATGTTTCAATATTCGTGTGACGAGATTGTGGAGTACAAAAGCTGTCATGTTTATTGCATAGCGCCCTCTTGAGAGTACATTTTCTTAGTCAGGAAGATGGTAAATTATTACAGGCACACTGGACCAATTTGTAACGATCGACTTCCATGAATTTTGTGTGCCTTCCTCGATGATGTCTTTGTAACAGTCCTCCCCATTCACCGATTTCATGGTGATTTTTTCCTACTGTTTTACATACGTATACCCTCCAATAATAAGGCACCGTGTGTGTTTTTTCCTAAGGGTTAATCTCACGAGACATATTTAAATCTTAGACCTGGTATTGAGCTGTTCTTGACAACTCGTCACAGTCTAGTATGGTTCGACGTTGGCGGCGCTCGTCACGTTAATACGATTCATGTTCCTTGATGAAGGGAGTTCCATTTTTGTATGGAAGACAGTACAATCGTTATGTTTTTATCTGAACTACAAACAAGCACAATGGGAAGGGAATGTGTGCCTTGATCCGTATTAAAAATAGGTTTATGAGTGCCTAAGGTATTATGCAAACGGTCCTACGACACGAATTTGTATTCGTAAACCTTTGGTCTTTTCTCTTCCAAATTGTAAACAAGCAATTTCACTCGTGCCATTTGTTTTGTTTAGTTGTTCAAACGATATGATGTAAAGAGACGGGGTCCTTTATACTCGAATACTCGATGATTATTGTCTGTCTCAACATGCTGCAACCAAGAATGTATGCCCCATCTTGGTCTTAACCCCAGAGACATTCCCCATAACTTACGACATCAGCATGGTGTATGCATCAGCACCAGTCCATTTCCATCGTGTGTGTTTGGCCCAACCATAAGAAAACATTGCCACGCTGCATGAATTTGTAGGATTTTAGTGTTTTATCGAAGATGTCTGACAACAAAACAAGGTCTTAAGTTTGTTTTTGTTTTTTTGAGGGCTCGTTCCAAAATGACAGAATGTGTTACCCCAAAGAGCGTGACATTTGAAAATTTTTTTTTAACGTCCAGCGGTAGTCTGACCAGTGGTGTAATTCTTTGCCGGCGAGTGGGAGGGGGGGGGTTGACCAAAATCCAAAAATTGCCCGGCTGTGGGTGTTCGAAGGGGGTGGACACTACATGTACAATTTCAACAAGAACATGGGGCATATGCATTAGCTACATAAACGATCCATGATGCATGATGGCGAATGCGCGATCGCGAAAAATGCTCGTCGTACATTTTATGCAAGCTAACACGTTTAAAATACATTTTCGTTCTCCGTTTTTCAGTGCTGTCTAAAACAATTAGGCTGTAGGAAAGTTTGAAAATAACCTTAAAATTGGCATTTGTGGTTTCTCACCACACAAATCTGGGGTGGGTATGATCCAGTGCCCCCGGTCAAAAAGTGGGAGGTATATTTCCTCTACCCCCACCCCATCCCCCACCCCATCACCCCATCCCATCACCCCACCCCACTCACCCCACCCCACCCCCGGTATTTACGTCCTTGAGTTTGCCTTGTTAAACACTCGTTCGGCATAGCTTAATAAGTCTTGCAAAGATGAGATTTTGTTCAGAGTCATTCCAAATGATATTAAGGAGCTGCCTGTGAAGTGGACACCAGACTCGTGGTTTTTTTTATTAATTGTCTGAAATAATAATTATAGTGTCGTTTTACACTTTGAATATTAATTAAATGGAGTCAAGTCGAGTGTGAATTGGTGTTTCGTTGTACCGTAGAATTTATTTCCTGTGAATTGAGCCCCGAGACGTTACATGAACTTTGACTTTTATCCAGACATGCCTGTTTTTGATTTTCCAGCAGAGAATGACACCATGAATAATTTCTACTCTAAATGAAGGAAGTAAACCAGTTCAACACTGAAATGGAAACGAAGTACGAAGTTGAACAGAAAGTCAAGATTTATAGTATGAAGCGTTGGAATTCCAGAAAATTTGTCTGATCGAAACCCATCGGTAATTTTCACCAACAACAATGGTGTGTTACGTCCTCGCCTACTTGTACAGGAGACCATATTGAAACCAAAACGAGGCTAGCTGCCCTGGAAAGGCACATGCTTTTAGCATCGCTTCTGTGTATGTTTGCCAAAGCATGTCAGCCTCTTTTTCAAAACTAAATGGCTCATAGGGTCCTGATGCATAATCAAATGGCTCTCCTGATCCAACAGTGATGTCTCATATAGGCCGCCAGAACGCCAGATGGCAAGGCTGCCTCATAACAAAAATACCTCGAGGTGGCTAAATTCAACATCATGGCTCAGCCAACAAATCATTTAATTGTCAAAATGTTGTAATTTTGATTCTCCTGAATTTCATTATACTCAATTAAAGCTATATTGGTTTCAATTATTTCCATAGTCGTGTTCGTCGTCAAAAGCGAAAGGTATTAAAACGTTTCGAGATATTGGTATAATGTTTAAGAAGGAATCTACCTAGATAGTCACTACGAATGTGGTTTTACGGCGCCAATATTTGATGGGGTATAGCTCCACCATCAACAGCTTCCATTTGAACGGGTTCCACGCCTCCTTAGGGTATAACGCCTTCATTAGCCGGTGTGGTTGACTCGTCTGAGCGATCACCGGGTCTGGGGCGTCTCCCAGGCCTACGACCGGGGCGCCTGCAGGGCTTGCGACGTGGTGTCTCACCCGTGGGAGATGGGCTGCGGAGGGGGTCGGGGGAGGGGGAAGGTCCCATGCCTCCGTCATCGTCTTCGCAGTCTTCATCCTCGTCGTCGGGTCTAGGGCGTCCACCGGGGCGTCCACCGGGGCGTCCACCGGGGCGTCCGCCGGGTCTACCGCCAGGCCTGCCACCGGGCCTTCTGCCTGCGTCTCCTTCGCCGGGCTCATCTCCTCCTTCGCCGGCACCGGGCCGGTCGACGGGTCTACGGCCGGCGGGCCTGCTGCGTCCGCGGGAGGGAGCAGCCAGTGCTAGCCCCACTAGCAGGACGGTGAGCAGACACACCAGACTCAAACGCATGGCTGCAGTTGTTGCCACTGTAGGGAAAGGAAATCAAGACATAAGTCCATATTCTGAGCTAACTTCTGTCCTTTTTTAAGCTCTGGCAGGAGCTTCTAGGCCTCACATGTCACTTGGTGCTCGGTCGGTCTCACGGTCTGACTGTATGTCTGTCTGTTCCCGAAAATTATCAAAAAAGTATTTTACAAAAAGAAATGACCAAATTCCATGTCTTCATCAGTATAAATGCACTCTTGACGAAATTTATCGAAAAACGGGCTTTGTCATGATCGATGTGCATGTGCGTCTTTTTTGCATATGTCTGTCCCCTGAAAATTGACCAAAACTGAGCCCCCTAAGATTTTTTAAAAATAAAACTACCAAATTTTAATTTAACGAAAAAATCAAACAAATGAAATGAAATACCTATAACTGTTTGTAACAATTCGTTGTTTATAACACTTTTGAACATGGAGGCAAGACAATGTGCAGTAATGCTCACGCGGTATATAGCACACTATCGTTATGGGAAAGTTAGGGGCTTATTTTTGTCAATTTTTAGCACGTGATTTTCGCGTGGGACGGCGGCCCGGGTTGCGCTTGTACACACCATCTTGCAAGTCTTCCATGCAAGGCGGCCAGATCTTGCTTTTCAATCGGAGAATCAACGTTAAGGTATTGGTCAACTTTTGTAGCAGACATATCAGTAGGCCTGTCCCGGATATCTGGAGAAAACTTTACGGTGAAGTTAATGTATTTCAATCAGAGGAAATGCCGGACCGGGCAAGAAGATCTCATATACTTACAGTGCGACGAAAAAAAATGGTGGAAATTTGCGTGTCCAAGGGACCCTGGTAGCGATCCAATCTACAAGCGTCCGAACTCAAGGCGAAGCTGTGTGAGACTGACAAGATTCGCTTGTCCAAGCAGAGTCCGTTTGGAATACGAAATCCTTGAGACTTTACAATATGACGTGATGCGACTTTTTGTCAGAGCAGTTGCGTCACTTTCTTCCCATTCGTGCGCCCCGGTACCTGGTACGAATCAAGAATCGATTTCAAAACTGAGTTTAACATAAAAATAGCCTTCGATGGAGCGTGGATGATCCATACAAATAGGTAAACATGTGCTCGTATGTACATGTATATCTAACTTTTAAAAAAGTTTATAAAGTAGCCTCTTCGAACGTTCGTTATAAAGGAGAAAATTCCAAATGCAAAAAAATATGTATCTTTCGTAAAAAAAAAAAAATTGCCAACAAAAAACGTATCTTGAAAACTAGCCGTAGAAATCAATTTGTATAGTAACCCTGGACTGTACTGGTTTAAATGTGGTCCTTGCAAGTATTGTCGAGGTTTTAAACTTAAATAGGCTTCTCATAGGCTTTTTAAAATCCCTGTTGATAGAAGTCCCGTGAGGTCGATGAATGTACAGTGTTTAGGATGTGGGGAACCCCACAGAATGCCTGGGCCCTTGAAGAGACGGTTCGTTTTGAAAGTGAGAGAACCAAAGCAGACTTTTGGATTCGCAAGTAATAACAATGATACCGGAGTCTCATTTTATCATATGTATCTTCCAACAATTAGGTATTAAAGGCGCTGGTAATTATGTCTATTTTTAAAGACAGGTAGATGAAGTTTGTGAGTAATATTAGAGGCCCATTGGTGCAGCGCATATTGCAGCCACTGCCATAAACACCGGGGCAAACCCCTTCTCTCAGCGAGAAGTGTTACTGGGTTATTTAACGTGCATTACACAACATACGGGACCTACGGCTTTACGTCCCGTCCGACGGACGGAGCAATAATGGTAAAGTGCCTTGCTCAAGAGCACAAGGACCATGTTCCCACGGTCAGGATTTAAACCCATGCATGTACCACGGCACACGAGTCGAACACCGTAAACATTGGGACCACAGCACCCCATAATATATATAGCTCAGCAACCCGCATGGCCACAACAGGAAAGAGACTTTGTTTAGCTACTAAAACCTTGCTGATGTTCAAGTTCGGCAGTTCCGTGCAAGTGAATCTTAATTGTTGAGATGGGAGGTTAAAAAAAACCGCACATGCCGCCACCGTGTAGGGGTTCGAACCCGACACACACGACAGATAAGAAGTCGAGGCCGGTACCACGTCACCAGCCAAACTCGAGCCACCGCCTTGCCCCTTGTCACATGACTCTCTCCAGTGTCTTGAGTTGTTGCATCAATGAGTCAGCAGTAAGCTCAAGAGTAAACAACTTCACAGAGTAAAGCCGGCTTAAACTAGATGTACTTTGACAAGCAAAATAGAAAGTTGAAGGGAGATGACTAAGGTAGAAATTAGTGATTAGACCATTCTGTGCAATTACACAAACAGTCTATAAGATAGCCGCTTGCTATACTTCGGCTTAATTGCAATCGGGAAATGTGCTTTAAATACTCAGCAATCAATTGTGACAATTAGAGATGAATCGTAAAATGAGCACTACGTGTGTCATTATTATGTCTGCCATTGAACCAGTGTTGGGTTGTTCGTTTGTTTGTTGGGTTGTTTTTCTCTGCTTGTTTGCCACTGTTCCATTTTCTTCAGAATGGGATATGGAATTCCTGCCAACAACTCTTGCATTTCCCTGTCATCCATAACTATAGTTTACCCAGGGCAAGACTCTCATTTTCCAAGGGATTAATATTCTTCTTCCAGGTAACGCCAGGGACGTCTGGCCGTACCTGTCACGAAGTTGCCCCGTGATCCTGCCAACAAAGCAAGGGTTACGCAATAGTCAACATCGACACAAACATCCATCCTTCGTGCTTGATTAGGCACCCTATAATACATCCCTGTGCCATCTTGCACCAGCCACTTCCGTACGGACAAACAAACTCCAGTTTCTTAGGCTTTTCTGATCATTTGAGAAGCATGGCGCACCAATGATTTGTCTTTAGAGAGGACTTAAACCAGTGTTTTTTATCGGCCGTAGTAAATCCCAAGGCTCGTCTTGTAGAAAATGCCTCCATACTTTTAGTTTGCTTTTTTTTTGCATTTACAGTCGTACAGGTACAAATTATTTTTCCATTTAGTTTATTTGAACTTATATGAATTATGTAGTTCATTTACTTCTCATGTTCACTAACTATCCCGTAGGCCTATATCCGGTTGACCTCAATGTGTTTCCGTATGCAGTTATTAGAAAGCATGGAAATATAAAAACAAAAAGAACGAGAGGGAAGCTGGACCTCATTCGACACTTGGTGGCGTTGTTCGTGATAATATGAACTGCAAAAATCCGCATTGATACTTCCTCTTCAGCAGTTTCTGTTGTACACTCTAAGCTTAATTCAAATCTCAATATTGGCTTCGAATTAGTTTTTTTCATTTTCTTTTTTCCCTTTTTGGATCGGGGAGGCTGATTAGCCTTTCGCGAGCCCCCCCCCCCCCCCCCCAGCCCCCACCCCATCCCCGGATGTTGAACTGTTGGAGACTTCAAGTGTGGTCTGTGGGAGGGGTGTTAAAACACGCAGACAAACCAAGAGCCTCTTCAGCACACAAACAAGCACACCCACTCTTGTTTTGCTATACTCTCGAGGCCAATGCTTTGTGTGTCCCTTTGTCCCTGTAATATAACACTATCCCATAGACACACAAACTTACTTCAGAGGTATTTTCAACGAAAGACCCAACTCCCGAGTGCTGAAAGTATCCGTTGTTCTCATGTTGTGTCAGTTGTGTCATGCTAAATCTGAGACTCGCTCAACTAATAAACAGAGTATGTGTGCCTCCGATTATTTTGAAATATGCATGACGGAATTCAGTCTGTATGAGCGAAGATTGTCCTTGCTATTTTTTTCTGTCATGTTGTTTCCCTCGATATTTATAAAAGAAATTGTGTTTTTGTTTCTAGGAGACAGCGATTTGTGAACTAACACATCCATGGCTAACTTTTATTTAAAATAAGAACAATAAAAACAATAATGAATTCGTCTTTTACAAAGACAAAAGCAACAACAAAAAAGTAACAGCTCAGAAGACATTCATTCTACAAAATTATCTTTATTGTTTCCGTCCAAAACTATCATGTTAATCAAAAGTTTCGGTGAATTACAGTGCTGCTTCACATTTTTATGATAATGTTAATTAAGAAAAAATGGACCTTTGATATATAGCTTGTTATTATTTTTATCTTTGGAGGAGAGAACAATGCTGATTATCCTCAGGGATTATTATATAAACTATCTGATTGTCATCAGAAAACTACGAAGGTATACTGCAAGAAGTCCCGTAGTTAGCGACGGAGGACCCTGAATTTATGTGGTCTGCTGGCCGCCTTCATAGGACCATGGAGTCCCTGCCAACTTAACGCCTGGCTGGTGGGTTCCCTTCGCCTTCGTCACCTCCATCGGTCGGGGGACGGTCGCCTCCGTCACCGCCATCGGGTCTTGGGTTGTCGCCTTCGTCACCGCCATCGGGTCTTGGGTTGTCGCCTTCGTCACCTCCATCGGGTCTGGGGTTGTCGCCTCCGTCACCTCCATCGGGTCTTGGCTCATCGCCTTCGTCACCGCCATCGGGTCTGGGACGGTCGCCTTCGTCCCCATCACCAGGTCTTGGGCGGTCGCCTTCATCATCGCCCCAGCCGTCATCGGGTTTAGGCTTGCCGCTGGAAATGCAGGCCAGGGACACCTCCACGAGGAGAAAGGTGGCCAGCAATGCGAGTGTCAGGCGCATCTTCATGTTGTCACTGCCGGAAAAAAAAGAGGAGGATACATTAAGTAAGATTAATGGGAGTTCTGAGGCCCATCGACTTAACTATGGAGTCCAAGTTACAGAGGACACTTTAAATAGGCCTATACGGGGACCCGGGTTTCTTTTAAGATAGAAACCTCATTTTGCCTTCCATAAACTCTAAGTGGGGGCGTCAATTTTTCCCTACAAATCTTTAAGCGCTTCCGCCAATTTTATTCACTCAGTGGGATAAATCTGTGTCGACTACTGGGGGGATGACGCCCCAAAAATTCAGAAACTTTCCCATATGTTGCAAAGACGAGAGGCGGGGGGGGGGGCTGGTCATCGTTTGGGAAGCTGTTCATAAGCCCTCAAAATCCAGAAACCATGCGTCGCAAATACGAGAGGGGTTGGCCTGGACATCATTTGGAGCGCTGTTCGGATACTGCTCAGAACTGTTTTTTATGTGTGTGTGATCCATCCACTCAATTGCAGAAAAGAGCAACTTCGTCTCATATTTACTACTCTTAATTTTAGTTTTAATTTTATGAGAGGCTGCAAGATTGTTTTTCTTTCTGTTCAGCACAAAATTCTCGGGGGGGATCCAATCCCTCCTTTTCTTCCCCCCCCCCCCCCCACCCCCCGGCCAAACTTAGTGTGGTTTACGCCCTTGGATTCACTCGATTGAAATCTTCAGTATTTAATCATGCAATTTGTGATCCGAATGCTTTCTAATCTTAAATTTATCGTACTGCTAATATCCTTCCGATTTCTAAATGTGACTTTTGTTGAAGAGTCGAGACAACATGCCATGGCCCACGCTGGTGTCTGCAGAGGATTCACATGATGCTCAGAGTAACGTGTTTTATTTTGCGCACTGTTGGGCTAATCAAGGCGCATCACATTCAGATATCTTAGACTACAGAAAAGGCCCGCTCGATGATTAACATACTCCATCATCATTTAATTTATATCCTCTGCCATTCCCTGATAACCTTAAATGCGTCATCTCAACTCCATGCTTTTAGTTTACGAAGCTTTAAATTTCCACATTAGTCCCCTTTTCAGGAAACTGATATTCGGTAACCGGAAAAAAAGAAATGTGCTTATGTAGCTTTAGAATTTCCCAGTAGAATATAATGCAAGTAAATATTTATATTATCAAAACAGTGGTAACAATATGCCCAACAAATGGACACATAAATTATTGCAATTCATGGCTTTGGCAATATTAGTTTCTTGATTTGTTGATTATAGTGGGCCTACTTCCTTGCGAAAAAGAATTCATGGAACAAGTCGTTCGCGTTTCGAGGAAAAGGTAACGTGTTCGGGTTATTTTTTCAGGAGTTGATCCGTCCGTTAAGGTTCAATATTTATAGATTGAAACAAAATGAATGTTCTTTTTCAGAAAGATCTTATTTCTATGAATTCTCTTTCATGGAGGCTACAGGCCTATTGACAAGTATAAAGTTGTAAGATTTTAGCGTCTAATTCGTTCACACTGAAACCGGTTTATATAACGGAATTACAATTGCATTTGGGTGAACTTTTCAAAGAGCAAATTTCAAGTTACAAGTACGATTGTAAAAACTTACGGTATGTCGAAGAACGATGCAGAGGAAAGTGAAAGTTGTCGGTGCGTCTGCGTGTTTTGGGCCGTAGTTGCTGGGACCCTGCCTTATAAACCCCGGCCCCAAACTTCGCCAGTAGCTCTACTGTCAATAAAAGTTATGTAACTGTTCTTATAATTAGTTTAAACTCAGTCAGTCTACATCCTTTCATAAATATTCTCTCCCGAGCAATATTCATATTCAAGAGGCTTTTTGCGATGTCATATTTACCTAAGGGATAAGGATTCTTTTATAGGGCGTGGTACGTGAGCACTGCTTGTTTGAGCAGGGGAACGAACTTTTAAGATGTAGTTGGTGTGGAAACGAAAGAAAACTTTTCCTTTTTTTTCATAAAAAAAGCAAAAGATAAATTGTGTAGGCCTATGGTATTTACAGTGGAGTTACTAGGGTAAACTTCTGGGTGCACAGTACACAAATTAAGTGACATTTTAACAGTTAATAGTCAATCATATGTACTCTATCCCTATACATTACATCCCTTATATATGATTTGTTTTCGTTTTGCTGAATGAACACTTACCTTTTTGTGATACGTGGACAGAACTTTAAAACGGTGGTTGTGTTCAAAAGCCCGTAACTTAAAAAGTACGTGAATGATTTGAATGACTCTTGTACTAAACGAAAGCTTATGAATTGGGCTTTCATATGCTAGATTTTGAAAGTGCTACATTTAGAACTTCACTAAAACAATGGCCCCGACATTTGGGTTCCGCTATTTTTTTTACTCATCCTGTATATGGTCCTTGGAAACGCAATTGTCTTCAGCTCCTCATCACGTTTTTTTGTGTGTTTTGTGCTTGTAACGATTAGCTATTTCCTTGGCTAATTCACAGAAGAGGCTAGACAATTACACAGCCTGTATTAGGTGGTACCTCTGTTTGCTTAAACTAGCATACGTCAATGCAACGTCAATGCAGTCAATGCCCCCCCCCCCCCCGGTTAAATCTCCGCCTCTGGTTATCCTTATCTGTACAGTCTTGTCTCACAAAGTATATGTACAACAAACGCACACTTGGATTCAATTCTAGTCTCTCTAATCCATCAAGTTGAACGCAAATCCCGGCTATTTGTAGGAGAAATCCCCCTCCCCGATATTATTGTCCCAGAAAGCTTAAAAAGATAGAAGCCCCAGAAGATTTACCGCTAATGCAACTAGTCAATACTTCAATAGCGCCCCTTGTTTATATAAGAGGCCGAAAAAAACAGTGACAGCATCGCCCGGCCTACGATATGCAATAGTTCAGCAAAACAGATATATTTTTTTCCCGGGGGTGAGGTTTTCCGCCGAAACTCAATGTCCCCCAGTGGCGTAAATCCATGCCGGCGAGTGAGGGGGATGACTAAAATCCTAAACTTGCCAGATCGTGGAAATTCAAAAAGTGGCTGGGGTAGGCTGGACACAACATGGCCTAGGGGACACGAATGTGCATCTTATGCAAACTGGCGCGCGTACAATTAATCGCGACGGTGCATTTCAAGCTTTTGGGCTCTTATAGTTCGCTTATTTAATATTGGGCTGCTTGAAAGTTAGAAAATAAACCTTAAAACCGGCATTTTGTTTGTTTCTCACCACACATTCTGCCGGGAGATCCAATGGCCCATCCTCCCCTGGTCAAAGGGGGGATATATCCTCCCCACCCATCCCCTCCACTCGGGATTTACGCCCTTATTGTCCCCCGCACTTCGAGGAGAATTATTTCACTGTCCCCATCACATGTAGCGCTTGCATCTATACAGTAGAACGCCACTATAATGACCATGATGGGGTTTATAAAAAAGGTTCATTATTACAGTGGTTGTTCTCTATAGTGCTTGTGCATTATAACAGATTCAATATTTTGGGAGCCAAAATTGATGTTCGTTGTAGCCAAATTAATGTTCGTTATAGCAATACTCGTTATAGCGACGTTTCACTGTATATCCGCACAATTTTCTCTGGTACATGGTATGTATAAGAACTGTCACTTCCACGTACCGGATATTACATATTTTGGTAGACGTGCGTAGGCCTATACGCGTTTAGACCGACATAAAAAAAATTACATAAATCCTGCGCCGTTGAATAGCCTGTCAATTTAGTCGCTAATTTTGAGTTGGACATGATGTTGCCTTTTTCGGAAATCAACAAATCAGATGTCAAGATTTGAAATGAGCCTGCGGGGAACTCAAATATCTGCTTAGGCGCGCATACGAGGACGGAAACAGGACTGGGGACATGCCCGAAGATTAAACTAAAATGTATGACTCGGTATTAAAGTAATGCAGAGACGATGAATGATGTTCGCAGTGTTGTGTTGTTACATCTATGATCCAAGCGTCCTGCTGAGCCAAAAACACAGAACTTAAATCGAATGTGCCATTGCTTGGCCGAAACTATAAAGATATTATGATGTTATCTGGATAAGAATGGCAGGCTTTAAAAAAAAATGGACTAAACACGAAACAGTACTGTATACAATTGGGCGTTTTGATTATTCTTTTTTTTGGGTTGAACTCCGAGAAATTTACATGACAACTGAAGATGTAATTAGCCTGCCCCATCCCCGTAGGCCAGGAAGCTGTATTCATGAGTAGCTAGCTCAAATCTAATTGGTCGCCTCGAATGTTCAACGCTATAAATTATCTCTTGTGCTGATTTCATCTGTAGTGAAGTTACCGCGCAACGACACGTAGTCTCCAACACGCCCATGACTAAATCCTGGACCACTCACCGCCCGGTTGTTAGCGTTCTCGTTTAATGTCAGCGAAGCCAGGCCATGCATAACTCTCTATGCAAGAAGGCTGTCTTTTGCAAAACGAGATTTCTCACAAAAACGTTCGGCGAACATTCATCAGGATGGAGATCGAAAATGCGACATCGACGGCTACGGCGGTTGAAGACGTCGTATTCTCGACTTACGGCGAGCGTCAACTTATTGCAGCATTTTACGGCGTGGTGGCCGTAGTGGGTACGGTGGGCAACTGCCTGGTTCTCCTGGCGGTGCTGCTGTCTCGCAAGCTCCGCACTGTGCCCAATGTTTTTGTGGTCAACCTCAGTATAGCGGACCTGATCTCGAGTCTGTCCGTGCCCTGGCAGGCGGTGGCTGTGTTGAGCGTGGACAAGTGGCCTCTGCCGGACTGGGTGTGTACCATGGGTGCTTTGGGCGTCCTCATACCCATCGGCTGCAGCTTGGACACGCTGGCCCTGATCGCCGTCAATCGTGTGGTGCTCATCACACGCACCAAAGCCACCTACCAGAGACTCTACCGGCGGCGCTGGATCGCAGTCATGGTCATCGCCGCCTGGGCGTTACCCCTGACCATCGCCAGCCTCCCGCTGGTGTCTCACATCGTCGAGTTCGGCTTCGATTCGGTCTTCGGCACGTGTGGTTGGGACAGCTGGAACCCCAACTCTCCGATCTACGCGCTGATATTGGCAGTCGCTAGCTACCCTGTCCAGCTCTGCACCATCATCGCATGCTACCTGGCGATTCTGGTCCATCTCTGCAAGCACCACAAGGCGCTGACCATGAGAGTCCATGATGAACAGGCATCGGTTCAAGACACCACCAGCGTCTTCACCGTTGGCAGTGCGGCAGCCCCAGTGCCTCTGGCTCCGAGGCCGGCCCAGCGGAATCACCGAAGGCGTCAGATTGCCGTTACCAAAAACCTCTTCTTCGTTGTCTGTGCTTTCTTCCTCTGCACCACGCCCTACGCCATCTGCATCATGCTGCAAGGCACTCAAAAACTTCTGCCGTATGTGACTGTTCTGCTTTTTGCAAATTCTTGCCTGAATCCTTTCATTTACGCTACAAAACATCCAGACTTTAAGAAAGCATTTGGCTGCATGCTCCGCTTCAGATTCCGCTCAATACCATGAACACGAACGTAAACTTGATACGATGAGGCCTAAATTGTTGGTCGTTTGAGGCTGCAGAAACTTTATATCGGCCGAGATATCATTCTGAAAGAAGAACATCATATGGCATGCCCAACAATCTTGTGAAAGTATTCCGAGGTGTATCTGATAGGGCAGACACCTAGATATGCCTTGTATTTTAAATCGCACATAGGCCTAATCAGTCAACAATTTAATTTCAGAAGAATTGTTGATGATGTTTGTACAGTGGTATACAAGCTCAGACTGTCACTCTTTGCACTTAAATTGAACTGTAAAAATGCACTAGCGTCATCGTAATTGGCTAATAAGTGGGATGATTGCATTTTTAGCGCAATTTCAATGGCATTAAATATCCACTGTGTACTCATTCGTTTTCCTTGTTGAACTGTTTATCATGGATGAAACCCCGTTAATTCAATTAATAAAAAAAATATTCCATAATCTATAATTATTGAAATCCAATTAAGCTGCGTTTAGTAAGATGCCTTCTCTCTAAGGCATTTTCAAAAGCACGGTTTCTGATAATGTCAGTTCTGAATGGGCATTCATTTACGGATGGCGGAATTTGAATCATCAGATCCCAAATGGTCCCGGATGACAAAACATTCAGTCACAGTTTTAATTATTGCCAAGTAAATAACCAAAATAACAACAACATCATGCTCTGGTGGACGAATGTCATCCGCAGGCTTGTGGTCTTGAATAATAATCTACCAGCTTCTTATAAATTATAAAATTATAATACGAGTTTTATTTTTGGGTTCGTTGGTTCAGGCACAACACTAAAAATACGCAGTTGTCTGCATTTAGATGAACAAAATACCAGCACAGCTTTTGGAACAGAATAAAATTTCGAATCAAATTTTCTCCCCTTTTCCGTCCCATTGTTCCGAGTACAGACTCCAATTTTAATAATTTCATGTTTCCCTTCACTAGATGTTGCACAGACGCAAAAATCAACGGACACGAAAAACGAACAAAAGAACCCGCTCAAAATTATTTGTTATTTCCCAACGTACAATAGAATTTATTTCTGCTTTCTTACATGCGACTCCAATGGCATATTTTTTTCGTGCAAGTTAAATCATATAATTTCATGGAAAACAAAACATTACATTTTAATTCTACTTGTACCATAAATGTTATAAACTGAGGCACTTCGCGGTTGTGACGACAAACGAACACACGGCATAACTAAACACAGGTGTAAAAAAGGTCGTGTGTATGGTGCGAGTAATGTATTTTTTTTCGCAAACCAAAAGGTCTTTTTAGTCATGGCACAAATTGTCCTTGCAGCACTGGGGGAGAAAAACAAATTTCTTTCAAATTCTTTTTCCAGGTAAGTTATTCCAAACCTAAGTAAAGCCGGCGGGTAATTAAAAATACACTGACGTCGGCATGTAAACATGTTTACAATCTTGCATGCTTGACATACTGCTAATAAAATGAACTTTTACATGTCTACTTGCATAGAATTTGTATATTATATTCTTTGTAAAGACATCTTAACAGGGTTCTGTTTTACCAAAATAATTAATTTCCAAACTAAGTTTTAAAGAACTCACACATTGTAAACTCTTATATTCTCATTACTGTCACACGAGCAAGCAAGCTGTCGGTCTACAAGCAAGCTGTCGGTCTACATGCAATATGGGGAATGGAAATTAAAAACATCGTGTTGACTGCCCATCAAACTGACCACGTTGACAGGATTCTTAATTTTAATTAACTGGTACCAACTTGATTAAAAACAAAGATGGTGAACACCAACCATCATACAGCATAAAGATGAGCGGCAAATCAAACCAATGGTGCACTCACTGCTGTAGCAATGCAAACACTGCTTCTAGGTCAACATAAAGCGTACTCTGACGTGTATTGAGGCCCACCAATAAAATTAGACTTGACATTCAATGTACGCACATGAGCAACAGACGTTTTGCTGTGGGTGTTCCAGTTAAAAAAAAAAGTAGCCGACAGCAATTTATACTGGTGCAAATTCACGGTTGACCTTATTATCAATTTGCAATAAAGACCAAGGTGTGTGTTGGGAGATTGTTATCGAAGAACTATTAGGAACACAAAGGTGCAGATTATAACAGGAGAATATTTCTGTAGTCATTTTTGGAACCATCGTGATTGGAGCTCCGTGCTGACTTGATCATGTGGGAGGAAAACACAATTTCAATTATGGGGATGGGTGGGGGGGGGGGGGGGAAATCACAGTATCCCTTGAGGGGGAAAGTTTATCGCCCTTTCAAATGCTGCGATTGTGAATGTGCATATAGACGATGCATTTAACTTTCTTGGCCGAAGACCAATGTTAACGATTTAAAAATACTCACAGAGAAATGAAAGCAATTCTAAAAACAAAGGAAAACAAAACAAAACAAAGAGCACCCACGCAACACTTCAGTTAAATGTGATTCAAGGAATGAATGTGTAGTGGGAATACAAGTTCCTAACATGAACAATGTCATAAGATGGAATTTTTGCGTCGGGGTGATATAAATCAAATTAGGTTTTGCCCTTCACCGACGTTTAAACACTGTATTCTCAGTGTGTTACCTCCCGAGTGAAAGTTCGAAAAAATCACTCGGGTGGGACTCGAACCCACGACCTCCTGCTTTCTAGTGCAGATGTCTTACCACTCGACCACCGAGCTAACAGGATCGGTTGGCCGGTTCGAATCTGATGTACATAGCAGCGGGTACCGCATGAACAATGTCACTAAGTGTCAAATGACATTCTGTCTTCAATATAATCTTGATAATTTTTTTTTTTGGGGGGGGGGAGAGGGGGCGGGGAAGGATACCCGTTCGAGAGGCCTTATTGTATACAAGGTGCAATTATGCACAAATGTTGACCCTTTTCTCTTCCGAAAGTACATTGTAACACTTTGTATTTATAGAGTCAGTTAATATGACTGAAATATCTTTTTTGCCTCGACGTGAAACTACTCCTGGAACAGTCTGGCTTTCAGTTCGCCTACGGACTCTGCACCGTTCAACTGGGCCTGTCGCAGTCTCAGCCCGGGGGTCTCCCGAGACCGGTGGGTGGGTTCGGAGAAGTGACGGGCACGTAGAGCTAAAGGAGAGCCCCCTAAGAAAGTAGGGAAGCCGGCATAATGGAGGTGGCGCGGGGATGGAGTCTGGCTGGGACGAGGAAGGGGCAACCTGGGGACACATCTGGCTGGGGTCGGCCACCTGAATGGAAAACAAACAAACGGACAAGAACTCAGTTACAAGAAGATGACAAACAGAAGTTTGACTCATCAGCAAGTTATGTATGTAATAAAATGCAAAGAATGCTTCAGCGAAACGCATCTGTATCTGATTAAACGATAACATTGAAAGTCTTTAATGAAAACCATCAAGGCATGAGCCGTCTTTTGATTGGTTACCAGTGGATCAGGTGATGTTTTCTATTTGATTTGAAGCATCGCACAAAGTAGTGTGAAGGAACACCACTCAATGAAAATGCTTCTGCGGCAGATTATGGATTCTTCTAATGTTTTATAGTTTCAACATTGTGAGTCCTGTAAAGCCAATGGATGTGTTCCCTGTGTCCTTGAGCAAGAGGCTTTACCACAACTTCTGCTGAACTTGATGAAGTACAGGGACCACTACAAGTATATGGGATACTTGTCTATGCACAACAGATTATGTTCACTTGGAACAGCAAAGGATCATTACCTGTCTCTTGCATCGCATGGCACGGAGTTGACAAGCTGTTTCCAGCGTCGAATGCAGGGGTAATTGTCTGGTACCTCGACTTCTGCTAACGCTCTCCACACATGAAGATCTGTCTTAGTCGGCTGGGCCCTAAATCAAATGATACACAAAACAAATAGGTTTAATATAAACCCTAATTAGATCGTCCCCACTGCTAAATTGAAATACATCATCAAGTTTGCCTCTATCTGCCTTTTACGTGTTTGTGGTGCAGGCTACGTTTGCTGAAAGCTGCTTGACAGAATGAAGACAGATTGTTATCAAAGGCAACATCGTGATGTTGTCAATGGGAACGAATGGATAGCAACGACAGTGTACTTTCTGAAAGCACTAATCTCATTGTCAATTCTCTAATTATGGTGCAAAGGTCCGTTTCTCGTATTTCTGCACTCACCCTAAAATGAAGCCACCTTTTAATTGAACTCTACTCTCAACGTTATTGTTGACTCTGCGGTAGGAAACCATTTTCGGTGTTCTGAAAATATCTGCATTTCCATCTCCGTTGCCTGCCATTGGGGGAGCCCTTGTCTTCTCGTTCTTCTTCTGATCACCAGACGCCAGAATCTCTGTTGTCATGGATGCGGCGTCCTCTTTACTAGTTCTTTCGCCAAAATTTGTCTCTGGTGCATTGTGTTTTAATGTCGCCTGGCTTTCTTGAAAGCCTCCATTTTGTCCAGTTGTTAAACTTTTTTCTGTTACAGCACACGAAGGGCAAGCACCATCAGTCCTGTCCCCAAAAGTAGGATCTTTGTCTTTTACCGTCGTCTCTTTAGCGCAGAGTGGCGCTTGTGGAGATATTTTAGATTGGCACACAGCGTTCGACAGGTCAACATCCGTTTCATCAGAATCTGTGGTAGATGGTTTATCGACATCATCAGCAACGTGTTGGCATGATTTCGTCGCCATATCTTGGAGATTCCTGTCAGTGCCGATTGTTTTAATTTTTAATTTTGATTCATTGGAGGCTGATATTGGGATATTTTTCACCCTGTCTGATGTGCTATCAATCTTATCTAGCTCGTCACATGCTGCTGGTTGCCCACCTTGCTCAAACTCTACAGTCTGCATTTTAGGTCTTCCCTCTCCATTTGTACAAGCCCCTGGGTGACCAGCAGCATCTCTGGCATCAGCTGTTGGACTCCGGATCTCTGAGGAGACATCCACCATCTTTTCATCACTCTCTAAAACAACTCGGGACTCAGTTCTGTCCACGTGTGCCCTGTCAGCATCTGTTGCCGTGTAGTCGGGTTGATCCTGTTCATCTTTAGATATTCTTGTTTCCTTAGCAATATCTGTCCCATCCCTGCTATCTTCTGAACTGTCGAAGGTCAGTTTTTCAAAGTCCCCTGCGAGGTCCTTGACCACCGCACCTGGTGAGACAACAGACTGCATCTGCTCCTGTTTTACAGAAGGTTCCGGCATCCTTACATCCGCCTTGTCTGAAAAAAGAAAAAGAACCCCAACAGTGATAGTTGTGATAGGGCTTTCTCGGCGATTCGTAGGGGGACATGCTTCTTGACCAAGTGGTCAGCATTCAGTGAGGCCCTTTTGTGCCTTTCTCTCAAACTTTAAATAACCACGTCAATCAAAAGTCCAATCACAAGTCCGGTTGCAAGCAACAGGCGATGAACAATGACAAAGGATTGTTGATGTAGTTCATGGGGATGTCTGGTCACTTGACTTTTGCATGACTTGCGGCTGACTTGTGCTTAACTTGTGGTGAAATAGTGTGATTTTTGAAAAAGTAAAACCGTCACCTCCGTTGATTGTAGTACGCCTCTCAGCCAGATAGTCCTCCAGTTTTTGCAATCCTTCGGCCGAAGAAAAGTCCGCGAACACATCCATGAAATTCCAGTACTCGGCCCAAGAAACCTGCATTTTACTGGCAATCTCCCTGTCCGATTAAAAAAAATAATAATAACTGCTTGCTTTTGAAGGAAAGCATTTTATCTGTTCATTGATAAATAACGTTTCCCATTCGTTCTGCGATGGAGCCAAAATAACTAGGCCTACCCTTTTTTTCTTTTTTTTTCTTTTTTCCAACTTTCACTAGGGAGGTAACACACTGACTATACAGTGTTTAAACGTCGGTGAATGGCAAAACCTAATTTGATTTATATCAACCCAACGCAAAATTCCATCTTAAAAATAGGCCTACCTTCCTATTCTTTCCACTCCTTTCTCTCCGTCAGCTCGTTTGATTCTCCCTACGCGCTTCCTTTCTGTCGAGGGAGGGGTGTGAAGATTTCTTCTGAAACAGTCCGCCTTTGATAGACAATAGGACAAGTCACTCATTAGACACTAAGAAAACTCAATACATTTTGTGCTCAATCAAAAAGTATGAAAATGCTTTTCATTTCAGAAACACATTAATAGTGCATACATAAACTGATACAAGGAAAACAAAGACATTGCAAAACAAATGACGTCATGCAATGTCTCTTACTGCGGTGGTACCACACTGACGCAAATAATGCACGCAGCGCGCGCGTGCATTTTGGTAACGCTATTGGTTGAAGGAGCCCGGAGTGCGGGCAAACTACCTGAGCGTCATGCAAGGTCAAAAGGTCATGTAAGGCCAAAAATTAACCAGACACCTTCTCATGCAGGCTCATTCATGGCTCATGCATATTCATGGCCATGCATATTCACGACTCATGTGACCTCTGCATCATCTGCATGCGCAAACAGGTGCGTTTTCAAAACAATGCATTCAGGCAATCATAAATTGTATTGAGATCATTTTTACCAATTTGTACACGTGTTTCCCGCAGGAAATCAAATAGTACATGTACCTCTGCAGGCGACATGGGCCCTGCGTATGCCTGCAGGGACAACACTGTGCTAATGGGGCTCTCTGCTCCCGCCGACCTGGTATGAAACAGCGGACTGGATTGGTGGTCGGATATGTCAGGTGACCACGGCTCACCAATGACGGGCTGCGTACAATTGTCTTCCGCTCTATAGACCGGCACGTAGTAGTGATCTGCCAAATTAAAGGCAATTAATATGCAACATTTGCAAACATAAAAAAAAACTACCAAATTATTGTGAAATACCTTGCTGGACTGTTAGTGAATGACAGTCTAAAGCATCCTGTAAAATAACGGCACCTGGTGTGCTTTCATTTTCAGAAAAGTAGTATTTTTGTGTCAATTTCAAACGCTGGTCGGCCGATCAGCGTTGGAAAAACTGGCTTTTTTTCAAATACTGCCCCCAATTTACCATATTTAGTTAGCCCGCATTTTGTTTGCAATCAATTTCACAACTGTGAACGGGTACAAGCCAGCTAGACTGGTTCCCTGACCTTACAATTCCCCAACGTCTATATATTGCTCCATTTCATCTTAAGTGGGGTCAGGGAACAAGACTACAGGGAACAGGATTATTTTTCTTGGTTTTTCCAGTATCTACAAACACAAAACTTCAAACGAGGCAGTGTAACAATATTTATCATAAAACACTAACCCTAAAATCCATCCATTTCTGGAAATTACGGCAAATCAAATTCATGTGGTGTCTATTCCCTTTAAATGAAGACTAATGGATGTACTCCATTAATGCATTTCAGGGGGAAAGTGCACTTTCTAATCTTTATACGAAATGGCCTATACAAACAAACTGTGTCTGGTATATTACCATAGCAACACAAATTAGCTGGTTACCTGGTAAATCATTTGATGGATGTAATGACCATGTTTGATTATTTTCCAGGTGAAAAGCACAAGCTGTTTTTCCAAATGCACTTATATTATCTTTTCCTCCACTTACTTAACTTTTTGCAAAAGCTTTTCAAAAATCAGCTTACCGGAAAAGATAAACATTGTTTAGAGCATTACTATAGCAACACAAATTTGTGTCTGCTATCTGCAAGATTTTTTTAAAATGCCAATGACGGGGCAGACAGTTTTGCATTTGTATAAGTGCTCTTTATTCATTGATGGAATTGCTGGTTTACCTTTCTATGTAAATCAAAAGAGTACGTTGTCCGGTGCGTGGAAGAAGTTTGTTAGGGAAAAAATCGATCAAAAGGCCAAATAGGGATTTTTCGGGTAATCGATAGCGCATGGAAACATCTTGCATCTGATACATACTCTGTCTCAAGGGGCTACATCATTCTGACGTAATTAAATGAAGAAATACTTTGAGATAAAAAATGCACCTTATTATTTCAATTATTTCAAAGAATTTCACAAGCAAAATTTCAGCTTCACGTGATTTTTAATTTTAGAAATGGGAGCACAAAACCTTTTGTCTCGATTATCTCCAAAAGCGTTTTTGGCGTGCCTGGGCTGCTAACGTCCTTATCCTCAGCACACGACAGCTTCATGAATTATTTGACTGTGCACATGAATTCGGGATGAATTATTTTTTTCTTCAAATTTCCAACATGGCTTATAATAAATTTGTCAAGCAATTTTCGGTAGCTTTCTTAGAATATTATATAAGGATTAGTGTACTTCACACGTACATAAGCAGTCTATGTACTCTCTTACCGTGTAGAAGATCGGTAATGGTCTTTTGAAGTTGTTTCATTGCCGTATCAGACAAACTTGCCCAAGAACATACAATCTGTAAGGAAATAAGTAAGTTAGGAACACCACAATATTTTGTTGTCTGTAAGTTGAACTGTCATCTCTGGACAAGCACTGCGTTGGGTTGGGTTGGGTTGGGCTGCGTTGGGTTTGGGATGGGTTGGGTTAGGGTGGGCTGGGCTGGGCTGGGTTTGGCTGGGCTGGACTAGGCTGGGCTGGGTTGGGCTGGGCTGGGCTGAGCTGGGCCGGGCCGGGCTGGGTTTGTTTGGGTAGGACTGGGCTGCGTTGGGTTGGGTTGGGTTGGGTTGGGTTAGGTTGGGTTGGGTTGGGCTGGGCTGGGCTAGGCTGGGCTATTATGGGCTGGGCTGGGCTGGTTAGGACTGGGCTGAGTTGAAAGTCATCACTTACCTCACTAGCTGTTTGACCATACTTGTTCTTCAGGGTCTTGTCACACTGCGGGTGATTGAGGAGTATTTCCACAACCTCCACGTGGCCAAACTTGCATGCAAAATGCAGCGGAGTCTCAGCATTCTAAACAACAGAAGATGTCAGCAAAAATCAACGTTCCAGACGGCAAGTATCTCACTGGAAAATCTAACTCATTTCTTCGATGACAATAATAATGTTACTTCATTCCAGAATTGTAGTAGTCTTACCCCTTTGTCGGGAGAGTTGAGGTACAGATCTGTCAAGTACTCTATCCTGCTGATGATAGTGTCCTCCGGGTCGTCAGGATACATCAGGAGGATGTAGGCCGGGTCCTGGATGGTCTCAAGCACTTGTCGGCATATCTCTGGCTGGTTCACCTTGGCTACAACATGCAGCGCATTGTACCGAGACCCCTCCTAAATACCAGGAAAGTGACAGAGATAAGTAACTACTTACAGACGCTGTGCCAAAGTGCTCTGCACAATAAGCTTTTGCCATCGCATGGAGACAAGCAATTGAAGTAAAATGGCTTGCCCATGGACACAAGCACAAACAAATGACCTTATAGATGAGGACAAACGCCATGCCCTCACGGCATATCATTGATTATTAAAGCACCATGACAATGCCCACTTGCCTGTAGTGTAATTGACCTTTATCTTAATTACATGTAAACAAGTTGAACTCATGTCGGAGGTCAACAAGACAACGATGCACTGGCTGATCTCTGACTCTATATCTGAGATATTGAGACAGTGGTTGGGATATTTAAACCATCCAATTGCTTACTTCCTGCCGGTTCTGAAAAAAACTCCAGACCACACAATGTCAGAGACACAGTTTTGGTAAAACAATTTTCTTCTTGCACCTCAAAACAATGTGCGCCATTTTTACCTGCAAGACAGTAGGGCAGTCGCCAGCATTGATGAGGTAGCGTGGATTGCTCCAGGCCAGCTCCTTGAACTTAGCCGCCTCATTGGCCTCGATTGTCTTCCTGAGTGCTACAAGATCCTGGGGCTTGACAGACCGGAAACTACTGACAGGCTTCTCCGCTATTGGCTGGGGAGTCAAAAAAAGAAGCTGTTTTGTCTGTTTTAAAGTGGGTGTTTGTCAGAAACAACTGGGAAGACAAGAGCAACTTCAGATTCGCCCTGATTCACTGCTATAAGTAAAAAACCTCTTCTAAGTCATGCAGGCACGTCCATCACAAGTCCAGTCACAAACAAATCACAAATCCATTCACAAGTCCAGTCACAAGTAACAAAGGAATCCTTTTGTCGCAGTGACCAGCCTGTGACTTGACTTTGGACTGGAGGACTTGTGATGGACTTGTGAAGACTTGCGGACTTGATTGACTGACTGAGTTAGTGACTGACTTTTGAGTCACTGAGTATGAAAATGTTCCAAGCGGAGACCAGCAAGTCCTGTCTTGTTATATCACAGGAACTGTCTGTTTCATTTTCTCAAGCATGAGTACCTGGCTTGACGTTGGCTCTGTCGTTGGTTTGGGAGTGCTGAGATCCTGATTGGTCTTGGCAAACTTCTCAGCCTCTTCTTTGGTCTTGAAGACCTTGAACCGAGCTCCTTTGTTCTTCTTTGCGATAACCAACACCTCCTTCCTGTCCTGAAAGATCAAAACCTCATCTGGAGCCAAAAAATGAGGGGTGGAGGGGAAGATGTAATAACAAGTTAGGAAAAGAAAACTGAGGACTTTCCTCACAAACATCACCTCACATCAGATAAAGAGGTTTCAAAACTGAAAAATTATATTTTTAATTGAACATCAAGCTCTGGTTCATGAAGAAACAAAATCAACAGCGGACCAAAGAGCTGATAAATCTTGTACAGCCACCGTTACAACACAACAGGGCAGTACAGCTCCTTTCAAATATACAAGCAACTGCTCTAAGCGTACCTGAGCTTGCAGCAGCCTGTGACAAGTCAACATCATCCCCACCTGCCAAACTTGTTTCATTTTTGGGTGGTATGCAAACGGCAAAGTAGTTCACCACGGCAACTCCTCCTGCAGAGCTGGTCGGGGAATTCCGCTCACTGCTGACCGCATTGACATCCGTCTGGGATTTAGCACTTTGCTGTTGTGACGTAACAGCTTCGGAGTTTGACTCCCCGTTAGTTGTCTCTTCTGTCTTGGCGGTAGCTCCCCCCTCCACCTGCTCCCTTGCCCCACCTCCCTGCTGCTCCCATAGGTACTTGGCAATGCGACGCTCTGCTAGCGCACGGGTTGTCTTGGTGATCGGCATGGGCTTCTGCCCGCAAGATTTCAATTCTGCTCGCAGTTCGTCCACCGTGAGCTTGGCAAGGCGCTGTAGGATGGCCTCCATCTTGATGATTTCTCAGAGAATAAGCGCTGATAAAAAAACAAGGAATCAAAAACAAAACTGATGAAGAGCGACAAATCATAACTGTTATCTCTATCACTCCTCCAGCTACCCTTCTTTTGTTGGAACAGCTCTACCTGGCAAATCATGTGGCTAAATGTCCGATGAGAAATTTATACTCAAGTAGGCTACAAATGTTTACACAGCAGGAAATAAATCCTCAAGAAGAACAATTCAAATCTCATACAAATGCCAGCACAAATATTTAAATAAATGACATTGTGAATGAAATCCATCACAAATTTTACGAAAGTACCTACGCATCATCTACAATCCTAGTCCAAGTAACTTGAACCCTACTAATCACCAGATCAAGTCCAATGTTAAAAAAGGTGATAATAATAGGCATAGCACACAACAAATTATTTAATGTGCAATATGTAAACAGACAGTGCCAATTGAAAGAGCTATATGAAAGATGAATACTTTTTTTTGTTTTTTGAAAATGGATCCCAGTTATTCGGACTACCACAATCCATGATTGGGAAAGAATGTAGTATCCAGATGCCGCTTCTTTGGTTGTGTACAAAGTTTATGGAGAGTCGAGTGCATTTTGAAAGTATTTTCAAATTCACAATTTGAAATATTTCTCAGCCTCCCCAAAAGTCCCAGATTCATATCTTTTCAACATTTCTGCAATGACTGACCTTCATTGAAATAATGTATGATGAAAAAAAGTGGCGTCAGGATGCAACATTCTGTCCAAAAGTAGTGACAGTACCCCCATCCCACCCCCCCCCCCCCCCACCCCGGCCTGGCCAGCTATGTAGTAAACATGGTAAATAAACAAACAAAAATTCAATTCATAATGTGCGCCTTTTTCGTTACTCATAAAACACAATAAGTACAGTAGGCCTTGTAATATCTCAGGCATATTTACCAACTAATTCATCTTACGGTTATAAGTTGTTGCAAAAGTTCTTGTGATCACAAAAATAACACTCAATCGGCGCATATTCCGATGAGGAAAAAATAAAAATAACAAATTTCCGTGTTCAGTTTGCCGACGATGTTTCACTTTCAGTATCACACTTCACACAGTATCACAAGATCTAGTTGGTACCACGGCATCTGCAAAACGTGTAATATGTAACGCTCTAGGTCTTTGGTTACCAGTGTAACATCAAATATGGCGACGCCCACTGAGAAGTAGGATGTATAATTCGTGGACTTAAAACGGGTAAGCTAACTGATTAATTTCTCCATATATTTTCATAATCTATGCGATAATCAATAAAGTAATACCTTGTTTAGATAATCCGTAGGAAAAATTAGAAATCGTCTGGATTATGTTGCACTTTTTACCCCCTTCATCTTTCTTCGTGTTCTTCCCAGGATGGGAGCTTATTCTTTATAATTGTTGTGCCCATTCTTGAAAATCACGCATTCTCGAGAATGGGCATGCACATTCTCGAGAATGGGCGCGCATTCTTAAGAATGAGCGCCCATTCTTAAGAACGAGCACGCGTTCTTAAGAATGAGCGCTCATTCTTAAGATTGGGTGGGAATATCACGTGCACAATTTATGAATTTTGCCCAATCTTAACAAACATTGCACGACATAATTATGTTAAATGAATTGTATAGCGGTTAAAAGGGAAACAACATAATGGGCACAACATAATCAAAAACAAGGAAGTGATGAGGCTCTAAAGTTCCGTTCATAAATCAAAACCCTGCCCTATTTCCACAAAATTAAGCTAGCTTATAGTTACTTAAACTCCACATATATTCCTAACGAACTATTTATATGATTCCAAACGTAAACATATAAAGTGACTTTTCCTGCAATAGGGTACTAAACACAATTACCAAAAACGGCCACTCAAACAATGGAGCTCCATGCTCCAACCCAAGTGGCTGCACTGAAAATAATATGACCAAAAGGTTCTAGGCAACTTGCATGTAATAATTATTAGGGCCATGGTACTTCCTTCGTACTGTATTGTTTCCCAACCACTTACAAATCATCACAAACATGAATATATAATGTGAAAAGCAGTACAAATTAAAAGTTCATATCGATTGACGTCCAAAATTCAAACTATCTATTAACCCTCCTATGGAAACATGCATTGTCAGCCATGTTATTACTTGGGTCAATATTGGTCAAGACCCCCATTGGTTTGTACACAGTAGGCCAGGAGGTGAGGAAGAAAATTTTGACCATTGGTGACCTCTTAAATAGTAGTATTTCCTTTCTCTTATGCAATTGTTGTAATACAGGCCACCTTTGCACTGGGACTAGCTGTCCAATCATGGCAGACGACACCAGCCCCCATCGTTACTTAATAGCTGCTCAAGAAGAGGACGCCCAAGCAGATGATCTTGCCAATCCAACACACCTCCAAGGAGCATCACCAACCACCATCACAGCCCACAGTATCTTCCCACCTTCGGTTGAACTGGAGAGCTCGTCCACGACAAGCAACGGGAGCTTTAAACCGGTTCACTTAGCAATGACAAATGGGTTTCTCAGTGCGGATACGGAAGTTGATCTTGACGATGCGGTGCCTCTTGGTGGTCACATCCTGCACGATGACCCCAACGAAAACGACCAGGAACTTTGGACCGTCAGTCAAAATGTCCAATTTGAGCAGGCTGATCATGCCTACGTCTCAGTCGTCCGATATCCTAGACTCAAGTAAGAATGAATTGGTTTCTCATTTTTAAATTGAAATGTCGATTTGTCTGGAGATGTTTGGGATAGGGACTTTGTTTTTGTCCAGATGTCTAGACTTTTCAGGTGTAATTCATGATCGTGTCTCATTGTCAGTGTTACGCCCCAACTAGACCATCGGTGCCCAACCTTAGTTTGGACGGTCGCAACTGAGGCTGGGACTTCTGTCCTAACTAAAATGTTCCAACTGCAACACATAAATTGGAACGGTCTCGTCCTAAGTTGGGATCATTGTCTAGATTGAGCATAACACCAGCAACAGGAATGGATACAAATAAGTGATAGGGGCTCAACAAATGGAATTTTTTTTAACACTCGGCTGATATTTACAAGAAAGATAGTTGAATGAAAATTATTAGTAAAATAAGTGGAACGATGTGTGAATCATTCTCTCATGGGTTTACCAATGATTGTTATATCAATTTGAATTTTCTTTTATCTCTCATCAGGAAGGCAAGAATGAAGACTAAGAGATTGATCGAACACTTAGCTGTAAGGTAAGTAATTACACTGCAGGGATTGAGAACAGATAAACAAGTTCACTGTTGTAAATAAATCTGACGACATATCTGAAGTTGTCTGACATTGAAGTGCTGTTGGCCAAGTAAACAAATAACAAGAAAGCATATTGCTATTCATTGGTTTGTTGGACAGTGAAGGATTTGTGATGATATTTATGATCGAGAGCCGAGTTCTCACTGGCCCATTCACCATCACGTGTCAACCGCTAGTTTTGTTGTTTCACACACATCTTAAATACGCATGCGTAGTAGACTATCACACTGGTAACCAGTGCGCTAGTCTGCTACGCATGCGCTTTACGAAGCAATTGTGGAGCTAGCGCACGGGGGTAGTGCACACGTGTGAACGTCACCATAGCAGCATGAAGCAGCTACATGAAAAGATGTGGCACATCCACAACAACATTTTGCCGAGAAAACGTATGCGTAAAAAAACATGATTTAATTCGGGTGGATAGTCGATATTATCTACCCACGGTATTCGAAGTTCACAGACTAGTTCCCAAGGCAAAAACTGTCAACTTCCAATACCAAGAGGAACTAAGATCGACTATCAACCCTCAAACCATGTTTTATTTGAATATATTTGTATACTCTTTTGAGTTTACACTAAATTTGTATTCATCATTTATTTTCTTTCTTTCAAATGCGTGTTTTACCCACAGACTGATTGGTGTTTTCCTGGTCATCTTTGACATCATCATCGTCATTCTGGACATAGCGTTGAACCCACAGAACCTGTCTACCATAGAAGTATACGATGCCATCTCAGTGGCAGTCTGGTGCTACTTCCTCCTTGAGATCAGCCTCAGAATTTTTGCCAAAGGGTGAGAATCTCCTCAGTGTTCAAATTTCCATTCCAGTGTTCTCTTCGTTGTAGATCCAAAAAGTCAGAGAAATTTGAAGCACAGATTCGGGTGTTACAATGAACCCTGAGTCTTCCCTCATCGGAAAGCTTGTCCTTGCAAAACACATGTGAAGTCAGTCACAATTGTGATCAAGTTTGAGCGACGACTATGATTAACCCTAATTCCATCAACTTCTCTCAAACGGAGGACGGTTGGACTACTGTAGTCCTTCTCTGGTTACTAATAGTGACGCGAATCCATTGATCTCCATTGGTAAGACTGGATAGGACATGCGTATACTTGCGCGCAGTAAAGATTTGGAAAACGCAGACACAAACAGCTGGGTAGTACAGTGCGGTTTAACGTTTGCGACCGCACATGCGTGACAAGCGCGTGCTGCATGGTCTTTGTGTGACGAATGCATTTCAAACTTTCAAACCCTCACCATTGGCTACGCGTGCGTGCACAAGATGGAGGGCGCTGTGTCCTATCCAGTCTAACTAATGGAGATCAATGCCCGTAGCATAATGTAAAGCAGTGAGTCAGGTCCAAGACGTTTCGTGATGAGGTTTCTAGCAGCATTTGACTACAGACATTTGGATGTTGCTATTAGTGCGCAGGCCTAAGTTACCTCATGAATCGACCATGAGTCGACTAATGGTCCTCACGTTAACTTGCCTTGAGCTATAATTTTTTTTTCAGTTTGATACGGTTGTACCATGTTATTTTCATAAATTGTTCCGTATTATGTCAGATACCTCAGATTTTTAAGTCAATTTTTCTTACATATTTTCCTTTTAAAATAGGAAAAAGTTCTTCCGTACGAAGCTGGACATACTGGATCTGGTGATCGTGACAGTCACTGGGTCTGTCACTCTTGTTTACGTGTCAGTGGACTTGACTGGTAGTTATTTAAAGTAAGTGAAACATTAAATTTTCAAACAAAAAAGTAACTGTCTGCATGTTATTGCAGTTTTAGCCCTGCAAAAAGTAATATATCATACAAGTACATGTAGTTGGAAGGAAAAGGCTCAACACTGTCCGCACCCAATGGGCTGCGTGCACAAGTACGCCCTCAACGGTAAGGAAGGGAGAGTTGGGGGAGACCACTTGGAGTGACATTCAAATGCATTGCCGACGATGCCTGACGCTCACGCGAATACGTAATGGCATTGTGCAAATTCAGAATACAATTAGACGAGCAAACTTAGCGTCATTCGCACGCAAACCAGTACGCACACTTAGTGTGTTTCGTCCACTGGGCTCCTGAAAGTGGTAAAAAAGCGCCCTCTCTTGTTTGCGCATAGAGCCCATTCATAAAACATTGCTGCCTTTGGACATTTCATTTTGGGGTGGCGTGGGTGGCTTGTGCGTAAAGCGCTCGCCTCTCACCAAGGTGCCCACGGTTCGAATCCTGGCCACGGATCACATGTGAGTTGAGTTGTGCGTTGGTTCTCTCCTGTGCCACGACGGTTTTTCTACAGGCCCTCCGGTTTTCCTCCCTCCGGAAAAATCCAACACTTTCGATCTCAGGCTGTGCTCCGTGGTCATATATGGGTCGATGTGGCCGGCAGCCAAAGGCGTCTTTATGTGCCAGCGGCCTGACCACGTTTGTAGCCGCGTCCTTTGCAATTCAGCATACCAGCTGCGAGTAAGGATGATTAGCCTCCCAAATTATTATTATTATTATTATTATGTATGATCGTAAACGTTTGCACTGTGCTAGCTGCTTGGCCAAGGTTGAGCTAATTTAGACACAACATCCAAAGTTCTTTTTCCACGCTCACTGTTGTTTGTTGCGGTTTCAAAGCTTTTCAACCTTTCTACAATATTTCTTTACTTTGCCCCTATTTGCAGATTGGTGGTGGTGTTCCGTGTGCTTCGAATCTTCCTTCTGGTCAGGCTTCTCAGCGAAAGGAAGCACGTTTCCAAGGCAACGAGGAAAATGGTAAAGTCTTTCAATTGACTCTAATAACTCTTTCTCATTTGTTTCAAATGACATTACTTCTTTCCTTCAATACAGAGCGATGTAGACCAGTGCCCAGCGTTCAGTGCGCACAGCTGCGCAATAAATTTGTTGCGCAAGTCCTACGCGTGGCGTAAGTTACGCCCTGTTTCGTGAAATCGGCTGCTGGAGTATGCTTGGGTACCTGTGAGGGTAGAGACCAGATTGCGCCGATCTCGGCTGCAGCAAATTGGTCTCATGGCCTGTTGAATCAGGGGTATCCAACCTTAAATATGATTTGTGTGTGTGATCCTGGCGTCTTATGCTTGATATCTTCTTTATGATCCACGTTATCAATCTAATTGTTGTTTTACATTCTCAGGTGTCTCAAAACAAAAGGCGATACAAGGAGGATGATTTTGACTTGGATTTGACCTACATTACTGGTAAATTGTTGCCCTGAATGTTGACAAAACTTAAAGTTTTTTTGATTATAAAAATTGTCAGAGTAAAGGCCGGTTCAAATTTCACACGAATGCGAAGCATATTTGACGTCATGAAACATTTGCTGTGACTTTCACCAGAGTGGAAATGTGTTCAACTCTTGCGAATTCACAGCGTGAAAACTCTGCAGTGTCCTCACAAATTAGCATTTGCATTCGCTTTCTCGCAGAGCATAAACCGGCCTTTAGGTGTTGAATGACCAAAGTGGCCTTTATAGCCCTCATTTCTTCAGACTCTTCCCGGAGTTGTATTCAAGTCATCACAAGTCATCACAAGTCATCACAAGTCATCACAAGTTGCAGTTTGAAGTCAAAAGCAAAAGTTATTCAATTAAGCTACTATCTATGAAACCTCTTACCTGACTATGATTTGATTTGTAATTTGACTTGTGATTTGACTTGTGATTTGACTTGTGATGTACTCATTACAACTTCTGATTTTCCCCATTGTTTGTTGTAGATCGAGTCATAGCCTCATCATTCCCTTCGTCTGGTAGCCGGGCCATCTACAGGAATCCCATCGAGGAAGTGGCCAGGTTCCTGGACACCAAGCATCCAGACCACTACAAAGTCTACAATCTATGCAGTAATGTTTCATCAATTTTATTTGTTTTCAGTTTGAGTGTAAATAGAGTACCGGCTATTTCCTAAGGGTTCGTGACTCATAATCAGAGGGTCAGGGGTTCAAATCCAGCTGCTGGTCATTTGTTGTGTCCTTGGGTAAGCCACTTCATCCCCACTTGCCTCTCTCCACCCAGGAGTATAAATGGGTACCGGCATTAGCTGGGGAGTAACCTGCGATGGACTAGCATCCCATCCAGGGGGAATAGAAATATTCTTAGACGTTTTCATGCCACTGAAATCGGGGATAAACGCTGGCCTGATGGGCCACATTGGCTAGGGACAGACTATACTTACTATTTCCCAAGCACTTTTGCTAGTTGTAATCGTGAATTCTCCAAACCCTCCTCTTTGCGGTAAATCCATCATTTACAACATAAAGGGAAAAGGCTTCACATAGAAAACTATATCTCAAAACGTTCTGAGTCAGGAGATTTTCCCTGTCACAGCTTTATTTGTTTCACGACAATTTAGCAACATTATTTAAATTTCCTGTTATAAATCCTTCTTTGTTGACAGTTGAGCGACACTATGACGAGTCTTTCTTTCACCATCAAGTTGGCCGTGTCCTTATTTTTGACCACAATGTCCCAAAACTTAAGTAAGTAGAGTAAAAACCTTATGTCATTTAAAGGTAGAGTGTGTCATTTGTCATTGTTACATTTTTTTCATTTGAAGCAACAAAAGTGGCCAAAGCAATTCAATGTTGTCATAGAAAGTTCAGGCAAGTTTTAATCAATAGCGGGCATGTACCTGTTCTACATAACCCCCAAGGACCGACACACAAAGGGAGAACAACAGATCCTTTCAGTCCTCGGGAGTTGGGTCTTTTGTTCAAAACTGTCCTCTGTAGTAGGTTCGTGTGCTTAGTCTATGGGAGAGTGTTATATTACAGGGACAAAGCATTGTCCTCGGGAGTCAAGTAAAACAAAAGTGTATGTTTATGAAAGTTGCTGTGTGCTGCCTGCGCAATTATTTTCCTAGAAACCTTGGCAACATTTGCTGCATTTTATCCATGGATATTTGTTTCAATATTCCCTTGAATATAGGGACCTCGTTGCATTCTGTGCAGATGCCAGGCAGTGGATGGAAGCAGACAACCAGAACATTGTCTTCATACACTGCAAGGGTGGCAAAGGTAAAACGTATTCACAGTTTGGTTGAAATGGAATCGTCATAATGTTATTACCATCGCAGATTCGCTTTGGATTTTCGGAGAGGGCAGATTTTTGCACATATTTCAGATTATTAAAGACTGCATTTGCATTTAAAAACTTTATTTATTTTGTCTGAGTGGGCGAGTGTGGCCTAGTGGTTATCGGTTCGTGACGCATGATCAGAGGGTCAGGGGTTCGAATCCAGCTGCTGGTCATACGTTTTGTCCTTCGGCAAGCCACTTCACCCCCATTTGCCTCTCTCCACCCAGGAGTATAAATGGGTACCGGCATTAGCTGGGGAGTAACATCCGATGGACTAGCATCCTATCCAGAAGGAATAGAAATGTTCTCAGTCGTTTCATGCTACTGAAACCGAAGATTAACGCCGGCCTGATGGGCCACATTGGCTCATGACGGACTTTACTTTTTATTTTGTCCTGTGATTGTCTTTGTTGTGTGTAGGAAGGACTGGACTGGCTGTATGTGCTTGGCTCTTAGAAAGTGGATTGTTTACTAACTCAAAGGTGAGTGTCTCTTCCACGATTGTTTTTCAGGACGGAAGGACTGAAAGAACAAAATAAACTAGATGTTTGAAAAAATAGTGAAATATTAAAAAAAAAATTCGTCCAATTTCACTTTCTTTGCGTAAGATACATGAAAACAGACAGCAAATGTAGGGGACTCCTAAAAAACCAAAGGAATGTTATATTTTTTTTGCTGAAAATTGTTGTCTCCGTGAAATAATATTCAAATTTCCGTAGGTTTGCAGTTCTAACTGTGGCATTTGTTGGCCCTCATGCAGGAGTGTTTGGAGTATTTCGGTGCTCGACGGACCGACTACACAGAGGGCGATATGTATCAAGGCGTGGACACACCCAGTCAGGTAGGTATGGTGATTGCGATCAAACATTTATTTACTCGGCTTTACAAGCTGTTTTCTGCACTATAGCGTTGCCGTGGAAACACGTACCGCCATTATTTTTGTATCATTTTAAAGCTTGGAATCTTAACTTTATCCCTGGTAAGTATTGGTTTGATGTTCAAAAGGGTTTTGAAGTTATTTGTGTTCAAATAAAGGTGTGTCAAAAACAAACTCAACCAATTTCAAGGAAAATCAATCATGCACATTTTTTCTTATGTGGAAATGGTTCATTGTGTTCATGATGAGACGATTTCGTTGCCTTTTACTTTCTGTGTTTCCTATTCTTTTTTGATCCACGTAGACTACACCTTAAATGAAGTCACAATATTGTTCTTCATTTCAAATTCATTTTTGAAATTCACTTGCAAGTATGTACCTATTCAAAAAGCGAACTCAAAGTGTGATTCGAGTTTCCATCTCATGTACCGCATCATCAATTTTCCTTGAAATCGGTTGAGTTTATTTTTCGTCATGCCCTTATTTGAACACGAATAATTTTAAAACTCTTTTAAATATCAAACTCAATACTGCCAAGAGATAAATTTCAGATTCCAAGCTTTAAAATGGTATAAATATAATGGCGGTATGTGTTTCCACATCATCGCTAGAGCTTCGCAAAAAAAATGTTTGGGTATTTTGGGACGAGCTGTATATTTGTGTTTGTCATGAAATTTTCTTTCACTTTCCTTCGGTGGGAACTTTCGACCATCAACTACTGAACCCAAAGACATGCATGGACATAGGTCATTGTGTCAAGTCATGGCTTGATTTTGTTTTTACTTTTACACTGATATTGGCAATGACATCTTGATATCAAGGGGTTTTAGCTGAGTGTGTGTTTTAATGACAACACATTGTTTTAATTGTTGGTAATATCTTTTTCTTCAGTGGAATCCTAGAAATATTTTACCCATAATTCCCGGCCTTCTTATATTTTATTCCTCTAAATACAACTCAACAGAGTCGATATGTGGATTACTTCCAAAAAGTCAAATACTGTCTGGACGGGCGTCTTCCATCGGCAGCTCCACTGACCATCAGCACCGTCCGTATCTCAGGAATCCAAGGTAAATCACCGAGTTAAGTCAACTGAAGAATTTGTCAGATTGATCTCTTCATTGGTTCAGCTGGACGTAATTTCTGCAGCCTTCGACTTAAGCCTTGCTCCACTGGTTCTTTAGAAGCTCATCTTGAAAACTGTGAACATAAAAACTGACTAGGTTTGTTGAATCTGGATTCGGAGTGACAAGGGAAAAATTGACTGAAGCAGGGATCGAACCTGCGACCACCGAAATATCCTGAGGGTAATCTACCAACTGGATTTTTCAGCCCCATGTTGGTTGCTCCCAATTTGTCAAGTTGCTTAATTGGTTAAGCACCAGAACGGTATTCTAGGGTAGTCGGTGCGAATCCAATTTCTGTGGGTATTCTTTTCTCCTTCTTAACAAAACACTTTTGTTACTTTTCTTAACACTTTGGTCTTTTATCGTCTTACTTCTCAGGTGTGGGTAAAGGTGACGGGAGGGACTTGTATATGGAGGTGCATTCTGACTCACTCCCCGTCTTCACCTGCGATTTCCGTCGCAATGTTAATTGCACTGTAAGCACCGTAGCTTTCGTTAATTGCATGAGGTTATGAAAGAGAAATAGCCTGCATGATTTCACCAGTAGTTTCACAAACCTTTGACCTTACGGTGGAAACTGAAATTATCCTTCCTCTATCTCTGAAAAGCCTTTGTTTCCTCTCTGAATTTGATACAGTTAGGATGAGCCCTTTATCTGATACTTGTCTCATTTTAAGAAGTTCACACTTTTGCAGTTGATGGTCACATTCTGTAGTCTGAGTATCACCCGTTATCCACGGAGCCAAGTCTCCTGTATAACGTCTGATATGTCCAGACATGCAGATATATGCAATCCGCGCGGGTTTTTTTATTTACAGGTACCTGGTACCCGTATTTTACTTCAATAGGGTTCCTGGTTCCCATACTACCCATAAATGCACACCACTAGTTGTGAGAACGTGTATGATTCATTGGAGACGATAAAAAAAAAATTTTGATCCCTTAAATTATGTCAAGTGCTAGATTTCAAAGCACTTCATTAATTTGTGGTTCATCAAGTTGTTTTCAATAACATTGACAGTTTCAGTCAACATTTGTGATGCGATCAAGCTACATGAGTCGTTTGTCGACCCTGGTCAAAAACATTTTTATTACAGATTTCAAAAGAGCACAATCTCAGCATTACTGCTGTGAAAACCGCATGCTGATACCATCTTTAGTTCAAAAATTATTGAAGTCGGAACACCAAGAGATGTGATGTAGTGATGTGATGAAGTGGTCCTATTTTGGCCTGTATCTCCACATAAAACTTCCCGACAAACGACTCATTTAGCTTGATCACATCACATTTTACTGTCCTTATTAATCTTTCGTGATTCGATTTTGATTTATTTCTTAAACAGGTGATTTATGACTTTGACACAGACACTGTGATCATTAAGGTGAAGAACTCCCCTGAGTTTGCCGGAGACGTGAAGGTCAAGTTTATATCTTCCAACAAAGTGAGTCCAATTACCTTAATTTTGTTACCGTGACAGCGTGAGTTTGTAGCATGTTACTTCAGAGTACAGTGGGATGCCGCTTTAAAGAACATCGCGGGATTCACAGAAATTGTTTGTAATAGTAATCGTTCGGTATAGCGATTTTAATCTGCTGGTGCTTGAACACATGCTGACCATTGAATCTTATCTTCAAGTAAACTTGAATCCTCGATCCTGATTGGCAGTTCCCTTCTATTTCTTGGGGAATAATAGCAACTTGTCACTCTTCTCGAAGGAGCCCAGAGTTGAAAACAACACTGTAATTTTTCTTTTGAAAAAAACTGCGCTAATAAATTGAAGTTGTTCAAAATATTTTTATTTGTATTTGACAGAAAATCCCGAAGGCATATGATGACTGTGCATTCTTCTTCTGGTTCTACACAGGCTTTATCAAGGACAACAGGTAAAGTAGTTGTTTGAAACTAAATGTAGGCATTTTCAACATTCCTAATGTTCTTAAAGTTGGTGTAAACATGCTTTTTGGGTGTGGCACCTTGAAAAATAGATTTTCCAATTCAATCGAACATTTTTTAGCATTATGTTAGTTATGAGCATTCCAATGAGACATCGCACGAAAAAATTGGCCCACGACAAGTATTCAATTAATTAATTTCAACTTTTGAATAAAGTGGAGACGCTCCTAATTCGTTTTCAATAATGAGTGCAATTTTGTAACTGGAGCGCACCGTTTGAAACCAATTTTTAAAACTGTATAAAGGCCTGCAAAAACAAACAAGCAAATTTATTTGTTACAGGACAAGCATATATATACCAACTTAAAAGTTGTAATATTATTACACACATAACATGAACAGTGATTAGGTGATGCACTAAAACTTTGCTGTATAAAATGACATGAGCTCAGCCCTTTTCTAAAGAGTTTTAAGCTCAAACCTCACTCTACTTTGATCCTATATTTGTCACTTTTCTATTTTCTAAATCTTTGTAAAGAACAAGTTGTCGTGTGTCCTCTTTAATAAATAAGCTCAATCGGATCTTGGAAGCTGGGCGCCAACAATGTCGTGTTCATGCATGAGTCACATGATTGTGCAATGTAATTTCTGGAAGTAGTGTTTTGAGTGAAAAACGGTTTTTGACCCCTGTGACCCCACGATGACCTTAGACCCCAGGTTGGTCATGTGACACGTTGGGGCTGGGCTACTGATACTTCCGACAAAGTTTGGTTGAAATGGGTCAAAATATGTCGGAGCAATAGACAATGTCAACGTTTGTTACCCAACTAACTAACTGAGAGACATGATGATTTGTTGAGCTGCTATCCCGCAGCTGAAAATTAACACGTTTGTCTTGGGAGTGAGGTTTATGGAATGCATGATGCACTGTCATGGTTAAAAGACTGAGAAACAACTCTCAAACGCATCAAATGTCAACCTCAGCATCTTGGTTCATTCTTAACCTTGTCTTCAAATGCAGATTGTACTTAGCAAGGAAGGACCTGGACAACCCACACAAGGCCGAAACGTGGAAGGTTTACAGGGACACCTTTGCCGTGGAAATCAACTTCGGCTCGGTTCTGGAAAGCGATGCATGATGGTCCAGAAAATGATGCAATAAACTTCAGCGAACTTTATTCTACACCTTGGATTAGGCTACGTCCAAAATTACAGCCAGCAATATTACACATTAACCTTTGCAAGTAGCTGGATCAACTTCCGTCAAACTATAGCCAAGCAATATGAAAACAGACTGAAAGGTAGTGTACAACATTTGCAAACCTTAAAAAATAAAACTACCAAATCATTATGAAATACCTTACTTGACTGTAAGTACATAATGGTCTAAAGCATTGAAATTATTGTGCCTGGTATGCTGTCATTTTGAAGAAAAGTGGATTTTTGTATCATTGTCCAACGATGGTTCGGCCAGCCATCTTTGGAAAAAACGTGAATGGCCATAAGCCAGCAAGTCTGGTCCCCTGACCTGACAATTCCCCAACAACTATAAATTGCTCCATTTCGTCTGAAGCTTAGGGTCAGGTAACCAGACTACAAGAACTGCATATTGTTCCTTGTTTTTTGTGTGTTTTTTCCGGCTTCCATGAACGATAACACTTTAAACAGGTCAGTGGAAAGACATTTGCTATCTTATACCAACCCTAAATCCATCCATTTCTAAAACTTGCAGCCAGATTAAATGTTGTATTTACCTTTAACTTCTTACTTGTGTTAGGGTTTCATTTTACTTAATGTCCATCATCATTTTTTTTTGCAATTTAATGTGCTTTTTGTGTATTCGTTTGTTGAGCAAGGACAGTTACTACACGGATTCAGAAACTATATTTGTCATTGGCTTATTACTTAATGAATTTTTGCAATGTTGATTTTATTTGTATGCAAAACTATCATGTGAATTATCTTAATATAAAATTATTATGTGAATATGACTGACAGTGCAACCAAGAAGAGTTAGTTATATAAATTATAACATAGGCTTCTATGTCAAACTCCTTTATCAGGATGCACTTTTTAAAGTTGAAAATTCTAATCAGTATTAAACTATATCCGCATATTTAATCCAAACATGTATATAAAAATAAGTTATACACTTTATTTTCTTTTCAAAGCAGATGTTACCATATGGGAATCGAAAGAGTAAAACATATATTTTCACTGTGCCAATTTTTAAACATTAGTTTTGTACCTAAAAACGACTTAATGACAATTGAATTTCCGAGAGATTATTCATGCCTTTATTTAATGATGATTTACATTTTAATTTCAATACTGTGTGTAAATATCATCATGTAACAAGGGCGTATCCAAGGGGGGGGGGGTCAATGGGGGCCATGCCCCCCCCCAAAAAAAACCCCAATTTTTTTTTTTTAAGTGACGTCGCAATAAAGGCAGGCACTGCGTATACCACTACATTTTTTCTTCAAAAAAAAAATTGGTTAAAGTGGTCAGAAATTGCTACAGATCGCACCACAGAGCATCTAGAATCAACAAAATTGTGGAGGCCCTTAAGCGGGCCCCGAACCCCACGCCGGCACTTTTTGGGGACCCAATTGTTTTGCCCCCTCCCCCCCCCCCCCCCCCCCGAAAAAAAAATTGGGTACTGAATACGCCCTTGGCATGTAAAGCTTTAAATTTGAATTTGCAATCTAGGGGATAATCCACCTATTATGCAATATGTAAAACTTCATATCGTGAGTAAAAATTGAGAACTTTTCATTAATTCCTCAACTACACCTTGTAAAAATGTCTTTATTTGTAGACTAAGAAAACTGTAGATATTAGTTCTATGCTGTAGAATTTATTAGCTTATTTTTCTTTCACTTTTACATATCAATTGTAAAATGAAATCATCACTGAGGTTTATAAAGGTTTATTATTTTAAAAGTTATAAATTAGTTCAAATCATAAGGTAAACATTAAGTCTTTATGTGGGAGGGGTCAGGGCCAGTGCAAGACAGTTAATTGGGGTAATACAGCGAAACCCTGATAAGTCAAACTCTGATAACTCAAAACAACTGTTGAGTCAAACAAAGAAACCATTGCCTTCAGTAGTATAACAATGATATACAACCCTGCTTAACTCAAAACTCGGCTTAAGTCAAATTTTGAACCTGTTCCCTTGAGGTTTGACTTATCGAGATTTCAATGTACTCGAGATCGACACAAAAATGGTTTCTGAAAATTTGGGAGAATGCCAAAAGAGGCGGAATTTGTCGGTTGGTAGAGTAATATGGTGCTACATTCTAGAGGTCGCAGGTTTGAATCCTATTCCAGACATTTTTGTTAACGTCATATTGATTAAAAATGATTTTGGATGGCAAGGACCTAGCAGCAACTGTCATGTGCTTGTTGATTCTCATTGAGTATTACTTGATAATGACTGATAACTAACAGTCTAGGCTCTTGAAAAAATTCCCCTCCCTGCCGCACCCCCTCCCCGCAGTCCCGCCCTTGCACCACACCCCCCCCCCTTCAAGTTCAACCCCATTCAAGTTCAACCCCCCCCCCCCCCCCTACACCGAAAGGCTTCAAAAATGTGCTTATTCTACCAATTACTACAATTTCATGTCAGGATTATCAATCATTTTCGCACCATTCCCTCGCGTATTTCGGAATAAAAATTATTCTCGAAAACAATTGAACCGAATTGGTCAAAAGTTTTTTTCCACCTGCGTGTTTACATCATTGGTTTTTACATTTGATAGTGTATTTGGTGATAGCCAGTTTAATTCAGTCGTTTTTAGCCCATTTTGCTGAAAAGGAGTCAGGAGATCAGACTGTCGAGCTTTGCAACCTCGTGTTCATTTTATTTAGGTAAAGGACTTTTTACGTTGATCAGTGCCGATCTCTTCTGGGACGAGGTTTCCCTTTAGCACGATCTACATGATAACTTTGTGTATTTATAACATGAACCCCGCGAAACGTTGTGTTCCGAAGAAGGACGTGTGGCGCCAAAGAAGTTTCATGATTTTGGCGTTTAATCGAGGAAAATTCCTTCAAAAGTCACCATGAGTCTGTGGGTCGATAAGTACCGTCCGTCGTCGCTGTCAAAGCTCGACTTCCACAAAGACCAAGCCGCTAATCTCAGAAAATTGGTAAACTTTATTGCAGAGTATCGTTCAACGTTCATTGCATTGCCATTGCATTGACATTTTGAGAATCAAAATGGAAATGGAAAATGGAATCAATTGCAAATGTTTCTCAGTCCCAGATAACCAGATTCACGTGTTTTTGCAGTGACCGACCTTCATTGACATAATAATGTGATAAAAAAGTGGCGTCAGGATGCACACTGCATACATTTTTAGCAGTGTGTTTGTACTTCCTGAGTTTCCTTGTTCCTGACTCCTGTTGTTACTTGCTTGGAGTGGACAACAACTGTCCTCAACATGCTGATTTTGGCGTCTTAGTTTAGAGAATCATGAGAGGAAACAACAAAATTTGGTTTTGCGAAGAAGAAAACATTTCAAAAACACAACCATTTAAAAAGTTCCCAAAAATGTATGGAGACGTTACAGTAATCCGACCTACCTGGATTTTTGGCTGACCTCAAAGTCAAACTTCGTATTGCCAAATTTGGCAATTTTTTAAAACCTAGGCCTTTATTTTGCAAATAAAAAAGTAAAAAAGTCTCCCGATGAGAGGTTTTTTGTTTGTATTATTGGTTAATTAAACAGGTTAATTAAACAGAATACTGTTAAAAGATTTTACCGTAAAATTTGACGTAAACCAATGTAAACACACAATTGTTTTTTCTCGGCCTAAAGTATAACAAACAATGTTAATAAAATAAATATGTCATTTCTTTCCCTATGCTTTCACAGGTGCAGGGAGGGGACTTCCCCCATTTGCTGATCTATGGGCCCTCGGGAGCCGGAAAAAAGACCAGAATCATGTGCACACTCAGAGAGCTGTACGGCTCAGGCGTGGAAAAACTACGAATAGAACACCAGAGTTTTACAGTAAGGGCGTGGGATATTAGTTCTTGATTACTTTTAATTTACTGGGTTTTTTTTTTCAACCCTTCAGCTATTTTTGATTGGAATGGTATTGCATCCTGCGGCATCTAATGACCCTCCATTTGGGCTTTTGTTATGGCTTCGGCGTCATGCGACAATTGTTTCTCTTTGTAGTGTTTCTAACTAATGAACGGGTTCAAGCCCTGCTCCAGTACGTTTTCTTTGTTCAACTTATCATAATTAACCTAGTTATTATAATTCACCTTGTCAGTTTCCTTTTGCGGTTCATTTGAAGCGTATAAATCTGTTTATACAGAAAGAAAGGTTAAAAATTTTACGAAAAATTGATTTATTTACCCTCAGACTCCATCCAAAAAGAAGATTGAGATTTCAACCATAGCCAGCAACTACCACATCGAGGTCAACCCAAGGTAGGCAACATCCGGCATTGTTTTCCATTTTCTTTACACTCTTAATACAAATCAATTGATTTTTTTTAGCAATCAAAACAAAGGCTTCCTCTAAAACATTTTCCTGTGGCACTGTAGCCTGTAAAGCCCAAAGAAACCTGCACAAGAATGCTCGGTGATGGGGCACTTGATCGATCGCTGTACACACACGAGGCCCCCTGTAATGGTGAAAACAATTTGCACTGCCCCATGACGTATTATCTGAACAACAGCTAGCACAATGCTTGCGCCATTAAAGGGGGCCTCTGTGATAGAATTGAGCCAGATTGGTCTTTAGAGGTGGGAGAAAAACCTGCTCTTGATCATTGAAGATTTTACATTTTTTGTTGTTTGCTTGTTCCAGTGATGCAGGTTTTTATGACCGTGTTGTCATCCAGGAGCTCCTCAAGACGGTAGCCCAGACGCAGCAGCTGGACTCCTCAGCGCAGAAAGACTTCAAAGGTAACAAGGAATGTTATTTTTATAAGTGCTTTAGTCTTCTCCAAGACTATAAAATTGTGCTGCCCTGCAAAATTTCTAGTACACTTTCGTTACAATGCATGACCCACTTCTCAGTTCAGTTAACCACACGGTAGCAATACTTGAAGGATGCCTTGTCAAAGATATTTCAAACTTGAAAATTTTAGCACATGCATTGAGTGCATTAGCCTGTTACTTTTCCTTGTTCGTCACAATAATCCATAGTCAGGAACCGTTTGTAGGACAATCCAACTTTCAAGTGAAAATCAACTGGCAAAGTTTCAAACTTCTACATGCCACATGTCTTTTTATCCCCCTGGCTGTAAGCCGGAGGGGGATATTGCGAATGCGTATTCTTTAGTTCTGTGTGTATGTCTGTATGTATGTATGTATGGGTGTACGTGTTCTACATAACCCCCGAGGACAGACACACAAAGAAAGGATCCTTTCAGTCCTTATGCGTTGGGTCTTTTGTTCAAAACGGTCCTCTGTGGTAGGTTCGTGTGCTTAGTCAATGGAAGAGTGTTATATTACAGGGACAAAGGGAAACACAAAGCATTGTCCTTGGGAGTATAGTAATTCAAGAGTGTATGTGGGTGCGAGTTTGTCTTACAGTCACTATGTGGAATTATCCTCACATCACAGATGCAGGATTTTATATTATTTTCTCCTCTTGCTTTTGTTTGTATTTTAGTTGTCCTGCTGACCGAGGTGGACAGACTGACTAAAGACGCGCAGCACGCTCTGAGGCGCACCATGGAGAAATACTCGGCGACATGCCGACTCATCCTGTGCACCAACTCTACCAGTAAAGTCATCCCGGCCATCCGCAGCCGGTGCCTGGGAATACGGGTGGCAGCGCCCTCGATTGACGAGGTTAGAAAGGTTCCTAGCTAAAAAAGGATTAGGCAATTGGCCTAAATTTCTTGAGTTATCACAGAAAATTATGAGACATATTTTAGTCGATGTTGTTGGCATTTTTTTTTTTTTCTTTAGATTTGCCAGATTCTTCAAACTGTTTGTAAAAAGGAAGGTCTGAGTCTGCCCGCCCAGCTGGGGAAACGCATCGCCGAGAAATCGGACCGGAACCTACGCCGGGCGTTGCTGATGTGTGAAGCTTGCAAAGTACAGCAGTAAGTAGCGGACCAAATGTGCAACGTTCTCTTCAGTCCTTTGTAGACCCCACTCTTAGACAGCCATCTTCATAGGAAAATTACAACTGCGTATTCAACGCCTTCAGGTGCGTGTATGCGCAGTATGCAAAATGTTCTAAACACACACGCAAGTTGCTTGAAATTTCTTTGACACATGGCGCAGCCGATGCGCATCACGAAAACTTGACTCCCACAATGCTGCTGCACCTGGCAATCGGTAGGCACTGACGTCATTTTGAGAGAGACATATTGTGATCAACCCTCAACAAAATTTCATGGATCTGAGCAATCTTTCAGGAATCTGCTTACTGCAAGCGAAAAAATTGCCTCCACTAACAATAGCAGAAAGTTGTGTGCTCATTGCTAGCGTATGTCACAGTTAAGCAAGGCATTTGGGCTCGTGTGCATACGTAGATCCTATTATCGAAGGATTTTGTACATAGCGCAGAGTTCTGTAGTCAACAGAGCCATGAAATAAGTCCCTGATTTGCAGAGCGATTTAGACATTTGACATGGAGAAAGTATAAGTACCTCCCTTGTGGCGTGGGTTCAAGCCCGCCGGGTGGACACTTGTGCCCTTAACCAAGGCACTTAACCATTATTGCTTCGTCCTTCGGATGGGACATAAAGCTGTAGGTCCCGTGTGTTGTGTAATGCAATGCACGTAAAAGAACCCAGTGACATTTATCGCCAAGAGAAGGGGTTTGCCCCGGTGTTTCTGGTCTCCTGTATAAACTTCCACGCGGAGTATTTAGGAGATGAACAACCAAGAACAAGAACCAAGAACCTTGCTTTAGATTCACCATGCCAGCAACAGTGACAAGTCTTCAACTTGCCAAACAAAGGTTTTGGCATTGAGCCTTCCGCAGTATAGGTACTAATTATAAGCAATACGAGTTGACAGAATAAAGCAATGTTGCAGTGCCCCTTCCGTTTGTTGAAGAATAACCACATTGGTTTTGTACACGTTTTTTCCAACTGTGGACCTTAATCCAATTGAGGACTTGATTGGACTCTGTTGTTCAAAGTCCACTATTGATCTTGAATGCGTCTACGTTTGATCTGGGACAGGTATCCCTTCAGCGAGACCCAGGAGATACCCGTCCCAGACTGGGAGGTGTTCTTACGAGAGACGGCCAACGCCATCGTCAATGAGCAGACCCCACAGCGCCTGATGGAGGTCAGAGGTCAGCTCTATGAACTCTTGACCCACTGCATACCGCCGGACGTCATCATGAAGGTGATGAGAACATTACACTTTGTCAAACCGGAACAGAAGAGCACGCAGTGTATGAAAATAAGATTTGTTTTGCACTGGAGTGTTCTTCCAAAGAATATAAATGGTTGGTTGGTTCTTTATGTTAACTCTCCCAAATCTGGTAAATGACCCTAAAGGGCAATATTTTTCCCTGCAAAGTGGGCATTTTTAAGGAATCTGGGGGTTCATTTTGGATTGACTTGGGAGTTAGGATCCAGTTCCAGGATTAAAGATTCACCTCAGCTCCGGTCGTACCTGATTTGGATCAAATGACAAGAAAATAAGCTGATGTGTTAGAATTGTTCGGAATTCCACATGTAGCTGACTTGGGCGTACTTCAGCAACCCCCCCCCCCCCCCCCCCCCCAAAGGTCCTATTTTCAGGATTAGGGGGTAGTTGGGACAGGAGTTTTGGACCAAAAAAAAGCTTGATTCCATCTGTAATTTAAGGACTTGTGTTTGCCATGTTCAGTATTTAATCTTGCTACAGAACCATTGTTTTTAACCAGTTCACTCCGGGATTATTTTGACTGTGACCAGACCCAGGCTCGGAATATTTTTTCACGAGATCGATGCCAGACGGGTTCAGGCCAAAAATCTACGGGTAGCACACCCTGATATTTTTTGGCCTCGCTCGCTGACAGTGGGTCGCTGACAGATATTTCTGGCCTTGCCTTGCTTGTATACAAGTCATCCGACGTGAACTGGTTAAAAATAATCTTCCTACCCATTTATTTCTTGTAAGGTTGTTACCAAAGCCAAATGTGACAATATATGTGTGCTTGGAGATCCCATCAAAATAGAATGATGATCCCATCAAAAGAAAACAGGTGTTCCATAGTTGGGTTTTAGCAGAGCTATGGTTTTTCCGGAGTAATAGCTCTTTGCAAGTCCTAATGAAATAAGACTTGACTCTAACTTTTCTTCATCCAGGGACTCTTGAAGGAACTGATCAGCAACTGCGACGGCCAGCTCAAGTCAGAGATCACCCAGGTAGCGTCGTTCTACGAGCACCGCCTTCAGCTGGGCTCCAAGCCCATCTACCACCTAGAAGCCTTCGTGGTCAAGTTTATGAGCATCTACAAACGCTTCTTAGAGGAAGGCTTTGACGACATGGCCTTTTGAAACGGCCAAGAAAAGATTACCGAAGCTTGGAGAATTTTATAAGAAGCAGGGCACTGTAAATGCCCTGCAATTTAAAATTACCCGACAAAACACCGTTGATGTTAACTAAGCACTTCAATTTGCTGAACATTGTTTTGTGATTAGATTCAAGTACCAGACAAGTTGCTGAGAAAAGATTGATTTTTCTCGTATTAACAAATGTTCAACTTGTGTTTTGTATTCCAACAAGAACAAACTACATTTCAGTTGGATAGAAAAAGCTTTTATTTGCGCACAAACACAACAGGCCTAGAGTTTGAAGGTTTCTGCATTCTTGATCTTTGGGGCAGGAATCAATATACTGACTTATACTGCTAGGCCACATAAAAAGTCAATTTGTAAAGTCATTATTCTTTATAATGAAATTTGGACCGATTTTTACCGTTAGCTGTTTCAAGTCAAGTGTATAACTTTTGTATTGTCATAAAAGGAGACTAAATAAAAATCCGTACTTTGGGTCGAAACTCACAAATGATATGAACAGTACATCTTTCTTTAAATTTACAGATCCTTTTGATTTACTCTTGAAAAAGCATTATTATTATTATTATTATTATTATTTATTCGGCCAAATTACAAGGTACAACAAGCAATTCACAAAAGTAAACAAAACTAAACAAAAACAATCCAATCCAAGCTGGCCAGGATTGACAAAAGTATAATAAAACACTGTGACTCGAAAGCCTGTCAATCCTAACTTGAATGGTACATGTAACATACAAAATATATTAAAAATTAGGTATAAAATTCAATGAAAAATAAGACCGCCTTAAAAATAATACTTAAAAAGATAAATAGATTTAAAAGATTACAGTTACAACAGTTTTCTCAAGGCAAGAATAGCTGGCATAAAAACCTAACAACTGCAGATTATACAAGACTGGGGAAAAACAGACAAACAAGCCAAAACAAAACTAACAAACACCCCAACAAACTAAGAAACAAAACAAGACAGGATAAGACTAAACAAAATGTAACAAAACAAGTCGAGACAAGACAAAGAGACAAGACAAGACAAGACAAAACGAAACAAAACAAGACAAGACGAAACAAAACAAAAAACAAACAAACAAACAAGACAAGACAAGACAAGACAACCACACAACAACATAAAAACACAGAACGAAAGATTGATACAGTAAACAAAATAATTTACAATGAAATAAAAATAAATAATAATAATAAGCAATAAAAACCTGATAGAGAAAAGTAAAAAATACAGTTGACATGCGAGAAAAACTACGTCAAAAAAAATATCCATCCAATGAACAAGAAAAGCAACAACAAAAGTATCAATAACAAAATAAATACAAGTAATAATAAATGATAAGCAACCGGAAAAATAGGCCTGAAAACCAACATTATTTCAGACATAAATAAATGAATAAATAAACAAACTTAACCACAAAAGAGGAAAATAATATAAAATAAAATAACAATGAAATAAAAGAATGATGGCAGTTTACAGTGGAAAAATATACACATGAAATTACTTTAAAAAGATTAAAGTAGATCAAAAGAGTTAAACACTTGGGGGGGGGCCTATTTCCAGCTCAAGGTTTTAACACTCATAATAATGGGCGGATAATCGGGAGTTAAACAGTGTGAATGAATCAATTAATAGAGAGTCCCTTACATGCGATGGCAAACTACTCCAGATTCGGGGGAAGACATGACTAGGTGTGTTTTTCAGGGTTTGAGTTCTAGCATAGTGGTGACTAAATGTGAGACAATCCTGGTGACGAGTGTTCACTACTGTGTTGGCCTTCACTGATTGGCAGTCAACTAAGTTAAACAGGACTTTAACTGTGAAGGAAACTATGTGCTTCTGTCTACGTGTATCTTGAGTCATCCAATTCAAAGCATGCAATCTGTCTTCATATGACATTGCACCTTTGGGCTGTTTGAGGCACATTCTACTTAAGTTTGTAGATTAATGTTGGGATTTCCTAGAAGCCAGTTTAAGATTGAGCGAATAGAACAAGGAATTATTCAGAAATGTGATAAAAACGGCACTAAATAGTACTTTTTATTCTTTCAATAGAGGGCGCTGTTATGTTTTACTGCTTATTTACTCTTTCAGAAGAGGGCGCTGTTATCTTTATGGCGCTAAATTTAATCAATAGAGGGCGCTGTTCACTTTATTAATAGAGGGCGCTATTTATTAAGTCCACAAAAAAGGGAAATTTATTCAGTCAACAGAGGGCGCTTTTTTCAGTCACCGCACCACGTACCTGACTTGCCTGTTTATTTTGTTAATTTCTTATCATTTTATGTCAATAATAATTGTTTCAATTTTGGTAATTTCATTTGCACTGAATATATATTTGTCACATACAATTCATCTCATCAATTAATATTCTTTGTGGTCTATTTTTTTCCTCCTTTAATTTTACTTCTATTGTGCATTTTTGGGAAGTATTTGGAGCTGCAGGACAAACTTTTGAAAAGAAAGAGAAGAACTTTTAAACATTTTTTAGGAACTTGATGTATTAGTTGGCAGAAATACTTTAATTCCCATTAATGCAATTCAAGGAAATTGGAAACAAAAAATGTCAAAGAAGATTTATTTCAAAGTTATGATTCTGTGTAATAACAACAGTGCAGAGAAAACCAGTATTTTGAGTTCAAAGACGACTAATAAATGTTTTTGACACACGCATATAGCACATTGACATTTTTGTCAAATTATTCCTTGGTAATTTGGAGACAATTTCATTTGTTGACAATTTTGATTAATGAACATGAAATTTCATATTGAACAATGGCAGAACATAATGCCATACCATAGATGCATTTTAATATGCTTGAAAGATTGATAGCTAGCTTAAAACAATAATCAAACTCAATCATTCACTCTGCGCTTGCTTACTCCGTGTGGTGTATCTAGACTCCCATTCAAGTCGATATACGGCCGTGTTTTGTCCATCGAAGCCACGCCGCTCTTACTCTCTAGTAGCAAGCTGAACGTACAAAATCCGGCCAGTAACGTTGCCGACTTTATATGAAGTCTACTGCAACTCAGCGTACGCGCGCGTACATGACATGCATTATGTAACACATCTGAGCATGGAGGAAGGAATAGTTCGGGGCTGCAAAATCGCCTAAAACCCCCCGAAATAGTCTTCGATTTTGTCGATGTAGACACAGCTGAACATCACATCAACTTAATGATTTTGGTCAGCTAATGCAGCGATCCGATATCTCCAGAACTAAGCACCAGTTTCACTCACTTTCAGGAGCAGTGTGTAAGCGATCCGTATTGAGAACAACATACATGACAATTGACATAGGCACTGCATTGGCAGTGACTGCGCCGATTAACACCCACGTCGTCTGCCATCGGAATCCAACCTTGAAAAGACCATGGAGGAATATATTTTATAGCGGCAGGGAAGTTTTATAGGCCCTAGCTCCAGATCGGTTGTTTGTAACATCGCAGCTGAAGCTAGAGATAACAAAATTTACCCACCGAATGACTCAAACTAATGCGATTGCTGGAGTTTCAACACCGATCTGGAAAATCATATTGAAAAAAGGCCTTTTCGGCCGGCCGACACAGCACAGATCAATTTCAATTCAGCAGAGAGATGCTAGGGCCAGTGCTATTGTTGAGCAAGAGCGAAGGCTGTCACTTTATGTCAGGCTGTAGCTGAATCATATCAACTGTGTGCTGAATGTAACGACATTTTCATGATTAACTCAAAGACATTTTCCTGATTAACTCAAGACAGTTAGACGTGAGACTCCTGCTGTCTTGTAACTGCGATGCTGAATCCTCTGAAGCCATGCTGAGGACCTGAAGACAATGGAATATTGTTAGCCGTGAATGTCTAATATTTTGCTGATGAGAATCAGCGTTGCGAAAGTCTGATGGTCCGTCCAGCGCATATCTTTCTTCTTGGTCCAATATGAACTACGGCAGAAGGACTCCTCTGCCAAAGTTCAAAACCGAATTGTGAGTATTTCTTTATTCTCAATAAAAACGGTAAAACTAAAAGTAGACCCGACCGGCAGTAACTGGGGCGTAGTAGAAGTCTCCCTTTTTACAAATTTTGTCTTTGGTCGGTCGTGTCGGTCGTGCTAATAATAATATGACTGACTAAAGTCAAAATTTTAATAAGGAGTTCTAGCTCCTAAGTTACTTTGTCTAGAGGTATTAAAAAGTGACCCTGTTTTGAGGTTTGGGCTCCGCTCTCCTAGTTGGCGATTTTAAAAACTAACAGGAATGTCGTGTTAAAAGCGCCAGGTTGTGATTATTTGTGCGTTGCCAACAAGTCGCAACACGAAAAAGAGCATTGCAATATTTTACCAAATGCACAGAACTGTGTTTGAATATGTCACATGGCAGCAAGTGGAAAACCAGGTAATAACATTAAAATTGCATTTCTACCCAAAATCCTGTTCAAAAGTACCAAAACTATAAAGCCATTAAAATTTTAAAAGAATTGCTAGAGGGCATTAGAACTTAGAATAGAAGGGTCTTGAATTACATTTGTATTATTAATAATAACATGTACAGCAGTATGAGTATTTATAAAATTAAGAGAAAACTGCCTTTTGGAATTGCCAAGTTTTTTGTTTAGTTGTTTTCTGTTTTATCATTTTTAATTGTTCGTGAGGCAGTGTATATGTTGTCATTGTGCAACCACGAATTGTGCTGGCAGTTACTTTTCTGGCAATAAACAATCTTCAAAATGTTATGGACTTATGATAATAAGGCCAAATAAAAAAAAAACATGTTTAGTGTCCTGCCTTTTTGAAACAAAGGAAGGAAGGAGGAAGTTTCTTTCCAAAATGGGCTATTTTTCAAGAAACAGACAAAGAGGTGAAAATGATGTCACTGTTTAAAATTTATCATTTGTTTGTGTTGGTTTTTTTTTTTTCAAAGAAAAGAGAAAAAAGGAGGCGGCCTCCAAAAGGAAGTGGGTGGGGACGCTAAACATGTTTTTTTTATTATTTGGCCTAATGACCATCAGAGGCAGAGGAGTTACATGATGCACAGGATAAATTCAAAAGGGACTCAGTTTTTTTTTGAGAGGCTTTGGATAAATCGGATGTACAGTATGTATCTATTTTTGAAATCGTGAGACGATCTTGACTATTCATGTGATTAAGTATGAATTACTTGCAATAGTGCATTATACACTTGACAATATATTGTATGTCTCTATTACTTTCTTTTGAAAGAGTTTTGTAGGTGGAACGTTTGAAGATTTTTTGGCTTGATGAATATATCCACATTTTCTTGCCTCTCCCAAAAAGAAGAATTCATTGTACACAAATTGGGTTTTTGAAAATCGAACCTCAGTGTGCAGCCAAATAATCTCCATTAAAGTAAATAATTGAATAAACCCTGCGCGCCCAGTGTGTTGCCATAGTAACTGTGCGATGAGCCAAAAGCTTTTTTAATCTGATTATTGTTTACGTCCCAAAGGTCTCCACGCATGTACTTTCTTGTACTTTTGTTATTCCGTCTCCACGATAATCACCAGATTTTCGTATCAATTTACCATTTGTCAAAATAGACATATTGGTACTGGATTAAATTTGTCCAGCCCAGTTTTTACCCCCAAGGATTTTGGAAAGCATTTTTGTCTGCAACTGAAATTACAAAAAAATGTATGATCTGTACATTAATATCCAGTGAATATTTAAGCCAACTGATGAATTGCAAAGCTGGAACACTGTGATTCTAATCACTCAGGGTGCTTGCTTTTCCTTAATTTATGGAATAACCGCTTGCACTCAAGTATCTGGATGATATTCGCTCAGATTTGGCAATTTATGATGCAGAGCAAGACTGCGTCTTGACCTCCAATCTCTGATCATTCAGAGGGCGCCTTCTTGCCGACCACAGTAAACCATGGTTGTATTACAAAAAACTTGGCAGCTAAATTGACCAATCAATAGCTAAAGCCCACATGTCGTGTTTTCTTAAGTCGTTTCCGATTGGCTGGTTCGCATAAAATTTGCTAAGCCTGAGACCAGCGGGCAACAGGCAGTAAAAATTGGTCTCGAGAAAAATTACCAAATTTGTCAAAGAACGTGAGAGTACATCTTTACAATAGCTTCTACATTTGTATGCTTAAAAACCTTCGTGGTGTAAATCAGTAGATGTGTAGCGATTATCCCAGCTCTACATGTACATGTACAAGTGTGTTCCAATACTATATATCAAGTACTTCAAAGGGGACACAAACATAACCTTTAAAAGCGGTTATTTTTTACTTGGATATATACCAGCTGAAATTACAGACATAATTGTACATAGTATTATTGTAGTATTGCTGAAATTCAATTCTAATGTGACAAGGTACAAAGCTTGAGGCTATTAAGTGACATTGCGTCATGAACAGCGAATGGCATCTCAACCAGTATGAAAAAAAAAAATTATTAGGCCTACTCATGTGAAAATTGTTATTATCATCCAGCAAATCTGTGATTACGAGTGCATGTTTGTGTTGATCAAGTACTAGGTAGATGACTGATGTTGACCTCGGTGTGCTCAAGAACGGCTCAGAATAGCCGGTGGCAATACGCGCACTAAATGTATGCATTTTTGTACATGCCCCCCCCCCCCCCCCCTTGCTAATTTTCAGTAAATTTCAGATTGATTATTAGGTTGATAGGTAAAGATACTTTTTCCATACAAGGGTTGAGTTTTACCCAAAAAAAATGGATTTTGTTTTTAATTTGCACTGTTTTCCTAGCAATACAAAAAGTATTCACTTTTGAATGAGACGTCCAATCGGTTGGGAGGGGAATATATATTTTATATTTTATAAATTCCACTTCTTCACATTCAAAGTGAATCAAGGAGACGACCTCAGATAAACATGTTAAGTCTTACTTCATTTTTAAAAAAAATTACAGAAACAGGTACAAAAGTAGAAACAAATAATGCAGTTAAGCTTTAGGATGGTGAATTTAAATTCTGACGACACATTCCATTATCGTACTTGAGGATTATTTGTAACATTCCTTCTTTCATTTTGAAGTTTCTACGTAAGATACAACAAACACAAACACGTACGCTCAGTGAAAATAAATTTAAAAACCAAAGTTTTAACTGAAAAATATATAACATACTAGCTGCTATCTATTTGTGATGTTTTCAGGGAACTGATAAAATCTTGTGTGTACATATGTTCCCTTGATACAAGGCTTGCACATTTGTGTATGCACAATGCATGCAATGTGCGCAAAGAAGTCATTGTACCATTAATGTAGCACACCTCCATGACGTAACATGTGCACAGTGGAGCACAGCTGTGTGACCATACCTTGTGATATAATCCACAGAACATCGCTGATTACAATGCCTCTGACCCCATTTGTTGAACCTGCTATAGTGTAGATAAGTATTTACTGATTATTGTAATTTACTTGTGTAGATTATTACCGTGTACATGTGCGTAGATGCGAACGTGTGTTGTATAAGTTCAATTTTCTCCCAGGCAGAACCCTGTATTCTAATACATTCTAAAGTCATTGCATAGAGTTTACATTGAACACATATTCATAAGTACCTGTACGTTCAAGTCTTCACAAGAAATGGGTAAACAAATCTAAAGAGGTTCACAAAGTCTGAACAAATACAAAACGTATTGACCTTTGTCATGATGAAGTACAGCAAAGGATATAAATTAAACAAATTCAGACTGAGATTGTTTTTACACATTTTATTCATCGCCTGTGTCAAAATCATGCAGTCCATGCTTTGAACAATTCAATAACACAATGAAAAAAAGTCACGATCCTCAAGTGATATTCTTCCCGGTTTTTACTTTTTGTTTGTAGTGAAAGTGAAATGTCCGATGAATTAACCAGCGAGGATGACAAGCAAGGCTGTAAACGGTAAGTCAGTTAAAATATTCATGCAAAAACAGGGTTCCGGCAGCCTGGGAAAAAACCTGGAAAACAGGCATAAACAGGGTTCCGGCAGCCTGGGGAAAAATCTGGAAAACAGGCATGAACAGGGTTCCGGCAGCCTGGGGAAAAAGCTGGAAAACAGGCATAAACAGGGTTTTGGCAGCCTGGGGAAAAAGCTGGAAAACGGGCATCAACAGGGTTCCGGCAGCCTGGGGAAAAAGCTGGAAAACAGGCATGAACAGGGTTCCGGCAGCCTGGGGAAAAAGCTGGAAAACAGGCATAAACAGGGTTCCGGCAGCCTGGGAAAAACCTGGAAAACAGGGTTCCGGCAGCTTGGAGAAAACCTGGAAAACAGGCATAAACAGGGTTCCAGCAGCCTGGGAAAAACCTGGAAAACAGGGTTCCGGCAGCTTGGAGAAAACCTGGAAAACAGGCATAAACAGGGTTCCGGCAGCCTGGGAAAAAAACCTGGAAAACAGGCATAAACAGGGTTCCGGCAGCCTGGGAAAAAACCTGGAAAACAGGTACGCAACTTTTCCTCGGATCCAAAAATCACCCAAGCTTATTCAGGATGACTCAAGCCAAGGGTGTACTCAATATAAAGTACATGAACATAATTTTGTTTGTCTGGAACTAAAATCTGTTCAACTAGTCAACCTGACTCCCATAAAATACATGTACTTTCCTGTTCGACGCTAATCTGGAAATCCTGTTGAAACAGCCTTCAGGTCTAAGTTAATGTGATTTTCATACAAACTATGTCAATAACTTAGTCATGTACTGTATAAACATGTCACAAGCAAGATATTAATTTGCAGCAAATTTAGTCCAATTTTAGAGATGTGGAACAATTTTTTCATCAATTTTTCTTTCTTTCACATTTTGAAATTTAACCTGGAGCTAAAATAAAATCAACTGAGTGTGCATATAGTGTTTTACATTCAGTGCAGAAAACATGAAGATTGTCCTTGTAGATCCTACCGTGATCTTTTGTTTACGCTTACAGAAAGTGCCGAAATGCTAGCGAGAAGAAGCGCCGAGATCAGTTCAACTGTCTCATTCAGGAGCTGGGATGCATGGTGTCCTCCAAGAACCGTAAGATGGACAAATCGGCCGTCCTGCGGTCCACAATTAACTTCCTCAAGGTCCACAACGGTAAGAGACACGTTGTGATTAAAGACAATTAATGATGTACAGCAGAGGGAGAAAAAATGCTGTCAGATTCAGACATTTTTCAAATATTTGCTGAGATTTGAGATTTTGCACTTTATAATCAGTCCTCTATCCCAAATTAAAACTGACACAGTGTTCATTTTCCTCCCACTTTTAACCTTTTTTCACATCATGGCTCTTTTTCCTCAATCCTCCTTAATCCTCCAAAGCCTCCAAAAATCCAAGCTAGTTTTTTTTTCTGGATTTTGTGAACACACAACTTCAGAGCCCTGTTTACAAAGCAAGGATGCAGTCCAGTACATCATAAGTCCCTGCAAGTCAGAGTTGTAATGACTCAAGTCAATGACTCGACTTGAGTCCGACTCGAGTCACTATTTTTGGTGACTCGAATCGACTCGAAGTCCCTATGGGTAAATGACGCGAGTCACTACGAGCAAATGACTTGACTCAACTCGAGTCCCTCATCAGAAGACCCAACTTGACTCAAGCGAACGCAAATATTAGACCCAAAATAAAAGCAAAACTTTGCAAAAAAATATTTGCAATGACTTACGGTGCAAAATTCATGTTCACATCACTTTGCAAGTACAATACAGTACAGTGGCCGCTTGTCGTGTACAGACATACAACGTGTCACAGACTCCCACTTTGTGGGTTTTTGGAATGCACAAAATACTATCCCGGAACCGGACTTTAACACATTTTCGAATTCATGGTATCATCATTGGTTTTTGGGCAATTCTTTATTAAATTCTAGACCCGAAGCCAAACCAGATAGCCTATAAGTCCTAAGTTTCACTTCTTGTTAGCTGTTAGTGATACAAGTGACTTTCCCTCTTGCCTTTATTTGTTATATAGTGTAATATTTGTGACTCAAATTGACTCGAGCTCAATATTTGACTTGACTCGACTTTCCTCAACCTTCTTGACATAATGACTCGACTCGAGACACTTCTTTAAAATGACTTGACTTGACCCGAGTCACAAAAATCAGTGACTCATTACGACCCTGCTGCAAGTCCATCACAAGTCCTCCAGTCCCAATTCAACTCACAAGCGATTCAAATGAGCTTTGACAAAGGCATTGTTATTGCTCATCCACTTATTCGTGTGACTGGACTTGTGGAAAAACTTGTGATTTACTTGTGATGGACTTGTGATGGACTTGTGATGGACTTGTGATGACTTGTGATGGACTTGTGATGGACTTGTGTTGGACTTGACTATATCCCTGTTCCAAAGAGTGTGCCATTGAATGACTGCATAGAGTTAAAATAGTATTTGAGTAGGCTCTAGTTAAAAAAAAGTCTCAAAAACTTATTTTTGATTTATTAAATGTAGACAACGCCCTCAAGTCAGAGACGTCCATCAAGGAGAAGTGGAAGCCCTCGTTTCTGTCGGACAACGAGTTCAGTCAGCTGATGCTGGAGGCCCTGGACGGGTTCCTGATAGTCTTCTCTCAACAGGGACACATCCGGTACACTTCTTGTAGCATCACGTCTCTCCTGAGACACATACCGGTAAGTTGTGAACAAACGCGGGCCTTTTGCTTGTACCCAATGACGTGTACAACTACAAAGGCATCGGTATGACCTCTGATTTACCTATTTAACCAGTTCGTGATAACACGCACTGGCTGTTTTATACACATGCACGGCGGACGGGTTAAGACGTCATGATTGCCTCAACTCGCCTCCGGGTGACGTCTAAACATGCTAATGCACATGTATACACAGCATTTTGTACACACACACAAAGTCTGTAAAGTCTGTGAAGGCGGACCGTGTGTTGATGTTGAATTGGCCGTTGTGCATGGCCTATTATTGTACAATTTACGCTCCAGTGCACACCCCAGAGTATTGAAACATACGAGGTTTGAAATGACTCTTGCAAATCAGTGTTTGTGGCGTTTGGCTGTTTATCAGAATTTGGCTTGAAAATGTTGCCTTTTGCAAAAATCAAAATTTTTGGCAAAAATATCCCTGCGTGAAGTGGTTAAATGTTCATTGGACAGATTTTGTATTCCAGCGTTTGCATGATGCGTGCGTACATGGACCGTAGCAAGTGTGCTTCCAGTACCCACAATGCTTTGCAACAACTGCATTTCCTTTACAAGTTATTGTGAAAAGGAGAAATATGCAAGGGATAAGCTTGAGATAAATGCCACAGTTTGAGTTTGAGTGACACATTATTCAACCATTGATCATAAAGGCACTTAATAACAGAAAATCAGATACCTCACGGAACCAAAAATACGTCCCCAAATATTTGTACATGTGTGCACATGTACATACATGCTTATTCCATTTAAGTGAACAAAAGAGTATGACAACAAAATATGACAATATTGAAATTTTATTTTGCCCACAGGGAAAGGTACTTATAAATGCCGACACAAATTTTTTAAAAGCATCCATCGATAAATCTGTGCATTAATTCCTTTTATAGGCAATTTCGGACACCTTTAAATAGTAATCTTCTCTATGGACAACTACAAGTACTTGGACAAGCACCCTCTTTATGTTGATTAGCAGAGAGATCAGACAGCTCTTAAAGCCATGTCGGCAATATGACTGACGCCTACGCATAAAAACATGTGGGCTTGTGCACATTTGGTCAAAAGTTACATGTACATGTAGATACTTTTAAGTACTTTTCCCTATATCTGTACGTACAGGTCAGGGTGAGTCGAAAAAAGCGGAACCCAAACCCCGAAAATTATATTTCATATTTAAACAAATGTGTAGCACCAAACATAATAATGACTGGAAAGCCAATTTCATAAGCTACTTTTAGATGAAAAAATTTCTGAAATTGCTCAATTTGTTCAAAGAATATCACCATTTAAACACAATGACCATAAAACCTCTTTCGTCCAGAAATGCGATCTCAAGAATCGTCGTCCCAATTGTCTTCAATTCATCACCAGCAATAAAACCTCAGTTTAAAAGTTAAAAATATTCAACAAAGTCCTTTTGAAGGCCTGTCTTTAAAAAAAAGGGGATTTTATAAATCCTATTGTTTGCCTAACCCGGGTTGTTAATAAAGATATTGTGTACTACAGTTGTTGAAACTAGAATTCTGTTTCATTTTCTTTGTTGTTCCAAACAGTCAGAACACACAATAAACTGCTTTTTTTTTGGGACGAAAGAGGTTTTGGTTAATTCTAATTAATCAAGATTTATCTAAATAATGATTCAAAAAATGATCAATAACTCCTAGTCTGTGATCTCCTCGACCATTACTAGATAACAGATGTGTAAGATTTGAAAAATATATTGTCAGGTTTATTCACTGAGCTCTTAAACCACCAAAAAAAACCTCTGATTTGTAATGTCCATGACGCTGGAATTGCCGTCTTGTTTGACTCACAGAAAGACTTGGAAAACTGCACAATATACGAGCTGGTGCACGAGGACGACCGGCCCAAGATCTTCAAGATCCTGTCGGAGGTGGAGAACAGCCTGGAGAATGAGGAGGAACTGCTCAGCAAACGCTTCACGTTCCACTGTCAGATGAGACGGGGCTCCCTCAAGGCCAACGAGCTGGTGGAGTACGAGATGGTCAAGATCCACGGCAACTTCACCATGATCAACAAAGAAGGAGGTATGCGTGTGTTTTACTTGCACTATGTTATGGGTAGTGATTTGCTAGGGGTGGGGCTGGTTTAAGGGGGACATACTTTCTGATTTTTTTGTTGGACACCAATTTCAATGCCATCTCCTGTAATTTACTGCAGCACATATACATAGTAGATTTTAACCAAATTAATCTTAATCTTCACATGTCATACACAAACACAGTCCAGTTTGAACAAGGTCACTTAGGATAAAATGGAATTTCAGAACCTACCCCTACACACCCCTGCACCAATGTGCGGAACCCCCCCCCCCCCCCAATAAAAATCAAAGCTGTTGCATTTTTTATGTACATACCGGTACCAAGGAGGTCTGTGGGTGGAATGTATGCAGAAAACTCAGGGATGAAGCTCATGGGACTGCATGACTTTCAGCAATTACTGTTGTGCTAATTGGTCTAAAAATTGTGTTCAGTTTAAGTATGCCAATATTTCTTTGTCAGTACCATAGAGCTATATATTAAATTACTAGAGTGAAACTCATGTACAAAGTGATGCCTGCTGGGCGCATCCATGTTTGTGCACAAACCTATGGAAAACTAGAAATTGTGTACGGCTTTTGTACGGCTATTTGCATATCTGCGTTTGTATTCCATACCGGTGCGTCATCAAATCCAATGTACCCAAAACCGAAATGCACGATCAGCAAATGAGCGTTTCATTTTGCTCTATGCAAACGGTGCAACGTGTGGGCGTCCCTCCGCTGCAGATGCTTTTCGCTGTGACGTTTTTTTAACCGTCATGATGCGCTAAAGTTGTTTGCGTATCTTCTACTTGCGCATTGCATTTAGAGTACACTTTCGAAATTCAATCCATCTACTTTGATCGTGTTCTACAGACACGCACATAAATTCAAAATGTCTGCACCCAGAGCAGCTTTAAAGCTTCTCCGCGCGAGAATGAAGAGTTAGCGCTCTAGTAAATTAATATAGCTCTATGGTCAGTACATAAAAAGTACCGCCTGGAGTTTTGTTCCTTGCTCAATGCTGTAACTAAGCAGTGTTGATCATTATGTTGTACATTGTTAGCAATGGGCTTTTATGTCAATGTGAAGGTAAAGAACATAAACCCTTACAGTACATGTGTATGCCCTCCAGGGAGCTTATAAGCATGTATAGCGATTATTTCCTTTGTTGGTAATGGAATAACAGTCGTACAATGCGGAATCCTGTTGCTGTTGTTGTCGGAGGTCAAAAACCTCGCGAACATTGGCCACTCACTGTTATGTACGAAAATAGATGTCTGGATCTGTGCAAATGGAAATTTCTAGAAGAGTAGAAGTTTTTAGGGGGAAGTTAGTGCAGGTACACCTTATTAAATTGTCATAAAAGCAAATTACAGAAAAAAAATGTTTACTTCAAAGAGTGAAAACATTTGCTTTTTTTCTCATGGCCCCCCCCCCCCCCCCCGAAAAAAAAGTGCGTGTTTGCGGTAACCTGACCTGCCTGGATTTTTTAGGCTATATTCCCGACCTCAAACTCATTATTGCCATTTTGGCAATTTTTTTTTTTTTTAATAAACTATATTTGGAAAATTGAAAAGTCTTCCCTGTGCAAGTTTTGTGTTATTAGTTAATTAAACAATTAAACATGTTAATTAAACAATACTGTTAAAGGTGTCCCAAAGTAAACAAAGGAAGTATAAAGACCAACAGACAAACATAAAAAGGTACCAAAAGAATTGTTTTCCCGCCAATGTACCTGGAGAAATTTAGGGCGTCACCGTAAACCCACAATTGTTCTTCTGTCTGAGCCAGACAAAAAAATACCGGTATATATTTGGTTTATTTATAACTCATACGGTTTTATTTTTGGGGGGGGGGTCATTAGCACAAAGTTGAAGCCTAGTAAAGCCGAATCATTACATCTGTGGCCACAGGCCAATTACTGTAGAAGAAAATGATCACAGAGTTGTAGAGCAAAAGGGAAAACAATAATGAAACCATGTGAAATGCTGTAGTGAACATGTACATGTACATGTAAATTGTTGATGTGGTCATTAGGGATGGTAGTGGCAGATCAAGCATAATTACTTGTAAAGGGCCATTTTTTAATGATCTAGTTAATTTTTTTTTTTATCAGAGTTGAGCCAAATTAAAAAAAAAAAGGAAGAAATTATAGTAGTGCTAAATATAGGTGATGGGATTAGATATAGTGAAAGGATTAGATGACAAAGATATTTGGCTATAGGGCCATCGCAGATTTGCCCTTTGAGCAAATATGGGTGGAATAACAAGCAATGGCAGCCATATTTAAAAAAAAATGTCATAATTGATTGTTATTTCTATCTAAATTTTTTCGAAGGACAAATCTGCGATGGCACGGCCCTATAGCCAGATATCTTTCTTAAGACATACTCTGACTGAGTGCCAAAAGCCCTGCTTAGGCCAAAAAAAAAAAGTCTCCGGTTTCTGGTATGCGCGCGCGTCGCCGTAGCCATGCGCGTCGGCAAAATGAAAAAGTTTTTTTTTTCAATAAAAGATGAAGTTTCAAAACCGCCAAACTCACTGGTTTGACTGGAATTCTGCTGCTGCACAATTTTAACGTGTTTTAGAAGGGGTTATGATCGAGAATAAGATTTATGTGGCCTCTCTGGACTCCCATATATTTGCACTAAGTTTAGTCGGGCACCATTTGCAGTCATCAGCCGAAATTTGAAGCCAAAAAAAAAAAAAAACAGGTAAAAAAAAAAAAAAAAAAGCCGCGTCGCCGCACCACTTTTGGGGCAAGCTCCATACCAGAAACCAGAGACTTTTTTTTTTTGGCCTTATGTCATCAAAGGCACAATTTCCCCCAAATATTCCCTTATCTGCCCCATTATAGTGAAATGTCGATAAATCAAATTCTGATCAGTCAAAACAACTGTTAAGTCAAACAAAGAATCCATTCCCTTCAGTAGTATAACAATGATATACAACCCTGCTTAACTCAAAACTCTGTTGAAGTCAAATTTTGAACCTGTTCCCTTGAGGTTTGACTTTTCGAGATTTCACTGTAGTTCACCTACCTGAAACTTACTTTGTGTACTCGGGCACATGAGTTCTGATTACAAAATAAAAATCCCCAAATTTTTTTCATTTTTTAAGTGAAATTCAACAGAAATTCGCATTGAGATGAGGTGTTTTTTTCCCAGGCATTCTTCCTCTTGATGTTGGATTGACGCGGTACTGCTTCGTCGCAACCGTTCGCCTTCAGACAACCCAACTCAGTCGCGAGATGGCCAGTTTCAACGAGCAGCAGAATAAGTTCATGTCGAGACACAGCTTGGATTGGAAATTCCTCTTTCTCGATCATAGGTAAGATGTCTGTCAACAAAAAACTTCACATTGCAAAATAAATGCAATTTGTTTCAGGCCTTGATGATATTGAAGTGCATTCTCGGGTACACGTATAAACAACACAAAATATGCTGTATGCTATTGCCTCTGTACCTGCAGTTTGACTTATACAGGGTGGAAAAAAAAATTGCTAATTGGAACAAAAGTAGGGAACATGTGAATCAAAGGGAGATATCCTCTGTTAGGGTTGAATCTCCTCTTTAAAATGACACCCTGATCATGTCTTTACATTCAGGATTGACTGAGCAGTGACCAATTTTATGAAAGGGTCTATTTAGAGACTTACACCACTTTTTATGGTGAAATCTCTTTTTTGCCCACCTGCCTTGATTGACAACCATGGCCTTTCACTCTGTGACAAATGACACCACAAAAACCACAATTGAAAAGTGGCGCAATTCTCTAAATAGACCTTTCATAAAATTTGTCACTGCTCAGTCAACCGTGAATGTAATGACATGATCAGGGTGTCATTTTAAAGATTTCGGGCGCAATTCAAAACATGACTCGGCAACTTTTGAACTGAAATCGAGATCCTACACGTAGAATGTTGTTTTCTCGGAATATACAGCATTCACAGAGCTAAAAGTTAATCAGGCTAGTTGTTAAGCACCTGTCTAGATTTTGAGCACCTTTATTGCTTCAAATGAAACAAATGCACAAATCCTCGACCTTTCAGAGTAAATGTAAAGAATAGGATCGTGTTTTACTGAAGAACTTTTACTTGACAATTCATTCTTATTGATTTGTTTCATTTTATTATTAGTTTATTTGTTTTTTGTTCACAGGGGCCCTCCGATCATAGGTTATCTCCCATTTGAAGTCTTGGGCACGTCTGTGTATGATTATTATCACCAAGACGATCTCGAGAAGGTTGCACACTGCCACGAAGCCTGTAAGTTAATCAAATAATGACAATGAAAAAATCAGAAAGTAAGATGTTATTCAGTGTTTTCCCAATGGCAATAATGTGATGGGCCAAACATGTTTTGATACGTTGTGTTATCATTAACGCTGACCTGCTGTTTTTGTAGAACAAGAACGAAAACTTGCAGATTAGGTATTAAGTAAAAAAACCTTGCATATAAACGACGACCTTTACAAAAATAACTCTGTCTGTCTCTATGCTTGTGTATTCAGTAAGTAAAACTGGGATTAACATGCATGTACTGAACCCGTATCAGCATTGTAAATAGAACTGACTCTAGTTAGTAAGGCGTGCATAAACAAAAAGATTTCGTTGTCACAGCAACAACCAAATCAGCCGACTGTTATGAATTAAAGATGTGTTCTTCATGCTATTGTTGAGTGTCACCTCGAAGAAAATGTTGTTGTTGTTTTTTTCAAGTTTTTTTTTCCCTAGCAATATAAAAGTTGTTCACTTTTGAATGAGACATCGAACCAAAAAATCCACCGACGTTCAGTTATTGAATTATTTCTTCCAAAATTTGAATTATTGGCTGCTAGACAATAATTCAGCTTTGGCAGGGCGGATTTGTGCTTAAAATTAAATTCCTTTTTTTTTCAGAGTGTCGCAGACGCCCAAAATCAGGCTAAACTAGGTTTTCCTTTGTTAAAGAGATATAACGGCCTGGAATAGAATATACCCAATTGGGCTACAATACACATTTTAAATGAAGTGATATTAAATAGAAAGAGCATTTAAAAGTAGAATATAAACATCCCCACATCCATCCTTTAGAAACTGGGCGTTTTTTGGTTATTCTTGCGAGAACTGTGCGAGAACTAATTTCGAGGGCCACAGTTTCATCTCCGAAAAAAATTGAGCTGTTCCAGCGCTAGTTCAGATTCCAGCTGAGTGCGTAATAGTCGCCTTCTGCAGACATGTTAGAAACAACATTTGTGTATTGGTGCTGCTGTGTGTCAAGTATGTGACACACAACGTGTAGCTTACATTGAATGAAAACGACAGGAAAAACGTATGCGTACTCTGTCATGTCCGATGTAAACAATCAGGTTTTTATTTTATTTTCTGGGGAACGGCAAGACATCTTTTCAATCAGACATTTTAAATAGAATAAAGCGAACAATTCAAAACATGAACTTTTCGCAGATTTCATGCCGAAAAACATATTTGATTTTCCTTTGGAAAGAGAATCCCTTTTTTTTAAGGAGCAACTTTAAAGGACATCTTACAAATTTACCGTAACCTTTTCCCCCAAACCTCATGCATGTTGTGTGGTAAACGTTCCTACGGTATGTATGTTATTTGATCAATATTACAGAAGATGCATATATTACGTACATATGTACATGTGTGTCATAAGCTTATAATTTGGCCTTCCATGCCATCTGTCGTCATTATATTTTTTTGCTGCAAGAGAAATATTACAAGTTGGGAAAATGTCTTCATGCAAGCAACTGCCTCAGGCATAGCAGACTTTCTTTGGGAGATGTGCATCGTCATCTACACGGTGCCACCGAAACAACCTATTTATATGCCAAGGTGATCTCGTGCATCAGTAATTGGCCATGCAGTGATTGAAGTGGCCGTGCAGATGGTGCCGGAAAGTGTCACCACGTGCTCGCTAATGCACGTGACGGTCAAGTCTGCGTGCTGAGAAATCTCATGTCGGGGTGGTTTCTTTAACTTGCCTGGTGTTTTAGACACGTGCTGTTTGCAGCATAAACCGTCACAAATGTTGTCAGAGTTTGCCGTCTTGCGCTTTGGGATTGGCTGCCACTTGACAGGTTGTTATGGAAACACGAAAGAAGGATTGTGTTACCCTTGATATGAGGGTCCTCAATCTAAAAAAAAAACTGATCGGGATCACAGCCTTGGTATACTTTTTTACGTCAGCATCTTTTCTGACTTGTGTGAATCAGCTTGAGCTTGTAGATTGTCAGACTTTGTTCATTGCGTTACGTGAATGACCTCATTTGTTGCGACATGTAGGCGTAACGTCTCATCGTTTTTTGGTTTGAAGGGATTTTGAGCTGTTTCAAAGCCTTACGTTAATTCTCGTGTGATGGAATTTGTATTTCAGAGATGTACATTTCTTTTATTGGGTTTTGCTAATGACATTTCTTAACTACTTCAAGCGGGATTATTTTGACAAGAACGGAACATGGCGCGGGATTAAAAGCCAGGCTGGTTGAAGCCATCACCCTCGGGCAGCATACTCATATTTCCAGCCTCGCTCGCTACGAGCGGGTCACTGACAGATATTTCCGGCCCCGCTCACTGCGTCTTTATCTGTCATCCGTTCCAAATACCGCAAAACTTTTGCGTGTATACACGGCCTCCGGCGCACACTGGTTAAACAGTGTGCTTTTATGCAAATGTGTTCTTTAAAAAGGTCAGCCAAGATTGTTTAAATGCACTTTTGTTGCTTTGATTATCTATGTTATTTTTGTTCTTACTTTCCACAGTAATACAGACCAGCGAAGGCATATCCTGCTACTATAGGTTCCTCACCAAGGGACAGGAGTGGATATGGCTGCAGACGCGCAACTACATCACCTACAATCAGTGGAACTCCAAGCCGGAATTCATTGTCTGCATGCACAAAGTTGTCAAGTAGGTAGAGTCAACCCTGATAAGACGAACACTGTTAATACCAGATCCTGCTTATAACAAGGAAAAAGTAAGGCCCCAAGTCTTTGTTTTCCTTTGTTTTCCATTTACTGAAAATACAAGGTACCTGTTATAACAACGTTATTTGGGTAACGTCCCAAGGACCTTGTTATAAAGGTGTTCGACTGTATTGTGTAGGTTTTTTCAAAAAGCGAGTTCTTTGGAAGGCTTTTTTTGTAAGATGAGAAATGTATTTGTCAAAACTGATGTATGAACACAACTTTGGTTGCGGTACCCGCTGCCATATCAGATTTGAACCAGCCAGTCGACCCCAGCAAGCTCGGTGGCCGAGTGGTGAGACGTCTGCACTAGTAAGCAGGAGGTCATGGGTTCGAGTCCCACGCCAGTAAGCATGTGAACTTTTTCTCGCAAGCCCGTGGACAACACTGAGTATACAGTGTTTATAAAATATGTCGGCAAAGGGCAAAACCCAAAATATAAAAAAAATAAAAGGAAAGAAATAAGAACTTGCAAGTCAAAAGGGCAGTCGTGGTATTTGGCAAGATACACCTGGGTACATATGATTTCCTGCTCAAGATGTGCACGTTGGTTTGATTCAATTGTATTTTCCAGCTATGCTGAGGTTCGCAATGATGTGAACCAGTCCCTGAACCTGACCGAAGACTCCCGGATAGCTGCAGACAAGTCGGACAGCGGCGCAGCCATGGACTCGCATACCAGCACCTCGGATATGTCAGCGTCCACGTCACCGGTATCCTCAGACGGTGAACACTACCTCAAGAAGCACAAGAAACCTAAGAGCCTGGCAGAGTCTTTCCACAGTGGTAAGAGTGGTCGTAAGTTGCTGCTTTTGGATCTAGACTCAAGTTCGAAGAAGTTCTAAGACAGTTAAAGCAAGCGTTAAGCCCCAGTCACACATTCACGGTTTGGAGCTACAGATATCCACGGTTTAAAATTCGTGATAAACCATGGGAGTACCGTATTCATCCTTAGTACCTCTGGGGTTACCTGTCATCTTCCTTGGGTATTCGTGGAGGGGCTGCTGAAGTTGTAAACTGTTCCAAACTTCCGTGGTGAATCGTCATGAAAATCAATCCGTAGTGCAACCGTGGGACATCTGTAGGACAACCGTACTGATTCGTAGTGTTATTCGTGGTTAATCGAACATATTCTTGGAGATCCGTGGCTCATTCGTGGTAGAAATCTCGAATTCGCTACAAATGTCCAACGGGTATGCAAGGGTTCTGCTAAGGTTGTACTACAAATATGTATTCTTTACTCGTAGGAGAACCTTAGTCATTCGTGGCCGAATCGCAGACAACCCTGGCGTTAAGGTCATTATTCTTAGTAATACAGTCGATATTCTTCAACAATCCGTCCATATTCTTGACAAACCGTCGTGTATTCGTAGAGAAACCGTAGGACAGTCGTGGCTATCCGTCCTGAAACCTTAGTGCATTCTTAGAAAGTCGATTTCTCCACGAATCTGGACGGTTCATCATGATCGATTGATTCTTGTTAAACCGTGGATATTCGTAGCTCCAACCTTTGAATGTGTGACAGGGGCTTTACTGGTTGGAAGTTACCTCCGCCCATTCTAAAGCTACGTCCAAATCTCTTGCATGGAACTATTTTACTATGGAAGCTCATTTCAGAGACATTGAACCTTACCTTGTTTTCTAATTTTGTTTAGTTGGCAGCATGGCGTCCATTCGTCCACCCCTCCCGCCTACCGGTCCGTCCCTTAGCCCCGGCCCACCGAGGCCCAAACCGCCCAGACCGATGCCACCGCGACCCAACTACGTACCCCCGCCGCTTTTGTCCAGCATGAGTAGCCAGAAGAGTACCTGCACAGGTTGGTTCAAACTCACTCCTTCTTCTAGACCCTCTAAGATTCATCAGTCTTCTCCATAAGAAAATCTGCCCAACGTTTCGATAGAGGAACTGTCGTGCTCTCAAAGAAATGCTTTAATAAAAATAGCAAGTTCCCGTGTCCTGCTTTTATCTGATGCATCGTTGCAACTGATTGCATCGAGAATTGAAGGCACAGTGATGCAATAATCCTTCATAGATTATTCATTAGTTTGTCCCAAAGATAAGTATCAGGGTTCGCATAATAAATGACGCAAGTTGTTTATTTCACGATTTATAATTGACTATGTTAAACAAAATCAAACAAACTACAAAATAAAAACTAGAAGCAAGTTTGTATCTACAAGAGATTATAGACATTCTTCTTTGACATGTCAATGTCGGTCAATAAAATTGACCGAAGTTCCAAAAAACAGAGAAGCTGTATTAGATGAAAAGAACACTCATTTATCTTTGTTTTCAATAATAAAGATATGACTTTTTACCCTCAAACCCACATAAACTGATACAGACAAGAATTAATTCCATGACAATCCAACAAATCCATACTGTTTAAGCCTAGTTCCAGCAATTTCTCATGTTCTTTGTCTCCCTCATTGTTATTTTTGACAGACAACAGCAGTCATCTATACTCGGACCAAGAGGTGCTGCCCAGTTCGCCTTCCAACATCAGCGCACAGGCCGCCACCGACTACAACCAGAATCTCCAAGTACAGGTAGTTAGCTGGTAACATTGCAGATGGTTCCTTGTCACTTGAAACACCTTCCTGAGAGACACGGGACACCATAACCCGTTATCAAAGGAGCGATTGAAAGCATTTTGGCTCAAAGTTCTCATCTTTCAACTTGCCGCTGTAATCATGCGTCTATTATCCTGCAGTTATGCACCTGTTTTCATTGCTGTAGTAACAAGTGAACACAATTGCATTTGGATGCCTCGAAAAATCACACATTATTCACCAACTAAAACTACGGTTAATTAAACTAAAAGCTGCCAAGCCTGTGCAAATTTTTTTTTAATGCAACTGCCCAGACTCTTAAACACAGGTAATTTTGCCGAAGCAAAAACAGTTCAGATTTGTGTAGGGAATATATATTTTACCCACAAGAATTAACTGTTGACAGCATTTTAAAGGTGTAGCTCTTCAATGCCAATTAGGCACTTGAAGCCTACACATCTCGAAATGACACAATTGCGTTCTGATTTCGTGTTTCACCTTCTGTGTATGTTCAACAGCAGAGTGCGCTGGCGCCTGAGCTCGTCATGGTGCAGATCAAGCTGCAAGAGCAGCTAGTGCAGCGACATCAGAAGCTGCAGGACGCCATAGTGCAGCAGCAGAAGGAGCTGCAGGCCGTGCAGCAGCAGCTGCTAGTAGCGCAGCAGTTTCTGATCCACAGTAATCCTTTCCTTCAGGGGCTGATGCCGCCCGCAACGCAACCAGGTAGGTGCTGCTAGTTTTTGAGCAATTGTCACTAGTTTTAGTGAACCACTTTAATCTTAAAGGTTTCTGAGAAAGGATTTCAGAAGTAAAAGGAAAGTAAAGTCTGTCGTGAGCCAATGTGGCTCATCAGGCCGGCGTTTATCTCTGGTTTCAGTAGCATTAAACGACTGAGAATATTTCTATTCCCCCTGGATGGGATGCTAGTCCATCGCAGGTTACTCCCCAGCTAATGCCATTACCCATTTATACTCCTGGGTGGAGAGGGGCAAGTGGGGGTAAAGTGGCTTGCCCAAGGACACAACACATGACCACCAGCTGGATTCGAACCCCTGACCCTCTGATCATGAGTCACGAACCCTAACCATTAGGCCACACACTCCCCCTGGATTTCAGAAGTAGTGTGTACATTTCTTAGGAGATTGATTCTGAGCGAAAATCTTCTCGTGGGAATGCTAGTCCTGTTCTTGTGTTACAGGTAGGAGATACCGGTACTTTGACCCAAATGCATGTAACAGAGTTGTTGAATGGTGCAGTCGTGAGTTTTCCTGGAACTGTGTGTCGCAACTCACAGGTCAAACCCTGACAAGGTTGTAGATGTTAACCAGTTCGCGCCGGATGACATGTATACACGCAAAGGTTTTGCGGTATTCGGAACGGATGACAGATAAACACGCAGGGAGTTGGGCCTCAAATATCTGTCAGGGACTCGCTCGCAGTGAGCGAGGCCGGAAATTTGAGTGTGCTGCCCGAGGGTGATGGCTTCAACCCGCCTGGCCTGAGGTCGAGTGAGAAGTAATCCCGCACCTCGTTCTGTTCTTGACAAAATATTCCCGGTGCGAACTGGTTAATGGAGCTGTCTCGAATATATCCAATAACCGGATATACGATCATCGACCAAATATTCTAATAGCCTTTTGCCAGTTTAAATATTCGAAAATAAAAAAAACTACTCATGTACACACACAACTGCGATGTTATTTTAATTGTAAATTGGCGGCTTTTTATCGTCAGATGCGCCTTTTGTGTCAATGGCAACGTTTGTTGTCGGGCTAGCAGGTTAAAGCCCTTGAAAGTTGTGAAATACTTATTTGCAAAACGCTCCCATAATATCGATTGGCGCACACAAATTTTAACCAGCGTGCTATGCGTGCAACTTTTGACCAATGCGGCACATAGTTGCAGCTGGTGTGTGTAAAAGTTGATCTGAGAGTTTCCAATGTCTAAATATTTGGCCAAACACAGTTTCGAGTAATCAAATACTAAATTAGTCGAAAATGGACGACCCTAGATGTTGCCCTCTTAAATCAATATCCTTTTCTTTTATCAGTGTTATTTGGACGATTAAACAAACATTAAAATTGTTCTGCAGTTACCTTGGTGTAGTTTGGTCAAGCATTCCTCTGAGATAGTGACAGATTTTGTGCTTGAGCATCAATACTGGGTTTTGCCACCGTAGCGTTTCCCACTGCCATTTCTATAACTTTGACATGATTGGATGTTTTACTAGCAGAACCAAATTTGGCCTTGGACGAAAGCCTTCTAGATCAAATACTGGGCCAGCAGGCCTTAGACACAGGTTTGTGGCATGCAAACAGCTGGTCAGTGTGTGCTTAATATCTGCTATCCTGCTAGCTTCTAGTATAAAAAAGCACAGTATTAAATGCTGCAAGCATTGTATGCCCATGACGTCAACCCTGTGTTTTCATGTAGTCCGAGAATATAGGATTCTCAATACTGTGTGTGAGAGTCCCAAAACTTAAGGTATTGAAAACATGCAATACAAGAAAATAGACTGGCACATGAAACGACCAGGCCAACAACCCTTTAGCACTGCACCAATCATTTTTGTCAAAAGAAAGGTCTGGAATCTGGCTCGTTTTCTACATATTTCCATCTTCATGCCACCAGACTACTGAAGGATCAGTCTTTGCAAAAAAGTTGTACAGGCACCAGTCTAGCCTTTACCTTCAAATTTTAATCACTTGGCTTCACTCTCAGCTGCAAATTGTGAAGAAAAGAAATTTTGGTGGCTAAAGAGTGAGTAAAGTTGGCCTGGTTTTGTTTTGCAAATTTTGGTCAATTTTCAGTGCGAGATTTTTGCGTGGGACGGCGGACCTCCCCTGTACGCACAATTGTTTCATGCAAGACTTTCATGCAAGGCGGCCAGAGCTTAGTGCGCACTCGCACTTGCTAAAACCAGATTTTACTTTTTGCTGTAAAACGTGTTGTTGTTTTTTATGTTGAGAAGTATAAATCAAAGTATATCAGGAAGGGGAGCCCAAAATTTTGGCTTTATCATGTCTGTTAACCCATGTCTTACCAGAACCTGGAGTTGTCATTGTTTCAAACTGTAATGCCTAGTGTGTGCTCCAGCAGTGTTTTAAATACTATAAACTTCACCTCCCTGCTGCACTGTTCAATGTATGTTATGTTGGACATATTCATAAACTGCAGCACTGCGTGCTATAAATCACACCATGTGTGTATCCTGTGCGCAGACCCAACCAATTTGGGATGTAGGGCACTAAATGCACCGTTGAGCACAATGTTTGATAAACTTGCCAGTCGGGCATGCCTAAAGGCTCCTCTAGTAGGCAGAATTGCCTTAACATGGCGGTCGGCTCTGCCTTTGGCAAACATACTGAGTTGTTTATTTCATTTGTAACAGTTCATATGAAATCTGAGGTGGCCTTATTTTTCGTCAACGTTTGCCGTGATCTTTGCTCAAAATTTCAATTCCAAATTTTGTATCCTACACACATTCAACTCACATGCAGATAAAATCACATTCACAAATGTTGTGTTAAGACGTTGAAACTGACTGAAGTAGTCTGGTTTCCTTGTCTGTTTCTTTAAAAAACATGTTGCCACTGAATGCCTTCTTCGGCATCCAAACTTGATAAGGTTATCATTAAGGTAACCGTTAAGGTTAAGGTAAGGTTAAGGTTACCACTAAGGTTACCATTAGAAGGCACCTGTATTTTGACAGTCACAAAGCCTTGCTCTTTTTTTGACAGCATCTCGATCTCAAGCCCAGCCCAGCATTATGCCCAGTTCAAGCAGTAATGGAAGGACTGGTCTAGCAACGGACCCACAGGTCTCAACACACTCACCGGTGCAGGCAATCATTGCGGCTCAGCAAGCACCGTCGTTCTTCCCTCAGATGTTGCAGGAATCGGTAAGCCTTCTTTCTGGCTTTTGATGAGGATGACGTGTTTTATAAAACTTGAACATCAAAGATCAGTTACAAAGTTAAAAAATCAGCAAAGTTTTTGAGAAGCTATGGATACTAAATACAAGTCTCCTCCAACTTTGACAAAGAGATGAGAGACATCTGGGTGCCATTAATGTCGTGCATCTGGTGCCAACTCCTAAACACATTTCTGGTATGAATTTTAGTTGTGCAAGTCCCGTATCATATGTACAGGTATGCCAACCATTGTAAGCATTGTGCTCCATATACAGGGTGAGTAAAAAAAAAACGAAACCCACATGTGGGATGGCAAAATGAAACTTGAAAATAATGTGAAATGGGGGACAAAGGTGCATTTTCAAGAATTGCATTTTAAAAAACTACATGGGCCCTTTTACAACATTTCCAAGTGCAATATTGTTTTTAATAGGGAAACTTTATTTTATCAATCGGCAGCAGCAACATCAGCTGCAACAACAGCAACAACAACAACAGCAACAGTGTGATGAACAGCAACCACAGCAGCAACAACAGCAGCAACAACAGCAGCAACAGCAGCAGCAACAACAACAACAACAGCAACAACAACTTTTGAGAAACCAGCTCTTGTACCAGTCGAATCATCCGTCCTCCTCCAGGCAAATGATGCCCGCAACACCTCCGCCCGGCTTCCTGGTGCCGGGACAAGCCCAGTTGTCGCCGCATCCCATGATGCACCAGGACTTGCCGTCGTCGTCCGGCTTCACCATGCCCTGCCTGACCGCGCCGGTGATCACCACGGCCAGTGTGAGCATGGCCAGGATGAGCTCGGGCATGGATAGGACAGAGGACTTGGACCCCGCCCGACTTTCCACCCCGCCCGGCTTGCAGCCAAACCCCCGTTTTTCTCCGTTGTCCCACGGCCAGGGCTCCCCCGGTTCCCAGTCGCAGCCCGGCTCGTCAACCGCTGACCAAGCATCTCCTGGGGAGTACCAGTACCAGATGCAATCCCTGTCTCCCAGTATGGACCCATCGTCTATGGGACTCATGCAACAGTTAATTATGCCTCCACGTACACAAACTGGACAGTAACAGCTGTGTTGTGTATGCCTTAATAACTCTGGCTGTCAAATTCAACACAGCTATCCCAGCAGTCAGAATCAATCCAGTGACTGTTTTTAACAGTCAAGAGCTCCCAGCCTACATAAAGCAGGATTGACTGGCTGTGACTGTTTATGTAACTTGATACAGCCTTGAGTTGACAGTGATTGATAAGCCAGTTGTACCTACCAGCTACTTGATTTTGTCTGTTGATGGAATTTGACTAGTCGCGGCATGGCAGAGGAAGAGGATTTAGTTTCTGACTGTCTGTGACTGTTCAGACAGCAGGAGAGATACACTGAACTCCGTGCACAAGAACCTGCCCCATTGTTTTAAAAGGTTGAGTGGGATCACTGGGATGGATTCCCGGAGACATTTCCCAAGGCGCCTGACGATCACATGGAGACACTAAGTGTCTGTGATCGTTCAGCATCAAATCAACCATACTATGCGCACAAACCAGTGGGTGCCTTCCAAGGAGATCTTACAACTGATCTTACACAAAGTGCCGTCTACTTTTTATGCACAGCGTGCATAAGTCAAATCATTCCTTGGACTACACTACAAAATGCAAACTGTTGGAAATCAAACTGTTTTCATGAGAAAAAAAAAACAGGTCTGTTTAAGTTTTCGCAGACTTATAAGGGAAGAATGCAAAATCTAACCAGAGGTATTAGCTGAGGTAGTCTGAGTGTCCACGGAGCCCTCTGTCTCCGGTCCAAGGTCTGATATATTTAAGCATGCAAATTTATGCGACCCCGGGTGCCAGCCAATCGGAGTCGACTTTACATCTGGACTAAGTCATTGATTGGTCAATTCGGATGCAGTGTTTTTGTAATGTAACAACGGCCGGGCATAGAAATCTATAAAAACCTAGACACAACATTGGCTCTCAGCTTGGCGCATCGCATAACATATCGTTACTGAGCGCGTGATGACCGCGGCCTTTGTTTGCTCAATTCACAACGTAAAAGAATAACAGATGTCGTGTCTGGGTTTTATTTATAGATGTCTATGACGCGACGATGGGTATATAATTGAAGACCCGATATAGAAAGCGCCCGCTGAATGGTCAGAATCTCGAGGTCAAGACGCAGTCTGGTTTTGCCTAATTAATCACCGAATCTGCTCGCATATCATATACCCTTGCACAAGGGTCTCTTACATAGACCATACTTGAGCTTGAACCTCGCAAACCTCTCTAAAACCTCAAGGTTAACCTCGTTACTGCTTTTTAAATTTTACTTTCAATTTTACAAGTCAGTTGCTGTCTATAACATCAAGCATTGCATTCTTGATTTTAAAAAAGAGGTTGGAAGGAACCTGTCTACAAATGACAAGGTTTTTTCAATTCGCAGCGTATTTTTAGCCGCGGCTGAGCAGCTCTAGAAATACTCATGTCTCTCCATTGGTTGGTTGGTTTGTAACAAATGTCAGAACATGCCTTTTTTCGGCAATCAATCACCTTGCCCCTTAGGCCCTCGCAACAACACGTGCTTCAGGTCTCCACTGACCAGTACCAGTTACCAATTTATTGCAGTCGTGGAAAATTGGGTCACGAGATCACTCATTTCGCACACAAATTGGGTGTTCCACATGCTATAAAACACTCCATACACCAACTGACATTCAACAAAATAGTGGGAATCCTTATCAATTGACAGTCAGAACCACGTGACTTTGCAATTATAAAACAGACTTTTACATGTACATACTAGGCTACGGCAGGTTGATATGTGTGGCTGTTTTGTGTAAAGAATATTGACTTTGAACCCAGATGGCCCTGTATTTTTGGAAAGGTTTCATATTCTGTGGCTTTTATTTAAAATGTGGCTCATTTATTACCGCCACTGGTTTACGGAATTGGTGAGAAAGTTTGAGAATTAAATTATATATTCAGTACGAGCTTAGAAGCATGCATTCCGGCAAGAACGTTTCTCAGGAAATTGGGGTTCAGGGTTTGTGGGAACATACACTTTATTGCTTCCCTTTCTACACTGTTAATTACTGATGCATATTGTGGTGCCGATGAACCAATTTTTCCAACTAAAAACTTTCAGTCACTGAGGTGCTTTTGTATATTGTACATTAACTATTAACTCTATCCCACTGCTAACTAAGTGTGTTGGAAGGACTTAAATGTTATATGTGTGCTAGTTTTTCTCCGCTAACAGTAGGCTGAAGTGCCTTCATTATAAACGCAAATGACTTTTCCGGTTTTTTTGTAACGGGTGTAGGCCAGCTGTACTGGCTAAATATTCTATTTTTGCAAAGAAAACTTGGAGGCCGTAAGTCGTGTTTTATTTAAAATTGCAGTATTATGTAATGATTCAACATGCGTAGCCCAAATTTTTTAATTCAGGTCACCGCAGTTTACCAAATTTTTGATGTTTTAGCACAAATTAAATTTACATTTCTGTAAAAAAATGTTTTAGGTAGACATTCAGGTTACATACATGTACATGGATGGTGCAAAAAGAAGGAAACCCACTTTTGACAGCAATTTTCACTTACTTGTTGAGCATATTTGAAAAATGTAATGTAATGGTATTAAAATATTGACCTTTGAACATAAGTGAAGAAAAAAATGATTGCAAATGCATATTTTGTCTCTGAGATATGGTAGTTCAAATGTTTCATGTGCCAAACCTGTTTGTCCACGGACGGCTTTATTCCATCCGCTTGACTGAGCTCCGGAGCTTGATCTGAAGACAAAAACACTGCACTAGACTTACGCGTGGGCAACAGTGATTTTGTAGACTTTTATTCAAATTAGCAGAAGAACACTATTCTTGCGATTTTTTAACAGAGTTTTTTCACCACGTATGGTTGAAGAACTATACTTCACTAAATTGTAAAAAAACAATAAAAACAATTCAAATATTAAGCAAGTTGGTTAAAATTCTGGTCAAAAGTGGGTTTTCATCTTTTTGCATCACCCTGTATTGATGCCCCATATTCCAAATGAGCCTTGTTTACTTTGTCAAAGGATAAACTCATTGTACAGACATTTATAGAAATGATATAAAAATTGCAATCACTGTATGCAGCCTAAGATTATTGTAAAAAAAAACCTACCTGAACGTGGTTTTGACACATGTACTCGTAAAGATTATATATTTTTGGTCATATGTTCACTTTCAGGTAGACAATGTATTAACATGTGCAATTTGGCTAATTCTGGTATTAAGGATTATCTCCATGACTACCTGGGATGAGCTGTGGAAACTGTTTTCTGTACTAGACCCATTGTATCAGGTACAGTGTATTTGTTGAAGGATTCTAACCAATTTCCCCAGAATCTTTCGGAAATTGATGTCATCGGTTTGTAAACAGTGCTGAAAACTTCATCACAGAAAGTGTCATCACAGAAAGTGCCTGGACAAGTTGTTCAGAACTCTTCAGTTTAAATAATATCCGATACAGTGGGTTGATTGCGGAAAAACTGTCCCATAACTTAACTCCTAACAGGCAAACAGGTATATTTCAAGCCCAGCAGTATTATTTTAGTTACATCACAAGCGTGAGTGGAACATGTATGGAATAAGGTAGTGCGTCTGTGTCCCATATGCCATTGACATTTTCAGTAGTTTATGATCAAATGCAAAAAAAAAAATCATGGTCTTTAATGCAATGTAAACAATTTTAGGACAATTGTTATGTTGTGCCTTTGTGCAACTGATTATTTGTACTTTCAAATTCCTTTTCAACCAAGTGTGTGATGTATTGCAAACAGATTTATTTATGAACTCATTTGTAATTGTTAACGGTCATTCATAAAATCCCTTCCCTTCATATATTTCATGGCTGAATACAGTATGTTTGCCGGGTGAGTAAAGTTTGAATGTATTAGGCAGAGCACAACTATTGCTTTTCAGAAATGCTGTATTCATTTTCCACCTGGTATGTTTATATATATATTTTGGATTGTTCAGGGTTTGTTGCATTGTCGTAATAATTTCTTTGAATATGTTGTGTTCTAACTGTTAATATCAATTAAATTTGCGGCAGTAAATTTAGTCTCCTGGTTGAGCACATGGGCGTCGCCAGGATTTTTTCTAGAGGGGGTCAAAACATATTTTTCCCCAAAAAATTCTTGTATTTCTCAACAAATTCTCGATTTATCAGTTTTAGAGGAGGGCAGGGACATTTTGGGCCCCCCAACTCATTAAATGTACACCACTATGACTTGGCGCCTCTTTTTTTTTTTTTTTTTTCTTGCCCCCCCCCCCCCCCCCCAGCGACGCCCATGGTTGAGCATCAGCCAAACAAGAGAGAGTGAGATCCGGTGATCAATTGTGTGTTACCTAAATAAAATGAATGATGCAATTGTACGTATATGCACAAGTCAGTTATAATGTAAACATTTTATTTTGAAATGAGTTATATGATGTTATTGGAACGTGCATGGTAAGGAATACCATGTTATCATTGCCTCCATGAAAGAGATTGAACAAGCATTCCAATTTAAATCAAGTGATGTATATAAGCCTTAATTAATAACTACTCCAATGGTACAGTTTGAAAGATATATTTACTGGCCATATATATTTGAAACCAAATTTTTTTGCACTGTAAATAACAATGGTGTACAAAAAGGTGCTGTTTTTCTGTGATTTGGAAGCCTATGGTATTCAAAATGTCTTCAAAGGATGAAAGTCTGAGGTCTTCGTTTGTCTTTTTGCCAATAAAAGTGATTAATATTAAAAATATACAAACTCTTGTACAAAAGTCTTGCCCTGTCTATGTGTAATTGTGTATTTGAGGGTCTTTTCTACAGTTTCTCTACCTTCCCCAGTTTCTACAAAGGTCAAATATTTTAAGTGACATCAGTAAAAAGTGTGGTTATAATTAGACAAATGAAAGGTGAACCTCTTTCCATTTGAAAAAAAAACTCATTTGGGGGTTGCAAAACTACTTGAACAATAAGGTCTCTTGAAAAATAGCAAATGCCATTGGGGTCTTTTTACACATTTTTCTGAAAGCCACTTGATAGGGTTTCTAAAAGTTGACGGGTCGAGAATTATATCAAAATCTGCCATAATCAGCAGCCTACCCCCCCCCCCTCTCCATTTAAAATCTTGAATTGCTCAAAAACAATAAACCAGTTGCCTTTAATGACCCCTTGAAATATTGATGTACCCAGGTGACCGCCTAGTTACCTGC